TTTTTTTTTTTTTTTGGGTAGTGTGAATGTGTAAAGAAGTATGCTAGATGCGATAGAACGGGTATAGGCTTGGTCGGGTTGAATGAAATGCTCTACGAGGGCACAGCAGACTTATATATACCTCCGACCCTCCCCTAACTTTCCTACGTCAACAAGCCAAGAAATGTCGACGTTTTCCTCGAAGTCGGCGTGCCTAGAAACAGCTTAAACTACCCGCCAAGTCCATGCTTAACAAGGATAAACTCCACATATCAGCGTGTTGCATATTATTTATTCGGCGAAGCGCAACGAGTTTAGTAAAGTGGGCCAATCATGAAGTCCAAAGATGATCACCAGGATCTAATCCGGGAATGAAGCATGATGTCCGACTCGGGACCGATTGGGTCTGATTGGTTGTGTTGGGGACATAGCCACGGGAATAACAATTACAATTACATACAACCACAAGGAATGGTCATGTTACTGCCTCAATGCAGTTGAATAAATGATGATTGACTGCTTACTCGGATTGATTTCGTAATTCTACGATGGCTTGGTGCAATTTGGCTTGTCATGGGGTGAAACGACTGCGCTATGTCTGATCGGAGAACTCATCTAGGGCATGTCCGATCAACATCTCCGATACCTTGAAAGCGGCCAATTGGACGACATACGAACATGACATAATCACACCGCCACCATCCCCGACTCCAAATCCGATTCCGACTCCGATATCTTACCCTTCCCGAACCCAACTTCACCATCATCTCAATCAACAATTTTCTCGCAATGGAGCATCTAAGCCCCAGCAGCACAAGCGGCGCAAGCAATACCACTCCCAAACGCCGACCCCGAAAACCTCTCAACTGCGACCCCTGCCGCCACTCCAAACTCAAATGCGACAGACAACTCCCCTGCAACACGTGTCTCAAGCGCGGATGGCAGGATTCCTGCGCTTATGGGTCTAATTTTACGGGCCCAAGAGGGAGGAGACGGAATAGACCTTCTCATGTTGTGGCGGAGCCGAGGTTGGATAATATTGTTGCTGAACCGATACCTGTTCAAGCTTCGGAGACGAGTCAGACTCCAGAGCCGATTCAGGAACGATGGGATTGTATTCTCAGAAGGCCTGATGTAGAGAGGAGACCTGTTGGGAATGCGACTGATGCGCAGAGACCGACTGTTACGTTATCGCTTGGGCCGAATGTCCCGATTGAAGATCTGTTGGCGATGCTTCCTCCCCCTTCAGTGACAGAGTACCTAGTCGTCCGATACTTTGGCACGCTATGTTCTATCTTCCACATCATCCATGGCCCAACCTTCCAAAAGCAATTCCTAGCATTCACCGAAGCACCAGAGAAGACAAGTCTATCCTGGCTAGCGCTGCTCTTCGCAATCATGTCTCTCACACTCGAGACCCTCAAGACTGATGATGCCGGCTTGAACCTTCTTTGGCAAGATCCAAGCGTTCCTCGAGACTTGCTTGCGTTGTCGCAGAAGTTCCGAAATGCTGCTATGATGTCACTTTCACAAGATCAGTTCCTGATTCGTCACGATCTTGACACACTTGAAGCTCTGCTAATTCTGGTCTACACTATTTCTCACAACGAGGGACCAGAGTATACCTGGGCGCTTCTGGGCAGCGCTTTGAACATCGCTACGGCTTTGCGTTGTCATACTGGCCAACCGATAGCGAATTATATCGAACGAGAACGACATAGACGCTGTTGGGCTGGTATTCTGATCATTCATACTGACCAGGCGCTGTGCTTCCGCGATATCGACTTGACGTACCTGCTGAAAATGACAGCTGCGATGCCAGCGTGGGTAAACGACAGCGAAATCCACGATCACGGCATCACAGAAGCGCCACCAACACAATCCAAGTTCACCGACATGACCCTTATAAAATTCCAAGTCCGGCTCTTTCAGCTGTCCACTCAGATCTGCTCGCACATCTCCAGCCCGGAAAAGTTCAACGAACAACTGCTTCTTCAATACGATACCGCAGTCTCCGAAGAGCAACAAGAATGGGATACAGTCTACCTCATAAATGGCTCACGCAGTATTTTGGATACTGAAGGTTACGTCCACTGGTGCACCCTCCAAACCTACGCCCACCAACTCTACCTCCTCCTCCACCGCCCCTTCCACAGTTCAAAGTCGACACACTTCCGCGCTGAATCACGCGACAAGTGTATAAAATCCGGCTTAGCACTTCTCGACATTCATCACCAGTTTTTCGAACTTCCACGTCTTAAATGCTATCGCTGGCTTGTCAAGGGCGCTATAAGTTGTAATTCCTTGCACGGTGCTGTGGCGTTGACGTCGTGTATGCTTGATATGCCGGAGAGTTCGGATTTGACCGGGCATATTAGTGCTATTGATGCTGCTGTTACGAGGATGGAGGCGCTGAAGATGAAGAGTCCTGCTTGTTCGAACGTTTATCGGGTTCTGAGATGTCTAAGGTGAGTAAGCTCTATCAATGATAGTGGGTACGAAGGCTAATCTTGGTAGGTCTTATTTGAAGAAGCGCGAACCTGAGCCAACGGTTTTACCAGAGGATGTTGAACTTCGATTTGAGGACTGGGCGAATAACGTTGATTGGTTCAGACCCGATACAATTGACTGGGTTAGTCTGCCAGCCATCAGTTCTAATGACTTCTACTAACTCGAACAGGTTCTTTGGGATCAATACATCACGCCTCAGAGCGACTATCCGCAGAGTATTATGACTTGATCTATTATTTTTTAGTTGATAATAAGATGGACCATCCATAAGGCGCTCGCTTCTATCCATTTTGACCATGCATGATTGACTCCTGCCTCCCGTATCAACACTCGCTATATGCTGGAGGTGGTGTACCAACGGGTAACCCATAACCTTCCAAACTGAGTTCAACATCGCAATATCTTGGCGGAACGCGAATACCTTCTGCCAATGAGTCCTTTACCTCCTTTGATGTTATGTCTTCGTTATGCACAAAGACGCCCCAGCCATTCACGGGTAGCTCGGGTGAGATGAACAGATAGATCGGCATCGAAACTTCCTCCTGATAAATGCTACTTAGTACAGATTCAAATCGTGATTGCTGTAAAACTTACCTCTGACGTGACACCATCCGTGACTAATGTGACCTCGAAATGCAAAGTATGACTAATGCCAACACCATGCATCTTAACATCAGGCGAACAACTCCTAACAGCAAGCGGTAAATGCAGACACTGCTGCCAAGACTGCAAGTCAAGTTCCTTCTTCACATCCAACGGCCACTCCGTCACAACACGTTGTCCTTCATACGCGTCATCAACAGTATGGACTTCCCGCAGATAAAACCGCGCCTTGACAATCTTACTCGACGCGCAAACTTGAGCATCAATAGGAATAAGTCCACCTAGCGCAATAGCGCGGTGTCGCACTGAGACGTTGTATTCTGCTTTCGTAGACCACTTCCCGTGTACGGATGTAGGGTCCATGAGTTCGTATGATGAGAAGGCCGGTGTGCGAATCATGCGAATTGGTGCGAAAGAGCGTACGTCTTGTGGTTGGGTTGAGGCTTCGAGGAGGTAGGTTATACTACAGCGATTACAGCCTTTGAAGGTTTCGTCTTGTTCGCCGTGGATGAAGACCTCGAAGGATAAGTCATATTGTCTGCCATTTGGTACTGACTTTCCGGTCTGGTTGGTGATTTGGAAGGGGGACCAGGTGTGAATGGTTTGTTCTTTATGTTGCCATTTTGTAGTTGCTTCTGTGGGTGCTGCATGGTCTCTGAAGCAGGATTAGAGTTAATTCAATGATTGATGGAGTTTTGGAACGTACCCTAGCCACATTCGGCTTGTGAACTTGAGCTGTACAGTTTGGACATGCTTCTTCTCGGGCACGAATAAGATTACTTTGCCCCGGAGATATTGTCCTTGAGCTTCTGATCCGTAGCCTGTGAGGAACACATAGTCACAATCGGGCCTTTTATCTTGTTAGCTATGAGTGGGGTGAGTAAAGTATGGGGGAATGTTACTTTATTGTAAGCTTGATCCGTTTGAGGCCGGTGATCTTCGTGTATAGCGCGTGCATCGGTGTTGTGATTGCCATTGTCGCTGCGGATGATGGTTTCAGATGTAGCTTCGCAATTGAACGATTATTCTTATGACTTGAGAACTTGAGTAACTATTTAACGAGACTTATTTACACGGGATGCCATGGTTTTAATATTGCTTCATCCCGTGTCCGATCGTACAGCAAGTCCGATTGATTCTACCCTGCATCATGAAGTTTGTTCTGGCGCCAAAATCGGAGTCGGACTTGAGGATGACCCCACCTTTTTGGGTCGGAGATGCTTGAGCCAATCATAAATTGATTTGTGAGTTCGCTCGATGAATAATCCCTGTCACCAGGTTCCGCTCATGGGCGGGTGAATTCCGAATCGGACCAAGATCCTGGATTGACTTGACCAATTTGGAGTTGCGGCAGCTCTCGGCTTCACTTCACTTTGGCACACCTCGGAAACATAGAAAACTGATTCAAATAAACAATCTATTCTCATTAAATAATTTTAAAACGCCTCAACCCCCAAGGCCAATGAGCCTTTACCACAGCATTTCTCGTATGGACCTCAACACCCCAGTGTGATACCCAATAGCAAGCGTAATACACGTCACGCAGAATACCACAGATCCCAAGGCAATCCACACGCCCTGGCGAGTTCTGATAGAGATGCCATTGTTGGCGGCCACTTCAGATACCCAGTTCAAGGAAGCCTCGTAGCCCTCTCTCAACTTGTCCCGACCGAGGGAGTAGTAGACAAGTGCGCAAAGCGTGACACTGTACCCGAAGAGCTGGATTGGTGTGATGGTGACGTGCCAGATTAGGACGGAGCAGATCACCAGGAGGATGTTCTTGAAGATGCCCGACAGGGACATTACAAGGCCTGAGGTTTTGCCGATCTGCGAAAGTCAGTACTGGAGCAGCTTGTCGATGGAGGTATTCTTACGAGAACCATGCTGGTAAAGTTCAAGGTAAACGCAACGGCAGCGTTCAAGAACAACATCGGAAACCCAACCCGATCGAAGTCCTCCATGTCAAAGTGAGGAACTTCAATGACGAACGCGACAAGGAGGTTCAACACAGCGACAACAGGCGCATAGTAGTATAGCCCAACCATAGCATCCATCTTCAATCCCTCACCATTAAGCATCACTTGCGTCATGACAACCCTCACAGCCTCAAACGCAAGACCGCCCATCTGAAAGAAGAACCCAATAGCCGAAAACTCGACCGTTCCTGCACTAGCCACCGCAACGCCGACAGCGATGACGAGGATGTTGAGAATCTTCTCCAGTGTGGGATTCACGACACCGAAAAGCCATGAGACTAGCAGCACGGAGACGGGCGACGCGGCTTTGAGCATCTGGATGACTGCGACGGAGAGGTAGAGGTATACAAAGTTTGATGCGACGAGGGAGCCGGATGAGACGATGCCGATGGGGAGGACGGTCGTGAGGAAAAAGTCCCAGTTGTTCGGGAGGTCATGGCGGCTGTCGAGGTAGGATGTTGTGTGGGCGAGGATTTGGGTTACGACGGTCGCGAAGATGAGATGCCATGTTACTAGCAGGATAGCTGTGAAGTGATTGTCAGCGCGATGAAGTCTCGTTGTGGATGTCGGGTCACCATACGATATTCTGCGAGTTGTTAGCGTGGTAGGTCATAAGTGGTATCGCAACGTACTGAAGCCAGCTGTGTCAAGAAGCCATTTATTAAAAAGAATGGTAATATTCGAAGACACGATCCATGCGCTAGAGTCATTGATCAGTAGACGATCTTCCAGTGCACTTGGAGTACATACACCATGTACAAGCCAACCTTGAGAGAAGACGGTTTCTCAGGCTGCGCAGGCCCTTTCGAGAGCAGTGGAAGCTTTGCGTAGGCTGCCATCGGGAATAACGTCGAGCGTAAAATGCACAAAAGAATGTATGACGAAAGAAAGAAGAGGAGAAGGTTGTCTGATGGAGTGCTGGTCACCAGATAACTTTCCAGTCAAGCGAAAACTCAACTCAATTCAGGGGTCCTCTGGCAACGAGAGGCGTTTGTTAATTCGGTATTGCCGCCAATAAAAGAAAGTGTTTCGGGTGAGTGTTTGCACGGAAGCTGAAAGGCTATTCATCAAGCGTCCCGTCGGCCGTCGCTCAATTAGTGGTCTGCCCCTGTATTGTTCTAGACGGATGCGGATCAATGATCAGCTCAGGAGAATGAAGCCAGCTGGGAGAGCTAGAGGCGAAGAATGAATGAATGTCTCTTGGTGGAGTCCATCAGTATAGAGCGACGAGAGTGCAAAGACGAGTCAGTGATTCAATAGTGTGAGTTCGCCCCCCGCAGCAGCTCTGTCACTTGGTTAGTGGGCGTTTTTAGTGAAACTGCCACTGTGATCCGTCACTTGTTAACGCACTGTGGCTTGGCTGAAGTTGATTGACATTAAATTATGGACTGACATCCGATACTATTTGTTGAAAGCACAGATACACACGTGAACATTATCCGTTGTTGATGTCGTTGATTCATGTGTGACAATTACGTCGTTTATGTCTGAGATTGACGTTGTTTGCCATGTCTGAGACATTACGATTGCCGACATGCAAGTAACTCACTGGAGCTTGATCTCTTTAGTGGGGCAGAACGGTCAACTAACGCCGCAAAGGGCATTGCACGGTTCATCAACAAACAATAGTCTCAAATGCCCATTTTAGCGTACCTGTCAGTCGGATGCCCTACGTTTTTGTTCTAGACGAAGTGTGGCTGAGGTGCTATAACAATTTTCACGCCTACCAGCTTTAAGTGACAGTAATGGCCCCTTACTAAACACACGGCGACCCCAATAGTGAGCAGACGATGTCCACTGTGGAGGCTTGTATACTATTGTCGTTAGATGGATTGCAACTAAAGAGCTGAGGTTTACTGTTTTACTAAGGGCAATAATCAAGCCATGAATTAAATGAGATGGAGTTGGGAGAGTCCAGCCCTGCAGTGGAAAGGAGCATTTCGGACAGAGCGAAGAAGAAGAGAAGAACACGAATGTTGGGTCCTTTCTTGAAACGGTTGGTAGCACGGAGGGAGTGGTTTGGCTGATTGATTGCCTGATGTTGAGAGAAATTCGGGAAGTGCATGATCAGTGCTGGCGGGTAGAGGCAGCTAATCTCTTCGCCTATGATTCTCGTCTCCTTTGCCAGTGTTGGTCAGTTGCGTCGTCAGCCCTGACTCGATGACCTTCATTTAATCTTCCTCTTCTCTCCCAGTATCTCTCCCAGTCAGGCCTGCTCAATCTCTCATCACACTTCTCCCCAGTCTCGTACTACCCACACTCCTTCACAATGTCCCGATCCCCAAGCGAAGACAACTCAAGCTTCACCTCCCGCTCCAGCAGCGAAGATGAGCTCAAGCCCCTCGCCACAGAAACATACTTCGAAGCCCTTCCCTCCCCCGTCTACGCACCACGCAGTCCCAAGAAGAAGTACTTGGTCCTCGTCATCTCCATCATCAGCTTCGTCGTCTGCATGACACTGGCTTCCATCTACGGCGTCAACTACGATGAGCTGAAGAAGGAAGAGGTTGTCATTCCACCTCAATATGCGGAGGTTCGCAATCTTTCTACTTGGTCTGAGGAGAAAGTCTGTGGAAAGCGCGATGAGGCTGCGAATATGACGATCTGGAATGATGTCGTTAACAAGACGAGTGATCTCATTGAGGATCAGTTCACGTAAGTTACATCCCCTGTTCTGTCTACAAAGGAGATGTACTGACTGATGTGATGCAGCATCGCCATCCAAACCTACAAGCGCTCCGCCCAACTCAACAAAACCCTCCTCCACCTCACCGAAAACAAAGTCCCCTCCCTCTACGAAATCGTCGTCGTCTGGAACGAAATCGACAAGACACCACCACCAGACTACATGAGCGAACACGGCGTCCTCGTGCGCTACCGCCTTTCCAAGAAGAACAGCCTGAACCAAAAGTTCCTCCCCGATCCTCTCTACCGAACACAAGGCATCCTCCTCTCTGACGATGATTGGAATTACAACACGACTGGTGATCTGGAGTACGCTTTCCAGGAGTGGCGTCGTGCGGGTATGCATCGTCTCACAGGTGCTTTCGGACGATGTTGGACTATGAATGAAGTCACTGAAACGCCGATGTATAACTTTAACTGCAAGGGGCAGGATAGTTATAGCATGATTCTCACCGGTCTTGCGTTTACGCATATCTCATACTTGGAGTATTATCACTCTGAAGACGACATCATGACTGATGTGCGCAAGTTGGTTGATGATAGCTTCAACTGCGAGGATATCGCGCTCAACTTTGTCGCGAGCATGTTGACGTGTGAAGGGCCACTACTGGTCCTTGGAAAAGACAAGTTGGATCATCAGGCTGCTAAGAGTGGTATTAGTTCTAAGCCTGGACATATTGGAAGACGGAGTGCTTGTATGAAGAAGTTTGTGGACATGTTTGGATACATGCCGCTGCATGAGGTGCAGGGGTATCTGAGACGGGGTGTGCAGGCTCAGCAATGATCACTGTTTTTATGTTTTCTATTCTTAATACTTAATTGGTTAATGACAAAAAGTAATCCATACAGTATTGGTTCTCTTCGATCTTGCTTTGTGTCTCGTGCAGTTAATGTCTGCCATTGGAATCGGAGTCGTGATCCCCACTCGGACTGTGGTGTGCCCAGTAGTGGGACGCAATTTGCTGACTATGTTGTGTTATCTTATCAACTATCATCTTATCGATATGGTAGATCAATGCAGCGCCAGGTGCCTGTCAGTGTCAGAAGAATTGTCTCCCCTCGGCTTAGGATACAGAACTCAAGTAGCCCGGTTGCTAGCCTAAGTTTGCATAAAATGAAGGAGTTATTTCGTCTCTTAGGCGACCGGCAGCCAGATCTTCTAAAAACCATTCGAGGGCCTCAATCAATCTCGCCTCCAACTCCAACAACATCATGTCCGACGAATCAATAACCCCTGCGATGCGTTCCCACGGGTGGAATCTTCATCTTCTAGCAAAATCAAGGGCAAAACCCTTTGCCGGATTATATCAACACCCCGACAACCCATTCCTGAAATTCCGCGACCTTGTCGATGAGCTGCGTTTGTGTTTTCACGATGATGAGAACTGGCAGGATCTCGCTTTCGGACTAGACAAAGGCTATCACTCGCATGACTTCCCTCTTTTTGTAACAGAAGGGGACCTGGATATTGTGATTCCATGCTTGCCTCAACCTGACCCTCAGCAACGGGCTGTTGTGAAGTACCATGTCGTGTGTCATACTGGGTGCCAATTTGCTGAGAATTCCCCGTTGGAAGATCACATCAAGGGTATCTATGTTCTTCACTTTATCTTCTATTGTCACTAATGAGTGAACTTAGCTTCCTGCGCAAGCCATATTCGTCTCCCAACCCGCCGTCGCGAACCCCGATACCTCGCTGTCGATGCAGCCTCGTCAAACAACCGAATCACCCGAATACCCCGTCACACCAAGTCTCGCAGACGCAAACGATCAGAGTCAGCATTGTCCGATGAAGAGTTCGAAGGTGCAAGCGAGATACTAGTGCCAGTGCCTGACCTTCTCGACCCAACAAAAGCCCGAGAGATCGTGGATTCATTTCGTGAGGGTGTTATGCTCTCTGCAAGACGCTGCGCTATTACAGGGGAGGGTCGACATTGGTGCTTCAACCAAGGTGTTGGTCCGGGGGTGCAAACGTGCCATATTGTTCCGCCACAGCACTTCCATGTGTATCCAACCGGTGTCGACACCGAAGACACGAAACGACATCTGGTGCAGGCATGGTGTGACACCTGGAGTCAGGATAATGGACTCCTTCTGAGGAGGGACATCCGTGAGCTCTTCGACGAAAGATTGATCTCCATTCACCCCGATACGCATCGTATTCGGGATTTTGTTCCTTACGATGTGATACTGCATTATCACGGACTCATTGCAAGGATCCCTGGGATTGTGGATCGCGATGCTCTTGCGCATCATTACGAAATGACTTGCATCGAAAGCATCGCCGCTGAGATGCCGACACCCGAATCAATAACGGCTGAGTTCAACCGATATTTTGGAATCGGGGACAGCAGTGCTTCGACAGCCAGTCCTGATTCTTCTGCCTCGATGGAGAGTTACATTACGCCTGAGAACAGTCGGCAGTTTCTGGCTGATGTGAACTCCAAGCTTGAGAACCTTCAACGTTAGGTAGTCAGTTGGGCATATGGGCATAAGAGAAAATGCCTTCTAAGGCTTAGGATACTTCGATACGGTAGCTTAAGTCCTCGTCTAAGCTTGCATAAAGTGACTGAACTATTTCGTCTCTTATGCTTTTGGAGGCAAGTTGCGATGACATGGTGGTACTGTAAATAAATGACGATTGGTTTTGAACTCTGACCTACCGAAATACTGTAATCATGTGCCTGACACCATGAAAAATAGTTATTTCCATACGTGAACTTTGCAATATTAGCGATCATCTGCGGCAAGTGCTGACGGTTTTTGGCAATTGACTAGCCATGAGCTAATCCACTACGGTATCAGCATTCTTTTCTCATAAGACATGCAAATCACAAAGAGCCTCATCAATATGTCAATGTAGAAAAAGAAAATGCAACCACTGATAAATGCGGATCCGAAAGTTATCGGTCTCGGGCGATCGCAATAGCGCGCCGGCACTAAATTACCGTCTTCACCGGCCCACATCAAGACCCCGAATACGTCACCGCAAGTTCCATACTCCCCGCAAAGCTCCATCCTGAATCGAAGACAAACTCTACCAAGACATCTCATCGATATCTTCAATTAGTTCTGTCAATATGACTGATCGCTACGTCGCTGTTCACAAAGCCGCCAGCGGTCCGGGAGACGCTCGACCCACAGCCGAGCAGATCATCAAAGACGAGAACCTCGAGGGAAAATTGACGGACCATGTCGTCCTCATCACAGGTTGTTCAGCAGGTATTGGCGTCGAAACTGCCAAAGCGATGTATCTCACTGGGGCTACTCTGTACTTGACCGCCCGCGACATCGAAAAGGCCAAGAAAGCTCTAGGCGGCGATCTTGTTCAAAGTGATCGCGTTAATTTTCTCGAGATGGATCAGGTGTCACTCAATAGCGTTCGATCCTGCGTCGCGGACTTCCTACATGAGAGTCCAAAATTGGATATCCTTATCTGCAATGCCGGAGTTATGTGTACACCCGGGGCACATACCAGGGACGGCTTTGAGAGTCAATTTGCAACAAACCACCTCTCCCACTTTTTGCTGTTCAACCTACTTCTACCGGCACTACGCAAGGGCGGAACGCCTGATCGCTCAGCCCGGGTCGTTATCCTTTCTTCACTGGCTCACCGCTTCGGCGAAGTCAACTTCGACAACGTGAACCTCGAAGGCTGCTACGATCCCAACAAAGCCTACGCGCAAAGCAAAACCGCCAATCTCTGGACCGCAAACGAAATCGAGCGTCGCTACGGATCCGAAAGAATCCACGCATGGAGCGTTCAACCTGGTGCTGTGTTCACCGATTTAGGGAGACACATGTCCGAGGAAGCGAAGAGTAAGATCGGTGCAGATCCATATCTTCAGAAGGTCTGGAAGTACTCTGACCAGGGTGCTGCGACGACTGTTTGGGGTGCTACGGCGGAGGCTTTGGAGGGGAAAGGAGGAAAGTATCTTGAGGATTGTCAGATTATTGGGAAGTGGGATCCTGAGAGTTCGATGTATGAACCTGGGTATGCGGAGTGGGCTTATGATGAGGAGAAGGCGAGGAAGTTGTGGGAGAAGTCGGTGGAGTGGGTAGGACTCTAGATATAAGTAACTGTATGACGACTGAGTCCTTTTATAGACAATGTCTGAGGGTTATTCGATGATCGCCGCAAAACAAACTATGATTGTTGAACAAATGTTTCCGTGTCTGTGATCCAAGTCACAAAGCCTGTCTTATGAACCTCCTTGTCTCGGCATTTGCAAGTCTAAGCCATTTTGAGAATAAGGTAAGGAAAACGCCCCACGGTGGAATCCTCATTATTCATGAATTTTAAATAGCTCACTTCAATGGAATCATTATCGGCCTATAGCTGCCGATCTGAGACCCGGATAAAACTTCACCAGACATCATGCCGACAACATATGCTTCCCCAACGATCACCCAGTGGTCTTGTCTAGCACGGATGATTATTGGGGCATGACAACCCTTCAAAACCGCAATTGTGTCATCCTTCTGGACCTTGGCTGGACATAAACCAAGCCGTCCATCTTTGGTGGTGAAGAAACATCTTCCCATAGTCGTTCGGGTGATAGCATGGCATCGTTTTTGAGCCACTCTTGGGTACGCCCTTCTTGGGTGTTCTAAGAACGCCTCAAATCCTGGGCTATCTACACCAGCGCCAATCAATTTCAAGAAATCATCGTAAGAGCACTTCTTTGCCTGGGTTGCAAGATGCCGCCATCGCTGGATCGTCGACGCGCACTTATGTGCAATCGTGACTGAGCCTCCGAGCATCGCTACCGTATCAGCTATGATGCCCTCGGCGATAAGCGTTCGTGGAAATTGAGACATATCTACCACAGCCTGGGTATCCCCAGCTGCGTGATAAGACCGGACCTTCCTGCCAAAAAGCTTTATACCTGCCTCTGCTTGCCAAGATGGAAGCCAGCTTTGGAACTGGTATGGGCCCAGGCATTGTCTCAAGCAGATGAGATCAAGGTTTCCTCGCCTGATCGCCATGAAATGGACGAGGTCCTGGAAGACCTTGCAAACAGGTCTGTTATAATCAGGAGCTAGATCTTGCGCCGATATATCTGACGTCATACCGAGAAGTGCATATAACTTATCACAAGGATCGGTAGCATGGTAATCGTGAGTGGATCGTAGAAGACGCATGACTGGCATTGCCCCGGCCGCCCTGAAAGAGTCAAGGTCTCTGAACTTTTGGAAACTGCAAGAACGTAAAAGGGGGGCGAGCGCATGGTTGGTAAATTCTAGTTGGATAATCGTCGAACAGATTCGTCGCAGGTAGAACCAAGGGAAGGTAGTGCGTCCAAGGACGATGACCAGCGCTCGGGCTGCAACAACCTCCTGTACTATCCAGATACGCCTCCACCAGGTCTCTTGGAAAAGCTTCCTCAATCCCCTCAACGCGTCATGCTTGTAGGAGAATATGTTCCCCTTCTTCTTGGGATTGTTGTAGTCCAGGATCATATCCAAAGTAAGACCAACATCAGCGGTAGGGTCCCCGAGCCAAATCACGACGGATGCCGCCGCTGAGTAGACTTTTTGCATCATACTGACTTGGTGATTTCGCTCATGGTTGTCGCTCTGGTTTATACAAATGGCATCAATCCAAAGCCGTCGACGTTCCTTTGGATGTCTAAGCCGCAACAAACCCGTGTGGAGATTTCGAGCTGTGCCAAGTTTCTTTCCGTCAACCAGAATTTCTTCGACTTGCTCTGGATCTCCCCAAGCATAAGATAGAGCGTCATACGTCCTTGAAGTTTGACCCTTTCTATTGCAATAGTAGGTGTATGTGGGTACATGGACAACCGTTGGAGCCCTATGAGAATTCAGCAAGTTTGAGTAACATCAAGGTCGCGCTTGCTTTACCCTTGTTGATTGGTATGGACGATGCGTTCCTTTCCGGTTTGATTATGACCATACGTCCAGGCGAACCTAGCACTTCGTTTCTTGGGAACTGCCTTCGATGGCAGCCGTAGGAAATCCAAGGTCCCTTCTATGGCGTCTCTATCTGATCCTGGCATCAGCGTGAGAATCCGAATTTGATCTTTGTAGATTAGAGGCTGATAGACGTAATTATTCATGGTTAAGAATCTAGAGTCCTAGATTGTTGAAATGACTTTTGTCGAGAAGGCAGCAAGACGGCTTTACGAGGTTGATTTGTTGGGCTTGGTTCAGAGGTTAAGCAGAAACAAGGCTTTCAGCGTGCGAGTTGGACTTGCATCGCCACATCTGACATGCAGCCTGAGCCGCACTGGGCTGCGAGCCTTAACGTAGGCATACTAGCAAGGCTTTCTATCACAAAACAATTATGGTTCATACGCCAGTAGCCATATGGCCATATTATAAGCTGAAAAGAGTACGACGGGAATAGAAATACAGATGATAGATTACGATCTGAAACAGTTTCTAAGTACAAGGCTTGATTAGCGGTGAGATATAATATAGTCTGACCATCTGGAAAAGTGCAGTAGCGGGATAGACTTTTAGTCATTCAGTGAGGCTGCTAGATATCTGTGTTGGGTAATAAAATCCTCTTTCTCTCAATCGAGGCGTATTAGCTTTTCCAGCATAAGCAAAGAGATAGTGATCATCAGACCAACTGCCCGATTCAGCTACACGGGATCCTTCACTAGCTCAAGTCTTTTTGTATCCAATAGAAACTCCCGAATCCATACAACGCTTTGATTAAAGTCGTCTGCCAAGGACATAAGGGAGGCGCAGTATTCGCTTTCTCTCAATCCGACTGGCAAGGATATACTATGCAAGGCAAGGGCAGCATTTATTAAACTCTTGTCTTCCTGTTATATCCGTACTCAGTATTCTATCTCCTGATTAGTACCTCTCAAACATTTGTCATGTTATTGCCTCGCTCCTTGATACTTTTCGGGACCTCTTTAGTGGCAGCTAGCCCAATACTATCATCAAACAAGCAGTCCACCGAAAGGCATGGCGATGTAGTGTACAGCGTCTACCACCATGCAGCTACTCGCTCCAAGCTGTCCTTCGTCAAAAACTCCGGGATATGCGAAACCACACCCGGAGTTAACCAGTATTCAGGCTATCTATCCGTCGGTGAAGATGCAAATATGTGGTTCTGGTTCTTTGAGTCCAGAAATAATCCTCGCAAAGCACCTCTCGTGAGCTGGTTTGGTGGCGGACCAGGCAACTCCGCGCAATATGGCATGTTCACTCAACATGGGCCCTGCGAGATTCTAGAAGACGGTGCTGAACCCACTCTGCGAGAACACAGCCTGAACAATCATGCCAATGTCCTCTACATCGACCAACCAATTGGCTCTGGTTTTTCATATGGCAATGACGCAATGGTCAATTCCACCAAGGACTGCTCTCCCTACGTCTGGGCCTTTCTACAATTGTGGTTTGAGGCATTTGCCGAGTACGAAAACAAAGATCTTTCGGTATATACTGAATCCTACGGTGGACATACCGGCCCAGAAATCGTCAATCACATCCTTGGTAAGAACGTGAAGATCAAGGCTGGAAAGACTAGTGGGGATGTCATTAATGTCAAAGCATTGAGCGCTAGTAACGCTTGGTTCGATGCAAGGATACAAGAGAAGGCCAACCTTGACTTCGCGCTCAATAACTCATACAGGCCCCTCATCAACGAGTCTCTGTACGAAGGGCTTTTGGAAAAGTATAAGAATGAGGTCGTGCCAAGCCTGGAGAAGTGCGATGAGAGTGGAACGACCAAGGACTGCTTTGCAGCGTATCGAGGTTATCTGGACGGTATCGAACAGCCGATTTGGACAACTGCCATGGACAAATACGATGATTGGATCATGGCTGATATTCAACCTGGCGGTGTTCGCCCTCCCACTTATCATCAGAAGTATCTCGAGAGGGCCGATGTGCAAAAGGCGATTGGAGCCAGAGTAAACTACACTGAAAGTGGAGGCCAGTTCGGTATTCTCGAATCAGGCGAAGGTAAGTCTATCCATATTCGTAAGGAGGCTTTGTGTTAACAGCTGTATCAGATGCTAAATCATTCCTCGGCGAACTCTCACGTGTTGTTCAGGATGGTGTTCAAGTGCTCATATGGGCTGGCGACTCCGACTACGTTTGCAACTGGGTTGGGACAAAAAGAGTTGCAGACGCAGTGGATTGGCCGGGAAAAAGGGGGTTTGCTGAGATGGAACTTGAGCCTTACAAGGTTCAGGGTGTCGAGCAAGCTACGTTCAAGTCTGTGGAGAATCTACACTACGCGCGAGTTTTTAATGCCGGTCATAACGTCTGGTGGTACCGTAAGTAAAAAGTCCGAGGAACCAGGGCCATTGACTGACTTTGAGCAGAGCCTGAGACTTCGTTGCAGATAATGACGCAGTTTCTTTCAGGAAATGGTCTGTCCTCTACATAATTTCCGAAACAAAGACCAGTAATCAGAGCACATTCCCTACTTCGACCGGGAGCTGTTGCTAGAGTTGGGAACAAGGACAGAAGCTGCAACAGCGACAAAGAGGGTTTTGATGTTTAAGGAAAACCCACAGTTTCAGAACAAATACATATTCGTATACAAATTATCTACATGAAGTAAGACTTCTAACAGGTATTATCTAGTAATCGCCACTTATTTGGCCTTGCCATTCTGAAGGAGAAGGTTCTTAGTTCCTTCAGGGACTCCCTTAACAACATCCTTAAGTGCAATACTCTGAAGATATTCACACATACCGGCCGCCGACTTTCCAAGACCAAGGAAGTAAGCCGCAACTCCAGCAACATGTGGCGTGGCCATAGATGTACCGGAGATAGACTTTGTAATACCTCCAGGCCATGTGCTCAAGACAGCAACACCGGGAGCGTAGAGGTCAACGACCTTGCCAAAGTTGGAAAAGGTAGCAACAGTGTCGTCCTTTGTTGTTGCGCCAATGGTGCAGACGCTGGGCTCCCTAGCGGGTGAGTTGCTCGAGGCATCCAAGGGCCTGCCTTTCTCGTCACCGTTTCCGGCAGCCACAGCTGCGAAGAAGCCGGCTTCGACGAGAGCCTTGGCAGCATCGTCAATACCCTTGGAGGGAATCTCTCCGAAAGACATGCTGACGACAACGCCCTTGGGGCAGTCTCTCTTGGGGGCATCCTTCAGGACCAAGTCCATGCCAGCAATGATAGAGGATCTTTGGCTTGTTAGTTACGATATTAAAGCGAGTTAGAATGGGATTACGTACGCAACTCCTTCTCCGGTAGAGTTGAAGAGCTTAATGCCATAAAGTTGAGTCTTCTTGGCGACTCCATATGTCTTTGATCCGATGGTGCCGGCACAGTGAGTGCCGTGGCCGTGGTCATCATACCAGATGTCGTCAACATAAGTGGCGATAAACTCGGCACGACCTTCAAAATCCTAGACTCTGTTAGCTGCGACCTCGTGTAAAGATAGAGATGTCATACGGGATGCTCTGTGTCGATGCCAGTATCAAGAACGTAGGCACACGTTCCCTTGCCAGCTGATGAATCATACGAATATCGTGTTGCTCCAGTAGTCTTGCTTGAAAGTCTCGCAAGACCCCAGGGTGCCTGCTTCTGTGTAGCAGAGATCCTGGCTGTTGAGTCTTGCTCAATGTAGGCCACCTATATGTATCACATCAGTAACGATTCCAAAGATACTTTACATACACACATACGTTGGGGTTGTTGCGCAAGTCCTCCACCTCACCGGCTGATAGGCTGGCAGAGAATCCACCAAGAGTGTCAAAGACCATATCGGGCTCGGCAGCAACGGCTTTCACGGCTGAATCAACGTGCATTGTGGTATCCGATGCCGGCTTCATCATGACGATGTATTTTCCCTCGATACCAGTATCATCGCGTGTGAAAAGGGGAGCCCGCTTTTCGAGGCTAGCTGTGGCAGAGCCAGCTACAAGCAGACCAGTAGAGACAGTTGACAGACGCATGTTGACTGATAGATTCTTATCAAAGTGGATGAAGAGAATGGGACGAGGTGGAAAACGAACACACGGTTGCTACATGTTCCTGCTTCTTATAGTACTGAACATACCGCATTGATGGGGATTTACAAAAGGTCTTCAGACTCCACTATCGTCTATCACGGGGCTCTGTTGGGAAGGTCAAACATCCTGGTCAAGCATTGAATGGATCAAAAGGTCCTCTTTCAGGGGTATCTCGATCTAGCAGGGATCGGCTCGCTTCCTATTCTAGTATGTGGTCATCCGATAACAAAAGTTCGTAGAGTTCTGTATGTATTAAGAAAGTGCTATGACCAATCTTTATTATTATAGTCCGACAAGTCCGATCGCTATCTAGTTAGTTCAGACTTTAAGTCTAGTCGCGTCAATAGGAAGAATTGTTTAAGCATATTTGGGTCGGGCGAGATCGGCTCCACTGGAGCGGCGAGCTGATTCCTCAAAAGGCCTAGCGCCGGTTTACAGTCACAGTTACCTCAAGATCTTGGACAATGAAGTGCTTGATTGAAGGAATACTGACTATCATGAGGAGGAGCAATAACTAAGAGATAGGAAACCACACCGATGTATCCCAATCAACATTCTCTTTCGCCGATTCGATTCGTTCGTGGCATGTCCCAAATAACTTATCCCAGACACGAGTCTGTTTACCGTAATTATGGCTCTTCCTATATCCCTTACGGTGATGCAAGTCATGATCTTCAATGACAAGCTCAGCACCGACCAGCTGCAGTAGCCAGTTCAAGGTCGAAGGAGGCATGCCATATACTCTGAGTCCACTGTGACCAAGGACTTCTGTGAAGGCGATGTACTGATGACACACCCACCATTCGTAGAAGCCCAAGGGCATTCCAAGACAGTAGAATGTCAGCCAGGTAAAGAATGGCACGCCAACCATGTCGAAGAACTCCTGCTCATGGTCGGCATATGCAGCAAGAAGAGTATTGGGGTGTTTCGTCAGATGATGGGTTCGGTGGTACTTCCACAACGAATCAATATCGTGCATAGCCCGATGGTATACATAGAACCAAAAGTCAAGGATAATACCATATAGTCCGATTTGGAAGTACAGCCAAGCCCACCAAGACAGGTCGCTCATGGCAGACAGGGGAGACTGGCTGGTGTCGTAGCTGATCCATGTAGCGAGAAGAATGCGGGACCCAGTAGTTTTCCACAGCGACGAAACCACTTTATCAACGCCAACATCAGGAACTCCATCACGCTCATGAGCATCTCCGTCAAGAAATCCATACTGATGCCCGACTTTGCGTGCAGCCTTGACTTGGCGAACAACAGTCCAGCTGAACATAGGGAAGTAAAGAAGGAACACGGCGACAGGGTGCAGGGCATCTTGATGTGCGTAAGAAAGTAAACCTTGGTGGACTGCGATCGGGGCAAAGGCGTGTGAGAGAACCCAAACGTGACCTTGCCATTGAGCAAAGTAAGGCATCTTATCGGTTTTCTTATGGACGGGCACGTCTTCGCCTGGGCTAACTGGATATGCGTTCAAGGCATGAATGACATGATGGTTGACACCCCATTCTGACTTGTTTCCAAGAGCCCAAGTCGATTTGATTGAGTCTTTAGGTTGCATATTTGCCTTTGTACTTATAAGTGCGTGTTTTGCAGCTGTAATCGATAGAAAGTAATGGCAGGGTAAGCAGATATTTGTTATTCTTAATCCTGGTTGATACTTGTAATTATGGATGATGGATATGAGTTGTTATATAGATATATAGGCTTCAATCATAATTCGTTGTAAAAGTAAAAGTAATGCCGAGGTAACTTTCATATGGGTGTGTGGAAAATGTCAAATGCGTGATGGCCTCACTAGTAGTCGCAAACTTAGCCGTTTCCACTCAGCTCCACACCGGGTAACAGGTAGGCATCACAACAGCAACTATGCTTCAACACGATAAGCAAGTTTTAAAGAGCGAGAACTCCAAAGAAAACGCGCTGAGTCTCTAATTCGATGAGGTTTTACCATGATATCTTGCCATCTCACTCGAGTCATGAGAAATATTCCCGTGAGCAAGATCTCTCCGTGACCATGACAGTGAGACTACAATGAAAAGCGCCTCGGCGGCTCTTCCTTCATCAACTATGTTCATCTTGGGGAGCAGTTCCTTCAAATTGTACAGACACATGTCAGAAATATGGTCTCAATTGTGCGATTGGGCTGTTGTATCGCAAACTTGACTTAAAGCAATTGCAAGACGAGTGTAGACAACCTTATGACGTAAATACACATGCCAAACTGACGGGTAGAACCTTAAACAAAGACAACTGCCAGTGGGGAAATAAAAAGACAATCGTTTACCAAGCACAAAACGGAGATTGATGTCTGGTGATTTCTTCGCTTTTGCGTCGATCACACTCAACAAATAATTGTCAAGTGCGCGATTCCTAGTAGAGACTAGCTTGCGAGTGAACTTTTATGCATGCGCGATCTGGCAACAGCATAAAATGACCCCGCACTCGACATTCACCCATTTGCCGAGCGGGATGTATTCCGCTCCTACTGCAGGGAGACCTGATGATGCGTTTTACAGTGGCGAATACGGAATTTCAGAACACTTGGCTACATTACTATACTGTCGCTTAAACAATATGATTGGTTGCCGAGATTGCTGGCCAATGACCAAAGAGAAACAAGGTAGATTCTAAGGCACAGTCATAAAACGACGAAATACTAACTGATAGCACATGCAGATACCGCGGCTATAGAACGCAAAATCTCCTGTACTGTGTTGCTCATCGTAGTCGACATCGATCTTAGTAAGGTATTGCATGATGTCATGAGCATTTCTTTTCACTAGTTTTGTCGCCGGACCCTGACGAACAATTTGTACATCGATTGGCGACACACATGTGACTATGAGATTCAGGTCGGGCAGCAACCAATTGATCGGATACTTTGCACCGCTCAGTACTTATAAGAGTCTTTTGACTAAAGAATTGATGCCGGAGAGCCTCCATGACGGCCTCAAAAGCATCTGACGCTGGATTACCCTATACAGCTGCAAGTGCCACATTGCACCGATGGTACGATGCTGGAATTCAAATCGGGATAAACTGCTACACTATAGTTAGTTCTTGAATTAAACTACGTCTAGAAAGTAGTTATGCTACTGTTTTCGTTGACCGAGCTGAAACGTAAAGAAGAAAGTTGATAAACTCTTTCATAGATAATACCACCAAGAAGCGCTAGATGTCTCTCCACCATCCAGTTTCCTTACCCGCGCATCTCCACTGATCCTAATCTAATTCCCTAGCTACAAACTCCTCCCAGGTAGGAGCTACTCCCTTCTCACGAAGCCTATCTCTCAATCCAGCTAGATCTTCTGTTTCGCTCTTGAAAATGAGCTGCCTATCGATAATCTCCCATTTGACCTTGCCTTCGCCAAAGATCTCATCCAGCGCTGGAGTGAGTTTTGCATAATCTGGAATCTCATTCTTGTCCAAGAAATACATGTAGCCCATGCAGAGATCCATTTTGAAATGTTGTATATAAGACGATAGATAAATGAAATCCTTGTGGTCTTTTTGGGTGGTGCCTTTTGAGCCGACGGTGTAAATTTGGGGCAGTAAGATTAAGTGGACGGATGTAGGCAACAACTTATAGTCCGAGATATTTAGCAACCAGGTGAGAGCTGGACTGTTATGTGGTTCATGTCGGAATGATGATTAATAGCTGTACAGACTACGTCTGTTTCGCTGGTCATCTGGCAGACATCTGTGTCAGTGTTGAGGTTTCTCGCGATGAGGTGTCACAAGGAGGGGAAGCTGATAGCTGACTGGATGTCTGTCGGGGACGTGTTACCCTGCGCATCAGCGATACTGTAGGTGATTGAGGTGACAAGCATAGGTCATTCGAATAAGGTGCGGTGAGTCAATGTTGATGGATAAACCGATGAATAAATTGTTCTTATCTATTACCGCCTATTGATCATACTAGACGGGTATCATAAAGCTCTTTTCCCATTAAACCTTTTTCGTAGAAATTCCTTACAAGTGAGACTTGGTCTTCTCCTCACGGCCCTTCAAGTTGGGGTGAGCATCGCGAACAGGTCGAGTGACGACGTAAAAAGCGAAACCCTCGGACTTGGTAGAGAACTGGACCTTGGATCCAACGTGGAAGAAGGCAAAGTCACCAGCGGTGAGGTGGTGGGTAATGCCAGTAGCCTCGTCCTGTCAACAGTTAGTATATTTTAGAAGGAAGTACAGTGGTGGAAAGACTCACGAGAACGTCGACTTGACCGCTCAGGACATACTTTGACTCCTCAAAGTTGTATTGCGCAGGACGAGCAGGACCAGCCTCGATCTTGTAGAATCCAGAGGTGATGTGAGCGGGGGAGTCGGTCTTTGTGCGGATGGTGTGGAAGTCGGCGGTGGTGGCGTTTTGGCCGTTGGGGAGAGGGATGTGCTCGAAGCCAGCGCCCTTGATGACGGTGAGAGGAACGGCGGACATTTTGACTGTAATTGGTATTCTGTTGTGCAAAGGATAGAATATGCAGAGACAGGAAAGGTGAGGTAAAGATAAGAAGACGGTGGTTTATATAGCTGAGGAGATAGTTCGGCAAGTGCCCCGATGCTGGGGATGAGTTGTGGGGAAGGGAAGTTAAGATGGCACGGAAGTAGTCCCGGGCTCCACAACGGATCGGAGAACAGGTATGGTATCAGCAACGTTGTTATACTCAGAAATGCTACAACGTGGCATTTACATAGGGTTTCTATCTAATCTATCTCAATTCCAATACAGATAGACTCGATTGCTGTTATTCTTCTTGGATATGCATTCATTATCCAGCAATTGCAGGTACATGTCCTCCCCGGAATTTGCTTCTCCATATTCGGGGTTAGCGTAGCCGCGTGGACTAGACCCGTCCTCCGTCCCCTCCGGTATTCCCCCACGTGATCGGATAACTGTCACTACTCCGGAGGGGCTGGGATACTTGCCTCCTCAACAATCTTATCACGAACGTGTTCACTTGTAATGACGCAATTGGATGGAAGCTTCATGCCGCTCATTCAATTCCATCGTACTTGCAACCGGATCTCATTTAGGGTCTGCTATTTATGTGACGGCAAGGTTCTGATGAACTTCGATGAATAGTAACATGTGGGTACGACGGTCACCGGTACCAAGTTCCGGGGATATCGATTCTGCGCAGCCGAAGCCAAGAGATAAGCCGAACCCTCCCAGACTCGTTTCTAGAAGATCGTGGACCCTTTCTGCGAACCAGTCGGCGACATCTGTCAGATGCAATATGCAGGAACGCTGGACGCTAGCTGGAATTGTCCGATCTTGGAGACGGGTAAGCTGTGATAGAGGGGAGACGTTCTCACTCGAGTAGCAAAGCGCTCTAAACCAGGTATCGCGACCAGATGCTATCGCGGAACAGGGACTTATCAATTGCTTAATCTCAAACTCCACAGCTGCATACCTTGTATTTTCTCTACCTAAATCTTGAGTCTAGTATGGGTAGACACTGGCTTCGCCCTTATCATCAAAGGGTTCTTGATCCAAAGCGCAAAAGACTTCTGATCCGCCCAATTTCGACACTCCTCCTCCAGCTCAAGATCAAACTTAAACAGCAACACGGCCAGAATAAGTCTCATCTCATGCATCGCCATATTCTGTCCCAAACAGTTCCTCGGTCCAAATCCAAACGGCTGGTGTGAATCAAGAGCATCGCCTGCATACTTCGCGTCCTTCTTCAACCATCTTTCGGGAACGAATTTGTCAGCGTCTTTGAAGTTGGACTCGGAGCGGTAGGTGGACCAGTGGTGTACCGAGACGCGGGTTTCGGGTGGGATGTATTTGCCCAGGATCTGTTGGCCGGCTGGGGAGACGACGCGGGGACTACCGATGGGGACCGGGGGATAGATGCGGAGGGCTTCTTTGAGGCAGGCGTTCAAGTACTTGAGTTCGGTGACACGTTCGAAAGTGATTTCTTCGGGATTGGTGAAGTTGTCTCGAAGTTCTTTGAGGAGAATATCCATCTTGTCTGGGTTTGTCAGGAGATAGTACATACAGCCGCTCAAGAGTGTGGCTATATAATAGGTTAGTCCCATCATTACTTGGTATTCATAGGGCACTGACCTGTGGTCTCGGACCCGGCAAGCATGAACAGCTCAGCATTAGAGTGCATCTCCTTCACAGTAAGTCCCTTACCCTCCTTCGCCGCCAAAACCAGATTCCAAACATCAGGCTGGTCAGAACCTCTCTCCAAGCGTCGATCAACACGCTCAGCTGAATGTTGGCAGTGCGTAACACGTTGTTGAGTAACCGACTTGGGCTCAAACCGAGTGAACAAGGCGTTGAGAATGGGATAGTAGTTGATCATAGAAGCAATTGGGAGCATTGTGAGTGAGTCAAAGATTGACTTGACCCACGGACTGTACTCGTTCTTTGCGAGAAGGTTGAGGTTCTCGCCAAAAGATAGCTCGGCCATGACATCAAAGGTCGTGAAGTTGAGCAGTCGACTCATCTCGACTGGCTTGGCTCCATCTTCACCAACTTCGGAAATCTTGTACATGAGAAGATCTGTATACTTTCTGAAGAGCGGCTCTTGTTGTTTTAAGGCGCGCTCTGAAAATGCTGGTGAGAAGAGTCGACGCATACGGGCATGGTTTGTGACGTCCTGGGTAAGCATGCTTGGTACGCCTATCAATAGTCATTAATCTTGATTCTGACATATGACGGTTGGCTTTCTTACCATTGACAGGCTGAACAGAAAACTCCTGCGCCTTCTCCGAATCCTTGCGCCCGTTGATGTCATTCCAAGCCTCAGCAGTAGCATAGCTCACATCAGTAGGACCAAATCGAACAACAGGTCCATACGTATCATGAAGATCCTTCATCCATTTCACATCCTCACCCTTGAGTGCTACTAGCCAATAAGGGATTCTTGTGATGCCGCATATTTTCGGACCGGGGATGCTCGCCAGCGGATGAAGTGTGATGTAGTAAATGCTCACACCAACGGTGTAAAAAGCAAAGCAACCCGCCAGGAAAAACAGAGTTTCCAACATCGTGCGTGACAGGAAATGAATGAATGACTCGGGGAACTGGCGAGAGCAAGGAGCGAGAGCATGGGCTTGTTTTTCTTTTTATCAGTGAGTTACAGAAGATAAGTAGGACAAGGGAACACAGAGTGATTGTTGCACACAATTGGTTCGGGTTCCTCGAGTATCCCGTAGGCGTCGGGGACCCTGGTTTCGAACGACCAACAGCAGCATTCGTTTGACGGATTGGGATTGGGTTGGGTGGTACTACAGGGGTTTGTGCAGACACTGCAACCAACAGTTCGTAAAAATATCGTACATGTCAACTTTCACCCTTGCCGAGCCGCAATAAGGTTTGCACACAGCCCCTGCTGATTGCTCTTAGGAATGGCACCCAGGTACCAGTTTACAATTAATACCTGATGCCCTTGCAAAGATTTTAGGGCACTCCGCGGGAGGTAGGGTCGTATCGGTACACCACGAATCCTTAGAGGAGCGTAATCCCGTCAACTTTATTGGCATTTGACACATCAAGCGGCCCGGAAGCCTCACCCGTCCGTGAGGCTTGGCCAAGTACAGCCAAAGTGGCAGGGAACCCGGACGCTAGTGCAGACGAAGGAGCCAACATCGGCGAGCATTTGTGCCTAAATCGTTTTCTTGTTTCATGGAGCAGCAAAGTCAATTCCAGTCCTGGAAAGAACGGAATTGTCTACTTTCGCCGTTGAAATGAACCATCATTAGCAATAGATACAAGGAGTAAGGAAAAAAAAAAAAAAGACTGCTGCCAACTATCAGATCATATGATCATTGCATGGACCACGTTAAGCGACAGTAATTTTTGTCCTGTTGGCTGGACGCTTTAATTCAGGATAAAGTTTGCTCCTGATTCTCACCCCTGGCGCCATGGCTGCAACACTGGGAAAAGCAATAAGACGTAACAGCGGCAATGTCATCAGTACCGGGGACCACTGCAATTTCTGCAGTGCCGGTGGAGAACGGCAGATGTACTTATTTGTTAGATAAAGATAAACAGGTCGCTGCAGACCAAACATTTTCGCATTTTGACATTTTCTCGTATATCATACCCGGGTACTTTATCTGCACTTCGAAAACCCGTAGTCTCGCGGATATTAGTCCCTCGACATGGCAGACTCCTTGACAGGAGAGCAAATCCAGGCTTTGGCCAATGCTCTCCCTCCTCTAACGCCAAAAGATCTAGGTCCCGTCGTCCAAGGCTTCGCACTAGCTTTTGGAATCACTAGTGTCATAGTCGTGACGCTCCGCATCTATGTCCGCGCTGGCTTGTCTGATGTCTCGCCACAACTTCTTGGTCCGGAAGACTATCTATCTGTTCTATCAGCTGTATGTTTCAGAGTGTTCTTTACTTCTAAACACTGCTAACTTTTTAGCTCCTCTTCATACCCGCAATCGTCTTCTCTGTTCTCACAACACGCTACGGAGTCGGATCGCACGATGTTAATATCCCGAACCCGCTATACCTTATCCGAGCCACCGAATACCAAACGTACTGGGAAGTCCTGTACTTCATATCATCGACGATAATAAAATGCGCGATTGGCCTCACCTGTATACGACTCGACTCCCGAAAGCGCGTCGTTTATCCGATATTCATTAACATGGCGGTCATGATCACCATAACGATTCTTGCATTGGTATACGTCTTTGCGAACTGCACGCCATTCGCTGCAACATGGAATCCGGCACTGTACGTATGAAATGAAAGAGCACGGCGTTTCAGCATACTGACATTCATATAGAGGAACGTGCCAGAAGAAGATTAGTTTGCAGGTGGTCAGCTACATCGTTTCAGCCTTCCAAATGGCAACGGATTGGGCATGTGCGATAATACCGTGCTTCATCGTAGCTGGGCTACAGATGTCGAGACGCAGAAAGATATCTGTGATTGCCATTCTTGGTCTTGGTGTTTCAGCCAGCGTTGCTACCTGCGTCCGGATGCCGTACCTAAAGTATTACGATGTCGTCAAGTACCCAGACGAGATAGCTTGTATGTACCGCCATTGCTCACCGACTGGCGACGCTGACAAAGTATTAGATCATCTCGCCGTCATCAGTATCACCTCGAACGTCGAATGCTGTCTAGGCATCATCGCATGCTCATTGCCTCCACTGCGGAAGTTATTCAGATTTTACTACGGCTCTTCTCGCGATAACTACCAAATCACAGACGAGGTAAGTATCATATAAGCCCATTTTATCTTCCTTCCCAGCTGTCCCTTCTTGGTTATCTTCATAAAAATGCTGACAGCAATTCGCAGAGCGCAACTCCCTTTGACGGCTCCAATCATGGTATCAGACTTAACCACATGACAGGCCGTAAAGAGGACTTCCGTACTTCAGCACAACGCGGTCAAACGACTGTGACAGGAAATGACACGGACGAAGATAATTCGAGTGCTAGAAGGATTATTCGCAAGACGGAGGTCAGTGTCAGTTCATCTCATGTCTAGTACAAATAGAGCAACTTCATTAGAACATTGCATTGCCTCGACGCCTGTTGATGTTCGTAGTGTTACGTGTTATAGATATCATGGGCACTGAGCACATTAGAGTCGATGCACCCGCAATCTATGCGGTTCATGATATATTCTCAATAATCATCAGATAGAATAGTCCACGGGTCTGGATCGCCTATGATACGATACTGTGTAATATAGACATCGGCCGGCTTTGTCCAATCTAGCCGATCTTTCTTTGTTCGCACCATAGACTGCCACATTTCTCGCCTACTCTTCCGACCATCTCGGGCAAAAGGAGCCCAATGAGCAAACTTGCCATTCTCAAATTCGCACCCTCGTTTGTTCATGTATCTGGCCCACTCCACGTCATTGAAACCTTCAAGGTCAAGATTTTCTTCTCCCCATTTCTCTGGCAGGTCAGTGCCGTCGACAACATCACAAAGTTGGAGTTCGTTATAGGTATCCAAGCAACTTTGAATGAAGACGTCGAGGTTCGGGTATGGTAGCCCTCTGAGACTGCGTGTGATATTCTCAGGTTCGCAAGCTATGTGAGCATCTCGTGCCGGCACCAGGATGAAGTAGAAGTTCGTACCCCTGCCTTGAAAGCGATGGTAGGTGTGCACAAGCGATTTGGTGGGATAAGGCCAAGGCTCCACCAAGGAGTAGTTGGCCGAATGTGGCTCTGTTTGCAATAATTTCGCAGCCTTATCTACGAGCTCCGTCGGGACACAAATTTCCCAGTCCTGAAAAGCCGATGCGAAATGGTCAGCGAGCCTATTGGCTGATCACAGGAGGATGAGATTTTCAGAGAACACGCACCGGACGCCCTCTGGCGGCGCCGTAGAATATGAGAGCAGAAATCCCCACAAGACAACATGAAATGTCGGATGCTTCGAGAATTCGAGTGACAGAGAGAACATCGTCAGTACCGCGACCCCCATTGGAAGCGAGCTTGTAAGTCAACGCCTTTATTGTCGGCCTAGGGAAGGATGGGGGAGGCAATGTTTTGGCACCGGTGCCCGAGGATGCCTTCCGCCAACTCATCGTAGTATCAGAGATTAGACCAAAGATATCTACCCAACTACATTGGGCTGTCAGCTGAGGCGAGATCACCCGGATACCGAGGCTGCGATGAATGTTGACGAGTGTTCAGATAGCCTTGTTTTACAAATTGAGAAGAAAGGTGGGCGTTGTTATGACCAATCAAGCGAGTAATGTGTCACGTGATCAGATTCTGTTCAATCAGAACTCCGCATTAGTGATACAGCTGGCGATTGATGGAGTGAGTTATCACAGGTGCCTCCTGATGTCGGGAACAAAATACAGGTCCCTTTCTCTTCAGTTCAGGCATCTTTTATTTATTTTGATCGTTGATAAATATCATCATATGATCTCGACTCTCACACTCGGGTTGTCTGGTTGTTACAAACCAACCAATGAGACATTGTCTCCTCAAAGACTGACTTACCTACGTCAAACTATATGAAGCTGTCGACTTACATGCTTCCTGTGAAGTTCTGTGCGCTCGTATCCTCCCCTTGGCTTGTCGACGTTTCACCAATTCGCTGAGGACCTGATGTCTTGCGTAGTCGTTAAAGTCGTTTGGAGTAATAGTCATCCCTCTAAAGAAGGTAACGGCGGCCCCGTTGTGGGCAGGGCCATCAAAGAAGGCTTCGGTTATATTTGTGATCGTTATTGTAATAGTTATATGTAAGGTCTACTCTCTTTGTTCTTCCCTAGAGCCTTGCTAACTTAGTAGTTGATATTAGTAGAAGGAAGAGGGAAAAATTCAGATTGAAGTAACGTATTCTATGTACAGCTGAAACCCGATATCAGGGCAATTAGCAAAGCAAAAAAAAAAGGTCCTGTGTAAGCATCGGAGTTATGGTGCTTAAAAAGTGTAATTTAAGATGGAAACCTTATTGTTAGGGGTCGACGTTTCACGTTCCATGTATCGGAAGACATGGCATTGGAAGGACTTCGTTCAGAAGATAATAACACCTAAGCAACGAGATGACATTTGTTCACATTCATGGTCTTCTCAATGATGACGTAGTCAGTCGCTTTCTCCATCGTGCGACTTTAAATAGACTTTGGATGATTACAATTAAGATTTTCCTCAAATAAAGTTATACATCTGAAACATCGTGACTGCGACCTTGCACGACACCATCTTACACTGCCCTTGATGTGCCACTCATCAAACTTTGACTCGTGATAGGAACAGCAAGCATCAAGGTTTTAACAAGGTTTTTACCCCGTCAGTATTCAAATAAACAGAGAACCCACAAGGTGAGAATGTCCCTCGCATCAACCATCCAAAATCAACACACGAACATGGTGCCTTCACCGCCTTCACCATCAGAAACCTCCTCAGAAGCGGAGCACAGACGCGAATATTATGAACGACAGGTAAACATAGGGAAATAGGCTCTCGATGCCGGCATTTTCAAAGCTCGGCGAAAAGATTGGAAACATCAGGTCCCGGACGTCACTCCTTCGTCGGTGTGAACATGTTCTTAGCGAACGCCCATATAGGAAAGCTACCTGGACAAACTTCCAATGGACTGCTTTCGGGGGATTGTTCTTCTTCTTGACATGCAATCAGTCTTCAGGCTCCGACAAACCAACCTCAATTCACGACAAATGATCAGTTCTTTGTTCGAATATCGATACGCTACGACATATGCCCTTGGCTTGTTCCAAGCTGGGTTAAAACATCGAACGGCGAGGTACATCACGCTTGCGCGCTTTCACAGACAGCTTTGTAAAACAATGTGCAGGCGTTGCAAGACTAAGTACATCGCCTTCTTTGTGGACCTGCTGTCCTGGGATAAAATTGCGTTCGTCATGTTGAGGAGGAGGTGTTATACCAGCCATATCTCAGAAAGTCCTACATCAGCTATCTACCATGGATGACAGATGAAATATTGAGTCGAATTCCTGTATTCACAGTCAAGGATGACCAGGTAGTCAGTCAGGACAGGGCGCTTCGGATAGGAGAGAAGGTGTCCCCCGAGACATATGGCTCTGACTATAACAAGCTCGAAAAGGTCTCGTCTGTTTTATTTACGATGATGTTTATCCAGACGCCGTATCTGGACACGAAGAACAACGGTGTGAGGACATTGAGCTCGTTTGCGTTGGTACTGAAATTCCGTTGTCAGACTAAGGCCTGGCTACGTCGAATCAAGCGCAACCAGGAATGTGACTCGCTTTTCGAGGAGTGGGGACGTAGAAAAAACTGGGAACTGTTCCACCTTTTTGAACAATTGGAACTTGACCCTGACCATGATAAAGAACAAGAAAAGAAAAACGGATGAAGGGACTAATAGGAGCAACGTTCGCAAGGATACGTAGTGAACTTGACATTTTGAAAAGCTTCCTAGCAACCAGACCAGCTCAAGACTATATACAGGTGAATAAAAAGCTGCTATTTACAAAGCCTCCCGGGCGTAACCCTGACAAATGCATCGGACAGCATTTAGCATGAAGCAACGCTGGGAACGTTCTGGCAGCTATCGTATTTCTTACCACCAGAGACCTGAACGTTGTTCCAAGTCCAGCCAGTGCAAGCACCCTTTCCACAAACGATGGCAGCGTTCTTGCCCTTGGAGTCAACAGCGTTCTTGCCCTTGATATTCTTGAGAGTGAGGTTGGTGATGGGGAGACCGCTGGTGGGGTTGCCGTGGAGGTCACCGCCGTCGTAGTTCTGCTCGACGAGGATACCGTACTTCTTGATCTTGGAGAGGGTGATGTCGGAGTAGGTGACCTTGTTGATCTTGCCGGTCTTGTTCTTGAAGGCCTTGACGCGGATACCGTTGGCAGAGTTGGTGATCTCGGAGTTGAGGAACTGGACGTTGTCGACAACGTTGTCGTCGCGGCCACCGACGGAGCCGATGGAGAGACCGTGGCCACCGTGGCAGTAACCGTTCTTGAAGATGATGTTCTGGATAAGTTAGTCATCGGGTTGCTTTATATTTGTCGGTGATATGCTTACCTTGCCAGAGTTGACGGCAACACAGTCATCCTGGTTCCAGACCTTCGCACCATCGATGGTAACACCGGTAGAGGAACCAATGTCGAAAGCATCAGTGTTGTGTCCACCCTTGGAGTCACCGAGCTTGTTATCAAGGGTAAACTTGTTAATCTCAAGACCGTTCACTCCGTTAACAGACATACACTGAACAGGGGAGTTCTTGATGTAGAGGTTGTTAATCTTGGAGTTAGTAAGCTTGTGGGCAGCAAAGAACTTGGGCTTAGTTCGGCCGCTGTTGCCACCGTTGCCATCCCAGTACTTGTCACCCTCACCGTTGAGAATGGCACCAGAGCCCTCGACAGTGATCTTGTTACCGGAGATCTTGACAAGGGGACCCTTCCACTCCTTGTAGCCCCAGGTGGTGGTGCCCTTGAAGATGACCTTGGTGTTGTCCTTGAGCTTGCTGAGGTCAAGAGTCTTGCCAGCGGGGACCTTGAGGCTGTCGAGGACGATGGTGCTGCAAGACTTCTGGGCAGCCATGGCCTTCTCGGCGCCGCTGGAGCCGGAGAAGGTGCAGCTGTCGCGCTTGGCGTAGGCGTGGACATCGTGCTCGCTGGCGGGAGTGGGAGGAGCAGCGAAGGCACTGCCAGCCAGGGCAGCGACGAGGACGGAGGTGAACTTGGTCATTTTGACGGAGTGTTGAGAATGAATGTATTCGTTGAATGAATGTACTGGTTGAAGAAAGCTTAACCTTTGGCCTGCAAAAGAATGTGATGGTGATAATTATCGTAACTTCTTTGTCGCCAACTACAACATCTTATATTGAACCTTTGTCGCAAACGCCAAGAAAAGTCAATACCCGTTTAAACATCGACAGTGCAACGGTCAAATTTCTCCTCCAATGGCATAGAACGCCGAGTATCCAGCACGGGCCGAGTTGAAATTAGAACGCATGGATAGGGACTAAAGGGCCTTGGTAGTTAGCTGTCAAAACGGGTTCAATATCTGATGGAGTCCGCGTGGCCTGGTGGGTTGGTGGATCGTTTCATATCCGCGATGGCCGATTAGCCGTGGTGGAGTCTCTTGGCGGGAATAAGACCTGGTGATAGGATGAATGGAAGTGTTTCAGATCATTCCAGAAATTTAAGGCTGAAAACTCGGCTTTCTTGACTGGTCTTGTCTGTCTCGGAGGTTGAAGATGGACTTCCAAATTTGGATGAATCAGCTATCGATATGCTCTATCGAGATGCTGACTGGTAGTACTACGAGGTCCGGACTTTAAGCATAAGGATGGCGCCGTGTTTCCGTCAACCCGCGTATAGAGTGGATATAATTTGCCGCTTAGACGTCTGAGCTGAAGATGCTATACGCAAAGATGGAACCAAACGTATGGGATTCAGGAGAACCATGGCTCAATTAATAATTGAAAGCTATGATCGTAAGATGTCTGATTTCTCATGCTGGAAACTTCACCCCATCGAGGGCTACTAAGGTCGGTCACAGTGCTTCAATGTCGTCGCCAATCTTCCTACCCTATAACCAGCTATCCATGATAACATGAGGTTGATTGAATGTCTACTTGACGATAAACTTCTCGAACTTCTCAGAAATCTCCGTAATTTGAGTTGCCTTTGCACTGGTATCAATACTGTAAGAGATTAGTTGAATGCGTTGGGAGTTGGGACCGAAAAGTCGTACATGTCTTTGAAATCATCGACGTCCAAAGCAGTCAAATCGTATTCCGTCCCATCCGACAATACAAGAGTGTCAGGTCGTTGACATTCCTTTTTACCACCAGCTCTCTTCCGCGCCCAGTTGCTGTGATCAAGCCCAGTAAAGTTAAACCCACTGTAATAAATGCAAAACTGTGAGTTCCAATTACTACCTCCAAAAGCCTGGATAGTAGTGCAATTGCCACCGATGTACCCGGTAGCCCACATAGAAGTGCCGTCCATGACACCACGAATTGCAAGGGACTGATAAGGGCTATCAGTGGTATCAATTCCGCAGCAGGTGCGGGCTCTCATGTTGGTGCAGCGTAAGTAGCTGCCGAATCCGCCGGGCCCGCTTCGGACAGTGCAGTCTGGGGTGATGTGGAGATAGCCATCTACCGCTGCAGCTGTGGATATGAATGGAGCAAGGGCGACGAGGAACTTCATGGCTATCATAAAGAGACACGAATGAAAATGATTTCCTTAAGCGCTAGCCAGTGATGCTGGTGGACAAACCTTCTCTGGACAATCATTAAGTTGCAAATCTAGCTTCTTATACTTCCTCAACCCTCCAAAGCAAAACGAGGCCAGATAAGAGGTAGTTCTGGACTCGCGCAGACCTCGGTGCTTTCTCTTTTCGGGGCAATCATACGATACGTGTATCTCGGAATGCCGATATTCCGCGCCTGCAAGCGGCATATTGTTACAAGGAAAAACGGGATAATATCCTATTCACAACTGAGGGTTGTATCTGAGATGCAGCATATAGCCTAAAGAAAATGAGGACCCAATATGGTGGATTGCGCCGACCTCAAGCTACCCTACTCAAACGACGTTCCATAGATGCACGGCTTCTAGACCTCCAGATAGTATCAGCTTCCTCCATAGCATCGTCCTCCGTAACGGTGATATGTTGACTTCTCATCTTCTCCAGCACATTTACAGCTTCAGCTGCATACTCGCACTTTAAGCGTATCTGTTGACCATATTTGAAGAACAAGAACGGAAACGGCACACATGCGAGCGCGAGGAAAGCTGGGATAGAGCTTGCCCAGTGGTTACCGAGATTGTGATACATCTGACGCGTGAAGAGTGGAAAGGCCGCGCCGAAGAGGGAGCGTAGAGCTGAGTTGGCGGCCATGACAGACGCTGCGAAGATGACGTCTGGTGATTGTTAGTGGGTGAAAGGTTTGAAGAAGGAGGAGACTTACAGGAGTCAATGAGATAGTTTAGCAATGCCATGAAGACTAAGACTAGACCCCAAGCAAAGAAGACCGTTCCAATAATTGGAACAGACCAGTGGATACTGGGAAAGATGGTCCAAGCAAACCAAAAAAGACCGATCGGGATAAAGATAGAGCCAACCATCGCAGGAGGCAACCGGTCCTCTGGTTCCAGCGGGGCACCTTTCCTTGCAGCTGCCCTAGCGTACCGCTTGTCTTCGAACACAAAACTCAAGATGGCCAGTATCACTCCAACGACAGTTCCAGTGAAAGCCAATCCACCGATTCCTTGACTCCAACCTCTTCCGTTCTGAAAGACGATGGGAAATGCAGCGAAACACATGTACATCGTGCCGTAGATGATAGAGATGTAGATCGATGTGATCAACACAATGGGTTCTTTGAGTAACAGCACCCACGGTCTTGTTAGTGCGGTTCCGAGCTGGTGCGCTGCTGAAGTTGGTGGTTTGTCAACGTCGAGAGCGGAGATGTACGTCTTGCCTGTGTTCTTTGACAATCGCTGGGCGCGTCTTCGTAAGATATACGGCGCGTAAGTTTCCGGGATCGAAAGCGACGCAACGATCCATATGACGCCAGTAAATATCGCCATGAGGACCTGAAGCCATCGCCAACCCTGCGTCTGAGCCAAGAAGCCGCCCGCGATCGGACCTAGACTTCGTCAGTCATAAAAAGTGTGCATGAGGAATAACTCGAACTTACCGACAGCAGGACCCAAGAAAGGCGCGCCCGAGAACATGCACATCGCCAAACCCCGCTGCGACTTATCAAACATATCCGCAATCACACCCGGCGCATTAGACATAGGCGCAGATCCGATTGATCCCACCAAAAACCTCAGTACAAGTAATGCAGCAATACTTCCCGCCCTAGCAGCTCCAGCACTAAAAGCCGTCGCAGCCATGAAACTGAAGAAGAAAATCTTCCGTCTTCCATAAAGTTCAGACAACGGCGCCCAGACAAGCGGGCCTAGTGCAAAGCCTAGAACGTAGAGCGATATACCCAACGTGGCTACCTCTTGGGAGACTTTGAATGATTTGATGACTTGCTTTATACCGCCTGAGTATGCTGAACTAGCGAAGGTGGTGGCTAACGTTGCCAGGGCTTGAAGAGCTGTGAAGAACCATTTCTTCCAGAGGGGGAATGTCATTGGGTTTTGAGGGTCGTTAGGGAGGAAGGTGATGAGGAATGGAGAGTCTGGGGTGCCATTGCCGGGATACTTCTGCTCGAGAAGCGTTTTGGTGTCGACATGCGGATGACCAAGGAAGCTACATAGCCGAAGGTATATGCTGTTCGAGGTTTGCGCTTCCATATTGTTGGCAGCGGTATCTGATGATAGTGAAGATGAATCGGGGCGTGTATCGATTGTCATATTGAGCGACTGGACCAGATTGTGTGCAAGAACGATCGATGAGGCAAGAGAATCATACATCGGGAGCCATGTTATCAAAGAGGAATCTTACTCCAAAGATCAGAAGCAGAGTGTTGATATACAGTTATTACTCAGTCTTCCTTATGCCGCGGGTTTACGATCGGGATTATAGTATAGCGCCTAGCTTATCAATCTGTAGCGCTGAGCGAGTCCCTGTCAGGCAGGGCCCGCTGTCGTAAGTGGAGCCCAGAAGTCCAAAAGACCGAGCCAAAACCCCGCGGCATTCTCATAAACCCGGCCGCATCAACTCAGCTCAAATAATCCCGAACACCCACGCCCTTTCAATAACAAGAGCCAAGCTCTTATTCCCCCGATCTAATGCCTCGCCCTTCTGCGCCTAAGATCAGCAAGGCTTGCGTACCGTGCCGAGCGCGCAAGATCAAGTGCGATGCCGCCACTGTCGGGCTCCCTTGTAGTAGCTGTGTTAGCAGAGAGACTACAGAGGATTGCGTTTTGTCAGCGCGCAAACGTCGGACTTTGTTAGTTCAGCGATTTATGGGCTTATTTGAAAAGTCTTAACTGACAGTCTTTTGTATAGAAAGCAGCGAAACGCTGAGTCTCGAGGACCACTTGCCACTAGCGATCGACATATACCGACGGTGAGTACCTACATCGGGCCCTGAGGAGCTCCATTAATAGGTTCACCCACAGCCCGTATCGCAAAGTCATCCATCGAATAGCCATGCTGCAAGTAGCGCACATACAACTCCAACCCATGGAGTTACCCGCTCAAGTCAAGGAGCAAGATCGTCCACTCAGGACACGCCCGTCTCAACAACAAGCCACCTCCCACGCCGCCCTCCACCCGATCTTCTCTATCTGAACATTCTTCAAGATACAGTGGGTGAAGCGGAAACCACAGAAAGTGACGAGGGTAACTCACGGTTGAGTCAATTGGCGGATGAAAGCTTCAGCAATCACATACAACGCTGGAATCCGCCATTGCAATTGGATGACATTGACAATGAGTATCTTGCCAGGAAAGGCGTTTTTGATCTTCCTCCTCCACAGTACATGTATGCCAATCCATTCATCGGTATTAAAGCCTGCTGATATGTCAAGGGACACAATTATAAAAGCGTACTTTGACCACGTCTACCCTTTCGCCCCAATCCTGAACAGAACGGATTTTGTTCGCAGCTACAGATCGGGAGATTGCTCTCTATTTCTTCTTCACGCGATATGCACCGCCGCAAGCAATTCCGTGCCCATCGAAGTCATCCACGGCTGCGGATACGCCGATCGTTCAGCTGCTCACACAGCTTTCTTCTCAAAAGCGAAGCTCTTTCACGACTTTCAATGCCAAGGTGGTTCTCTGTCTATGTTGCAGGGTTCCTTGATCCTGGGCGCCATCATTCTGGACCATCCTTCCGATAGAGACTTTCAGTACTGGTTTCATAATTCAGTTCGGCGAGCATCAAGATTGGGTGTCCATAACGTCAATGCGTGAGTCAAAATGCATACGGGGGTTGTTACAAGCTGACATCGGACAGTCGCCCTCGTGATGAAGCATCGCGCAAGCTTTACCGCCGCATTTGGTGGAGTCTGCACGTTAGTATCTTGTCAAGGCTTCTCGTTTCAGATGCTGACAATCCAAAGAACAGAGACATCTTCCACTTCTTCGTCAATACTCAGAACCTACGGCTATTGGTCACTGCTCCACCGATAGAGCCGCTCACCGAAGAAGACTGGGAAGTTGAAGACGCACATCAATTATCGGATCTTATATCTCCGACGACACATTCACAAAGAGCTTCTCTAATGGTTCATTGTGAGTTAGCCCAGATCTGTAAGTCACTCACCACCTCCAGAAGATGTGACGTATCTGACAAAGTCTCAAGTCGGCAGCCTGACATCTACCATTACGAGCGGATCATCGGAGGATTTGCAGCGCCTGATACAACCCCTTGACTCATGGCGAACATCATTGCCTGCCAAGATGAAGTCGGATGATGCTGGACTTGAAGGTGAAATGTACTATTCCGAGGCTTTGACCACTAGCTACCGTTTTGAGTGCATTATGTGTCGCTTACTTCGTCGAGGGCGATGGCCTGTCAGAGACGAGACCGTTCGTGAGTGGGCCAAGGAACGCTTTCGGGCGGCTACTCTTGAGCTTGACTCTATCCTTAAGAGGGTATTGATGGGTGACACAATCAGAAAAATGCCGACCACCTTGTGAGTGTACTTTCTATTTCTTTCTAGGTTGCGGCTCGTCTAACTAGCGTATCGCAGTATCACCACTATCACAGCTCTCCTCGCGTTACACATTGAGTCCGCCCTGGACCCATCCGAATCGGATCTCGTACGATCGATGGCCCGTATATCGATCCAGTATACGATGCTTGCTCTCAATCAAATCCAAGATACACCGGCTATCAAAAGGGCTTTACCCGCGTTCGAGATGGTTCTGTCGAAGAACAAACTTTACCCAGCGTCAGTGGGAGACAGTCCACAGACTGCAATACCTCTGGACAATAAAATTGGTGGAACCATCGAGGTAGCAACCCAACCAAATTCGACCTTCGCCGAAGAGGAGAACGAAATGCTGCCGTTTCTGAGTGGCGACCTTTCAGGGTTCGAGTTCTTTGATCGATGGCAGATGGAACAGTTGGACTTTACGGGGATTTATTAGTCAACATAGTACTTGTTGACAAGACAACAGGTCTACAGTGACAAGGCAAAAGAAAAATAGTAGTATTCATCCCTACTTCCATTAGATACCGGTATCTCGAGCGACGCTGAGAGACGCCACTTTCATTTTCTTTTTTTTTCTTTTTAAATTAGTCTCCAGGTTCCCCTGGGATAAGATTCTCTCGTCTCAAAAGAGCAACAAAGAACCTGCTTTCGAAAAGATGCATCCATCTACTTGTCTTCGAGATTCTTTGCCATATTCCCATGTACAAATAGCTCAAATCATCAATAAACTGATCCATGGGACTGTTTCTGCCAGGAACGTGGGTACCACCGGAGAGCATTGGGTTTAGCTCCACGTACTCCTGATCGCCATCGAAAACTCGACATCCACCATGACGTTCAACACCATAGGATTGGTATGTTGAAACGTCATCAATTAACATAAGCTTGAAGTCGTTATAGTAGCCGTCAGGTGCAAGCTGAAAAAGCAACCTGATCACGAAAACCAGCCGAGGAGAGAACTGACGGAGAAAGACACGGTCCGTGACACCCTCCATGACCTCTTCGGTCACCTTGTCCAGCTCTTCGTTCCAAGCCGGGTCGAACTTGATTCCGATGTTCAAAGGCTTCTTGATTCGTTTTCGATCTCGGGCATCTTTCGTTCTGAAGAAGATTGGCTTCCAGGGTCGTATGAGGGACTCCCACGAGCCCGACGTGATGCAGCATATATCGCTAATGGTGTCTATAGCCTGGAAAATACCACTGTCTTGAGGAGCAAACACTCTCCTACAAACAAGTTGTTGACTGCAGAAACTGCATTTCGTGCAAGACCAATTCCGAAACTTCTTTGCAGCATCGTAAGAGTGTCGGCAAGCTGTCCACAACCCTGGGAGCCCGACGTAAGAATCCCATGTATAGCCATATTCATTCCCTGTATGATCCGCGTTCCAGCTGCAGCCTAGAGGTAGAAGATTTCTGTTTTCGTCCATCTGTATGTAACGAATACGACGAATCCTGTTTAGCTGTTGGTATGCAGCAAATTGCCAGATTTCCTCTCGCAGCTCCCAAGGGAGTCGAGGAAAAGGATGAAATGTACGATCGTCCATGAAACGAAGCAGTGAGATATGAGTGGCTGCGGGAGTCAAAGAAGTGATAGAAGGCGTCGGGTCGGATGGTGATTGTGGTGGTTACGGTATTGTTGAGAGGAAGATAAAACGATCGGAAGGAAGGCAGAATAAGGAAGGGCATTTTATAATTGGCAGAGAACTCAAATAGAGGAAAGTTTTGCGCAAGCATGGGAGTCATAATGCTTCAAAAGTGTAACTTTGGTGAGGAAAACTTTCTGTCACGATTTCGAACACTTCAAAGTGTTTTTCTGAGAGTGCAAGTCTTATCCATGGTAATCACGAGCGTCCGATCGGCATTCTTTGGTGTCTGATTGAAGCCTTTCTTCTTTCCTTCTTGCTTTTATGAGAAGATGCACTTGTGGGGAGCGTGTTGTGGCGTCGGTGATCTCATCCCTGTACTCTCCACAGTATGGAAACTTACTCTCCATAAGCTGAATGTAATTCGTCCATGCGTAGAATTGACCAATCACAACTGGTTGGCGATGCATCATCTTTGCTTCACTGCAGATTTAGTTCATATCCCCACAGGCTACCAGGTGAGAAGTCGCAAGGTACGTATAGAATATTTGGGCTATAAAAGACTCTCAAAGTTCTTAAATGAACAAGCTTCACCTATTTCCTCAACTTTCACTTATTCCAAAGTCTCTAGTTCTCTGCCAAATCCTTTGACCATACCCTCCAACATGAACCACAAAAGCCAAGCCCCAGACTCTGAGGAGACATGCGACATTACACCGGATCGTCCACTCACAGGCAAAGAAGCCGAGGAAGACTATCAGAAGCAGCTTGATGTGCTCGCGAAGCAAAACACAGAATACGAAAAAGCGCAGAAGAAGTCCGCAAGCTCATCGACAAAGACTGCTGGGCATTGCAATTAGAGACGGAGCCGATACATATGGCGCACTTCAGACATGGACGGCCCACACATGACAACCCTGAAGACCTATCCAATGTGACCACTCCGAAGGTCATGGTGCGGTGGATAGATATTCATGATGACCGGGTATCCTTGGGCAATACACCTTTATTCACGCTGTATCCCAGAACGATATGATGTTTACAATTGCTAGCACTGTTTTGCATTTATCGGCGCTTATCGGAAGCTAATGATATGTCAACGTGGAATTGAGGAAATAGATAGGCGTGGTCGCTCTTTAAACCACAGCGCTTGTAATTGAATATTTAATTAGCGGCATGGCTATCCCGTCTTACTCATCAGTCAGCTCATGTCGAAGTTCCAAGCTTCACACTCACTCATTGAAGACGTACCTACAGGAACATCGGTGCTGATTTTCTGTCGACTTCTAGGTGGTGCCATATTCGTTAGTGTCGGACAGAATCTGTTTACGAATGAGCTGGTCAGGCGAATTGCGAGAATACCCGGTGTTGATGCGCTGAATTGGGACCAAGAGGGGGCGACTAGAATTCTGAACGGATTAAGCGATTCGCCGAAGCGCCTTGTGTTGGTGGCCTATAATGCTTCTCTTAAACAAGCATTCTTATGTGGACTCGTTCTTTCGTGTATAGGCTATCTGGGGTTTGTTTGTTTGGTGGAAGAGTATCAAGATTAAGAAAGGAAATGGTGGGGAGTTATCTGAATCTGCAAATACTCATGAAAGGGAGCCAAAAGCGTTATCTCACGTGGCCGCGTTGTCTAGGGTCAAAGAGTCTGACAGCCGACAGGGGCAGAACAATACGAAAAAGACCAGATCACCAACTGCACACGCCAAGCTATATGCTGTCACGTTCAACTGCCGTCGCATCACAAAAGGTGGAGATAGCGGAACCAACACTTTGAACCCTTGAACCAACATGCATATGAATGTGTCGTATTGCAATGCCAAGAACCCACAACACCAACAAATCCTCCATCACGAACAACGGATATGTCAAAAAAGCTTATATCCACGCGACTTAGCCGTCGAACCACTTCCCGCGCCGCACACTAGTTTTCTCCTCCGGAATTTCTTATTCGCTGTCACACATATAGGCTCAACCCGTCACACAAAAGCCACGCAGATCCCTGGCTATAATGAGTGGGGTAATCATGTTTCGTGGCATCTTTTGAGAAGCTGCCCACTCCGAATGGGCTTGTCTCTGTCGCTTAATCACCTCTTCCGAGTGGTCCGCTGTGAGCATGTACCACCCATTATCAGATCATCACAGCGGGTGCTACATAATAAGAAAAGCTGCGGCCCCGCGTTCTTTGCTTTTTCGTTTCTGTTTCCGTCAACTCTAAAAATGCCTGCTAGTAGCCCCAAGAGTCAAAGGTCGGCGCCTAGGTCGCCGACTAGTCAGAGGAGTGTTCCTACTGCTGCGCAGAATATTGAGGTCGATACTACCGTGCCCGAGGAGGACGAGGATGAAATTGATCCTGGGCTAGGAACAGATGCGGAGAGCTCAACTGCTTCCATCACCTCCAGCATTCTTCATTACCGAACCATCAACGGGCGAACTTACCACAGTGAGAGAGGAAATGCGGCTTATTGGTAGGACTTAACGACTTGATGTAGATAATGGAGTTAATATTTGGCAGGGGTTCGAACGATGAACGCCAGAGCGAGGCTATGGACATTGCGTACGTCAGAATGAACGGTACTATTAGGTTTCCAGTTCTGATATCTCTCTAGCCATCACATGTTCACCCTAGCCCAGGACGGCGAATTGCATCTAGCTCCGCTTGATAAAGACATCCAAAAGGTCCTGGATATTGGTTGCGGAACAGGAATTTGGGCAATGTGAGCCACGCCACACACATTACATTTGTCTCTTCTAACAAAATAGTGACTTTGCCGACAAGTTCCCTGGCTGCGAGGTTATCGGTACCGACATTTCACCCATCCAACCCTCTTGGGTCCCGCCGAATCTGAAGTTCGAAATCGAGGATTGTAACCAAGATTGGACCTTTGCGCCTGAGAGTTTCGACTATGTCCACTTGAGATATATGGTTGGATGTATTCCCGATTGGAATCAGGTAACGCGTCCCGACTTCGACATGTGCGAGAAGAGTCTGGTACTGACGTTGTGAAGCTGTTCGAACAAGCCTACAAGGTTCTCAAACCCGGTGGCTGGGTTGAATCTTTCGAAGCCTCGCCTACCATTGAAAGTGACGATGACACTGTCAAGCCCGACTCGGCGATGGGTCAGTGGGGACCTATCTTTATCAAGGCTTCCAAGATGATTGGCAACACTTTTACTGTTGTTGCTGATGATCTTCAGAGGAAGGGCGTCGAACACGCTGGATTTACTGAGATTAAGCAGTGGGATTCCAAGGTATGTTCATCTTCCAAAGTAAATTCTGAATGCTCATGATGATTCCCTAGCTCCCCTTGAACCCTTTCCCCAAAGACCCTCATCTGAAAGAGATTGGTCAATTTGGCGAGCTCTTCAGCACTCAGGACACTGAGGGATTTATTATGCTTGTCGCAAACACACTTGGCTGGTCGAGAGAGCAAGTTCATGTCTACATCGCCCAGTTCCGAAAGGAGATCCGGGATAGGAAGAACCATCATCCTTATATCAAGTTGAAGACAGTCTGGGCCAGGAAGCCTCTCGAAAGTTGAGCAGGATAGTTTGTACTAGAATTAGGCCAGATGATACTTCAAAAGCATCAAGATCTTTGTTTGACATAAGTATCAATTACCATATACTTAACTTCTCGAGGGGAGGTTTAACCAAAGCTACATTACAGGACTTCAGATTCAAAGTTCTTACTACAAACAGGTATATCATATATAACTCGGGACTAATGGGCTCATACTCTGCCCCCTGGTGCCATACTCCAATAACTGACTTCTGTCTATTCGCGAACATTTTTGCCCCAGATCTGTAAAGGAACATGAAGAAATTCCATCAGTATACTAACTTCCCAAATGTATAAGCCCTTAAGACTAGAATCGGCATTCCTCTATGCGCCATTGATGCAGAGTTATGCTAGACAAAGACATTGACTTGGGCACCTTGGAATAACATAATAGTGATGATTGATATATGGTCAATTGCAGCTGATGCATGAAGAGAATAGTGAACTAAATTGAGAGCAACACGTATCTTTAATTGAATGGAAACAAACTAAAGCTTACTTACAGGAGCGCTTCCTCCATGAATGATCTGATCCATCAAAGTCTCAGCCGCCTCAGGACTCCACGTCTTGACACGCTTATCAAGTTATCAGAAATAAGACACGCATTAGGAAACCGCATGACTTTCTTCTCCCCAAGGACCATCCTAGCAATAGCTTCACCACTAAGCCAACATTATCCATTCCGTGTCCATTGAACCCCGCGGCAATCCACTCGCCGCTTCCAACCCTACCTGTGAGACTTTGCGGAAGCTTACTGACGATGGGCATACCGTCTGCTGTAAACTAGATAATTTCTGACCAAACATCCACTGGCTTAGTAGGAGCTGCATCTTTCCAGATCTTGGGAGCCGCAGAGGTCAGAGTTGCACGAGCATCGTCTCCTACAGACGAGTCGTCGCTGCTTAGCAGAGTACGCAGATTCTGAGACTTGCCCCCGAGGAACATCACACCTGTTTTTGCGTTCTGTTGGGCGTAGTAAAGACCAAGATGAACAAGTCCAGTCTTTCCGTTGTATGTACCATGAGACTCCTGAGACCAAGACATCTTATCGCCTGCGTGTGTGAAGTCTGGGCCAAGTTTCTGCGTAGACATAGTACCTCGAAGAGGATACAGACTGCCGACGAGCCCGGTTATCGAATGAGCCGAGTAGCCGTTGGTACAGTGAATGACATCTTTGGTGCGAATGGGGCCTCTAGTCGTGTGGACGATATAGCTGTTTCCTTCTGCATTCACTCAGAGAACCGGTGTGTTTGTTTCCAGCGCCCAACGGTCTGGGAAGTCCTTTCTCAGCGATGCCAGAAGAGCTGTGAGGAGTCTGTAGGGCCAAAGTGCAGCCACCCCCGTCTTCGCTGTAGCACCAGCGGTATTCGTAAAGTTGAACATCTATAACGTCGTCAGATAATCCCACTCATTCGATGGCGTTCGGTTTACTCTGGTAGCTTCTTCCTTATTGAAGACCTTATACCTGATATCACCTTCGGGCACAGCCTTCAAGAAGTCTCTGAGGCTCTGCACAGCGTCTTTAAAAGTGGCCTGGTCCGTGAACATAGTGGCCGACACGACCTCGCGATACTCAGCAGCTTCACGCTCTTCCGGGCTCAGACAACTGATGAGTGTTTAATCGACGAATATTTGCTTCGCTGAACCGTACCGTCTCTATCACGCGCTCAGCTCCCACAGCTTTAACAAGAGCTGGGAACAGAGCATCGCTGTCTGAGACGAGATGTCCGCCATTGCGACCGGTCGCTCCGCTCACAGCTGTACGGGCCTCTAGCATGGTGACTTTGAGAGGACTGGCACTGTGCGGAAGGTAATGAGCAGCGCCGATACCCGTGATACCGGAGCCGAAGACGATCACATCCGCTTCTTGTGCCAGTGTCTCTGATTGAGCGTTTGAGACGGTTGGGTGTGGGGGGTTTTGCCATGTTGGACTGTGGGCTTCTTGCTTGGAAGACCGGGTAGTATCTTGATAAGCTTGACAGCATCGTGAATGAAGTCTGCGATGTTCAGCACTCGAAATGAGAGAGGGGATAAGGATGTACATACCGCCTTCTGACATCGTGAGGGGAGGGAAATTGTCGATTGTCGGTAAGAGAGGGTGAGATGTCTAACAGCTTATTGTTGCAGGACAGCTTCGAAAGGGCTCACGGAAAGGCTATTGAATACTTGGGATGGATGTTGAAAAATCCCCAGTAACTAAGAAGTGCTATCTATTGATCGATTATGATGTTTGCATGAAGTGATAACTGATTGAACTTATTGAAGATAACTCCAATAGTGCAATCACGCGCTTGTCTCGCGGATCGCATTGCCTAATTGAGTAAGAAAGCACTGGGGCTGACTCCCCTGTTACTCCAGCTTGTAGCGCATGTTGATGATGACAGACAGGTACGTATATCCATATCTGATATCTGTGTTGAAGGTGATTCTCTACGTACCTTGCTGAGTTAAGGTCTTGTTCTGTGTATCACTGAGCGCGACAGAATTCTGATGGACAGCCCTTTCGGTGTTTGGTCGCGACTATGCTCAATAAGCGAATCGCTGTTGATCATTATCACGGTTGTATGGAGAGTCTTCCTCTCGATTGGCGTTAAAGCGTACATATCTTCGCACTAACTTAACTTTACAAACTCTAAAAATTTAAATTCTATCATATATTCTCGATCAGATAGTCAAGATGTCAGACTCTAATCGCCCTGGTACCCTTTACATCCTCGAGAATGAGAGGATCTTGAACCTCCAAACGCTGGTCTCTGACCTCGAAAAGATTCATGGAGAAGGAAAGGTCTCGTTTGTTCAGAATAAGTCAGCTGTCCTCATTGCGATTGAGACAGATGCCGTCGATGAACTTTCGAGGGTTTATAAGGACATGGGCTTTACTGTGTCGGTGAAACTGAACAGCTGAATCAAAGGATATCTAGCCAACATGCAATAAAGTCAAGCATTCAATACACAGATAACTAAGTAACTCTGCAGACAGCTCTCTCGTATCATTTTTCACTTGGCAGCTAAGTTGGCGGTAATTCATTAAATGTCCGCCCCAGCGAGTCGTGTAATTGCTGGGAAGCAAATATTACAGCACGGGACATAAACGGATAGATACTTGCAAGCAGGCATAGGATAATCTTCTGAACATTTGAATAACTATTTAATCTTGGATATCATGATACGTTAAATCAACACACCCTCCACAACCACCGAGCGACCCCACTACTAATCTCTTTAAGCATGAGAAACAGGAATGTTGTCCTTAGGGTCATGCATAGCCTGCTCAACAAACACCTTGTGCCACTTTCCAGTGCAGAGAAGGTAAGTAGTCTCCTTAACACCAGCCCAGTTCTCCCGGACAATATCCCTAGTAGGTCTTGAGAACACAACATCAATCTCCTCAAGAGTTTTGTTCTTGGTCTCAGGCATAAAGAAGATCTGGTAGATCTCACCAACGAAAGCAATACCGCCGTAGAAACCAAGAGCGAGACCGGTCTTGCCCATGCTCTCCTGCATGGCAGAGAAGTTGTAGGTGACGACGAAAGAGGCGAGGAAGAGAAGAGCGTCGGATGTGGTCATTCCATAAGATCGGAGGTAAGTGGGATAGACCTCTGAGGGAACGACCCAGGTGAGACAGGCGTAGGATCCGAAGAAACCCATGTAGACAATCAGACCGGTGAGGTAGAGTCCTTCGACAGTCATAAGCTGAGTCTTGACGTCAAATTGGTAGCTGATACCAATTAGAACAAGACCCATGAAGAAACCGGGAAGCATAGTAATAGCCCAGAATCGTCGGCCGAAGCGCTCCATGAGGAAGATGGCAGGAATGGTACCAATGAGGAGAGATCCACCACCGACAAGAGACATGTAGTTAGCCTTGTACTCGTCAAAACCAATCTGGTTCATGAGAACAGACATGTAGTACATGATAGCGTTAACACCAGTCAACTGACCCAGCAGAATCATAATGTTGGCATAAACAAGCGCACGTCGAGCACGAGGCTCAGTGAAGAAATCCATCCAAGGGAAACGAGCGTTCTTGGCACCCTCCCTAACAGCAGCCTCCTCATTAATGACAGAAGCACTCATGACGTAGAACTCCTCTCGAGACTCTCGCTCCTCGATACCACGGATGCGCTTCCACACCTTGTAAGCGTCGAAATGCTTCTTTTGGTGGATGAGGAAACGGGGGGACTCGGGAAGGAACAGCATGCCGAAGAACATGATGGTGGAGAAGACGAGGGATGAGCCGAGGATGTAGCGCCAGTTGCCGGGCACCTTGAGGAAGATTGCGCCGACGGCGTAGCCTAGGACTTCACCGAGGGCGATGTTGAATTGGTAGAGGGAGACCAAGTTTCCACGGATCTTGCGCTCGACTGTTTCGGCGACGTAGACGGGGACGGTACCACCCTCGAGACCGACTCCGAGACCGAGAATGACACGAGAAGCGACAATCATACCTAGAAGGTTAGTATGTGATATCATAGGTTTGGTGTAAGGGACTTACCAAAGTTGATGGAACCAGCCTCAAGAGCAGCACCAATAGTATAAAGAATAATAGAAATAATAATAGCACCCTTTCGTCCAAAGTACTCATTGGCAGGCGACAGCAAAAGCGCACCACCAACAGCACCAAGCGGCATACCAGAGTTAACAAGCGAATTCTCCCTCGAATTCAAACCCAAGTCATCGGGCAAGAAAAGGTTGGCACCAGAGATGAGGGACTGATCAAGACCAGAGAGGAGACCACCCATGGAGGCGAAAGCGACAAGAAGCCATGTAAAGTGCTTGGGGTTCTTGAACTGGACTTGGAAGAAACCAGTTTCTAAACCACCAGCTTCTTCGAGTTGACGCTCCATGTCGGAGATGAGGTCGTCGACTTCTCGACCGCCATGCTTAGCGACTTCCAGTGCTTCGAATTCGGGCTTTTCGTGGCCCATGGCATTTTTAATTTCGTCTTTTTCGCGATCGACCGTGTTGGTCGAGTTTTGTCGACTCTTATCCATGATGAATGATATTCTCAGAAAAATACAATAGTGAGAAGGAAAGTAACAAGAGAGGTGCGTACAAGAGGTAGTTATACAAAACACCACTGCTTGCCTGGCTGGGAGAAAGAATGCTGATCTGGAGAGCCCCAACTTTTATATGTGGTTCTCTTGCAGAACAAACCCGCATTTCCCCAAATCTGGAGATTTACACTCAATCATTAGACTTTTCCGGAGCACCCCAAAAACCCCATTGTTGGATGACGGTACGACCGAAAGTTTGGCCGGTTGAGCTCCATCGAGAGATGCCGTCCCAGCCGATTTGGGTGGAGTTTGATCAACGCTGCTGTAACGCTCTAGCAGGACTGCAAGACTGTAACGGCTGTACAGTAACATGGTTTTACCACTCAGCTGACTCGCATACCAATCGAACCATTCAGGATTAACGACCAACATTCTCTGTTCCTTGAAAGAATTTCTCGCTCCGATAAACAAGCCAATGAGACGGTCTTTTGATGAGGGAAGACATCCACTGCCGGAGAGATCTACAGGCACTAAACCGGGTTTACGTTCTTCCTCTTCTAGAAATCTTCCAAGCGCAAGCCTTTTACGTCATTCATTAAGCCGTGTACCCGTGTAATCAAGCAAAAAGGCTCGTCGGCTCCGGGTTGAGTGTCACCCTAGCTTGCTACCTAGATATTGCCTCTCCACTGTTGGGAGTGATATTTCGTAATGCATCAGTTGAGAGGAGTCCTCATGAATCCTGCAGCCTGGTTGGGAGGTCTTCAATGCATCGGTCAGGTCCTAGTGGCACGATTGCCTTTTTCTCTGTCGCGAGATCCGAACATGCGTTTTTTATCTGCAGTTGTTAATGTCTGCAGTGTTGCTATTCCCGTGCCAAGTGCTCAACTCGTGGCGGGATCCGGGAACGCCCACTTGAAGCGAGCACTAAGCCCAGGGGATCTTGCCATGATTCAGCCGCATCTCTTGGCTGAAAATCTGTTTAACGACGGTGATGATGATGATTTTTCTGATTAGATCTATGGACTAGCAGAGACTTCACGATCACGATGGAGGTTCGATGTGATGTTGCGCATGGTCATTAATTGAGTTTACCGCGTCTGGGGAAGAACAGACTCAATGCAGTGTTTCGGTGCAGTATCTCGGTGAAATTAAATAAACTCGCATGCTTCTCAGACAAAACACCAAAGAAATCACGTCGGATACTCCGCAATGCTGATCGCATGTCCTCAAAACAAGAGCATTGGGTAACCCGACCCAAGCACCACAAAACCCACAAATCAACCTTAACCTCCCCAGAGGGATATTTTCGTGGGGATGTTCTCGTCACCACTTTTCTCCAGCCTTGAATGTCGTGTTTGGGACATCGGCCCTTTACCCAGATGCCTACACATAGAAACTCCACAAACGGAAAGAAACGGGCGTCTCGATAGCTTCAGGTAGAATTCCCTGGTGCCATGCGTTCCCTGACATGCCATTTTCTGGAGATCACGGGGTCTGACCCCCCCGCGATTCTGGGTAAAGGGCCGATTTCCTCCCCCGGGAATTTCCCCATTCTTGGGCACTTACATGGATTATCACCATCGCGCGCAAAAACATGAATAAGGAGACTGTCATGCAACCGGTGAGTCGTGCAATTAATCTGCGGCTACATTCGGAGCCGTACTCTCACTAACTAACAATCAAGGATTTTTTATTTTGGGGCATGAGTTGGAAGTTGTACCGTTTTGGGTTGCAGATCCACTGGTAATCAGACTGAAAATATTTTGCATGTCATTGACTTGAGCACAGTCGTTCGTTGCTGTGAAAAACTCGTACAATTGTGGGGACGTAATATCAGCACGAGATCTGCAGAATCTTTATCCGTAAGCTCGCGACTCTCACGAGCATTGAATGAATGGAGAGCCTCATCAACTCCCCCAACCCATTTCAAAAGAAGAAAAACATCTTTAGCCTTCCCGCAAGCCACTGCCGCATCTCATTCAGCCTCATCAGCCCTACCGGCTGTCTCCTTCCCTTGGCTTCACTAAACCCTCTTGGCCCTTCGGCTTCTGTCATCCTTGACACCGACGCCAAGCACAAAAGCAATCCTCAAAACCGTACAAATCCCTGTGACAATAACACTAAACCAATCCTCCCAGCGCCAACCACTCAGCGCAAGATTATTCTCCATTTTGAGGCCCACGTAAACAGCCGTAAGCATAGTAAAATCCGCTGGGAGAATCGCGCCCTGTACCATCTTCCAGATATTCACATCGTGCGTGTACCGTAATAATGTCAGCTGGATTATTAGGTATGATGTGCCCATACCGGCAATCTGGTAGAGGAATGGCGCAAAGGGTGCGGCTGGGGGGCGCGTGGTGAAGAAGGCTTGGAGGGCGAGGCTGTGGTCGAGGAAGTTTACCCACATGCCCATTATGGTCAGGGCGGGGTCTATCCAGAGGAACCAGAGGGTGTAGATTGGGTGGATTTTATCTGTGATTGCCATTTTGATGAGGTTTGAGTTTGATAACTCGGTCACTGGGTTCATATTTGCGAATCAAGTGAGAAAGATGGATCGGGGACAACTCGAGTCCTTCTTATATCTGTCACCAGATGTCAGCTTCGTAAGCTTATAGCGATCCTGTCAGCGCTAATCTTGGCGGTTGGTTGGCGAATGTCAAGGTGTCAGAAGAACAGACGCGAAGAGTATGCTAGACAGAATAGTTTAGACATTCCATACCAGCTGAGACACCATCTCGATCTGGTTTATTTTGACAGTTGAGTCTCTTTTCTGTCATCTCTCCACGAAACAAGTTCCTGATGGGTTACAATTGGTTTCCCCTCATGGCGCCAAGATGCGTGGCTGACTGTTGAAAGCCGTTGGATAAGCATATTCAACGGGATGATCTGACAACTTTAACCGGATTTCCGCACCGTTGATTGCGGGGTGATTGACGCTACCTCACGTCGATTGATTGAGATTGTCACGTCGCGTTTATCTAAGCTCGTGATGTTACCCTGTAGCGAAAAGTCTCAACGCGTTCACTCCGATAACACAAATGGTGGATGGCTCTCAAATGCCTTTTCCATGCGTTTAAACTCTAATATTAGTTTAGTTATTTATAGTAAGCCAAATTATGAGATTTTTAATCATGCATTTTGACCATTGGTGGGATTGGTGAATAAACACCATACTCAGAGGTCATGATCGAGAAAGTGTTGTCGCAAACTGAGTAAATGTTGTCCTCATCTTCAAGGTCCTCACCCTGTAGCCCGAAGGGGGTTTACTCAACCAGCCAGTTGACGCGAAGCGCCTAACATTCCAAAGAATGCCTTCCATTGTTATTACCGAGACACAACCCCCCTCCCAATTGGCCCATTTCTGTTTAGTGATCAATCACATCTTTCAGCTCCAACCCTTAGTCAGCACCGGAGACAAAGTGCGCCCTCTCCCATTGGTCATCGCAATCTTGGCATCATTCTCGCTTCATTACAATCTTTCATTCAATCTCTCGCTCCTGCGAACAGACTACGGCTGTCGGGCTAGTGGAGCAGTCGCTATGTCTATGCCTTCCGATACGTCCTCGGACAGGCGTCCTCTGCGCGCCATCCTCCCAGCCGATGGTACACATGCGCTAGCGGATGCTGGACCGAGGTTTCCCTTGGGTATACATCCCAAGCGGACATTGGTGTCTGCTGCGTGTCAGGCTTGTCGGAAAAGAAAGTCAAAGGTACGTCACCCCCAGATGTAATCAATCTTCCAGATTCTGATGCTTGGCAGTGCTCGGGGACGCGTCCGGTATGCGTCGCGTGTGAAGGGCGCTCAACAGAGTGTCAATGGGAACCCACCGAAACCCAAGCCATAAAACGCAGATACCACGAAATCGTCAACGAACACAACCGCGCATCATCATACCAGCAATTATTCGAGTCCATCAAACCTATGAACACGGAAGATGCTGTGAGAACTGTTCATAGGATTCAAGCGGGCGATGATGTGGAAGCTTTGCTGGACGACGCTGAGACATCGAGAATCCAGCTTCGAACATCACAAGATCGGGATAAAAATTCTTACGAGGATTTTTATCGTATGCTACAGGCTAGACCTGAAGAGGATTTAACGAATATTTTGAGATTGGTTAAGAAGGGTATGATGTTAATGCTATGTTAAGACATATTCGGGAGGCGGATTTGTTGTTGCAGATTGCGCTTAAGCCGGAGCAGAGACGACGATATGAATTTCCTTTTAACAGAAAATGGCCCGAATTTCTACGACAAGATGGAAATCCGTATCTTGAAACGTCGTTTTACGAGGCAGATCGGCCGTCACCGGCTAATCTCACATTGGGGAAGAAGTCGGATATCATCTTTGACATTCCGTACCACGCTTCGACGCTCATCGAACCACTCCTCGCTAACACACGAATTTCGAAGTGGACGACCGTCACATCTGATGAGGGCATGTTGACATCACTTCTGGAACACTATTTCCAACACGCCTACCACTACTTCACATTCTTCCACAAAGACTTGTTTCTTCGCGATCTTAAGTCAGGTTCAGCACAACACTGCTCCTCCCTTCTCGTCAACGCAGTCCTCGCAAGCGCGACACACTACCATCCCAAAATTCAAGGTCGCAACGAGCCCTGGGATACAGAGTCCCTCTGCTATCGGTTCTTTGCCGAGACAAAGAGATTGTGGGAGTTGGAGATGGGAGAGAGCAAGCTTACGACGTGCCAAGCCGCGCTGGTCATGAACTCAATTTATAACATGGATGGACTAGATCAGATTGGAAATGTATACATGGTCCAGGCCGCTAAAATTGCATATAATCTGGATTTATTCGGAGCACAGGGAAGAGGGGAAATGGATGTCGCAAAGCAGTTTACTGCATGGTGTCTTTTCTCATGGCAATCGTAAGTGTCCCATGCAATTCAATCTACCGACAAGACTAACGAATCATAGTCTGACGCTCTTCCACTTCTACAAGCCACCCCTATTTGAAAAGCCACCAGAGATAGACCTACCGGATCCTCACGCTAGTCCCTGGTTCTACCCGGAGATCCACGTACGGTATCCAGAATCAGGGCCGAGACCGATCTATTTCTCAGAGACGTTTATGCAGACTGTCAAGTTCAGGATTATACTGAATGATCTTGCCAACGACAGATTCGGAGGTGGTAAGAATGCGGCGATTACGCTGGAACAAGCAGCGAAATACTATCGCAGGCTGTGTCAGTGGTTTGACGCTCTTCCTGCTTGTTTAAAGCCTGATAAAATAGTGCTTCCATCGCATTTAAATCTTCAGTAAGTCTCCGCGTTGACTGAACTTATGCACAAGGATGACTGACAGGTGTAGCATCCACTTTCAGTACATAATCATGCTTCTTCTCGAGCCATTTGTGGCCTCAGAGAAGGACAATCCATCAATAACCCTCCTCGACGGAATGACCAAGCCCATCCGCGCAATCGTTCACGAAGCCACAATCCACTTCGAAACCCTCGTCCGCTCCTACTACCTCCGCCACAGCTTCAGCACCTACGCACCAGTAATGGTCCAATTCCTCTCCGTCCTCGGCTTCCTCTCCGCTCAAAAAGCAGCCACCAACCCCGCCGAGCACCAAAGCAGCATGATCCTCGCAACCTTGGGTCTCGAAAACCAAGCACAACAAGCTTATCTCGCTAATGCAATGTTCAAGCTGCTGTTTAGTAAGATTCCGGCCAGTATGGTGGATATAACTAGTCAGTACTGTAGTCTGAATGCGACGGGCGCGGTGGTGGAGATCCAGCCTGCGTATGTCAGGTCGGCGTATCCGATTCATATGGTTAGTATTAATGCGGATGCTGAGGAGCAGAGGTTGGATAGGTTGATTGAGGAGCTGAAGATTTGAGGTTCGTCTTTTTCGATAGTGTAGGTTGGATATGACTTTGTGGAAATTGCTGGATGACTGCGTCTTCTGCTTATTGATTATCTAGCGTCAGCGTGTCAGGAGTAGTCCCCGTGGCAAGCAGAAGGGACGAAATAGTCTGGTCATGTTGTGGTTGCTTAGACCAGCACTAAGGATACTTAATTCTGGTACCCTACGCCTCAGTGGACAAGCACTCTGTTACCCACTCGCTTATTCATGACCTGCATGTTCTTTTCCAGTACATGAAACGATATTTCCTTGTCCACAATCAATTGCGGTTTAGTTTGTACCAGTAACTCGGTAGCTGAATATTGACAAGACGCTACCGTTGGCGCTATTGAATGGCGCGGGGGTCGACTCAGATCCAGACCTGTGGCGCAAATGTCACCACCGCACTAATCGGAAATTGAAAGAAAAAAGGAACAGCGAATGAGAATGCGAAAGAAGGACTTGGGGAAATGTTGCTCGGTTAGCGATGAGACACTCGAGTGTCTCGATGCCACGTGAGTTGTGCGGGAAAGCAGGGTCCTTCGCGTATCGTTGATTGCCGATGATTCACATGTGGCTAACTGCCGAAGGATCCGGGTCCTGGTAACTGCATTGTGGAGGAACATCCTTTGCCTGGGGAGATCAACTTAATGGAGCAGATTAATTCAAGATACTGCACTCAATTGACCTTTACCTTACCTTGCCCTATCCCCTATTGTCAACACTGTTGACTCAACAGCCACACTCTAGCTCCATTCTCACGACGTCGTACATCCTTAGTCATGGCCAACGTCAATAAAGGGTCCATCTTACTAATGACTAGCTCAGGCACCGAAACGATAAAACTCCAGTAGCCCTACAGCCCGGCTGTAGAGGCGCTGGCTGAACACCCTCATCCAGCTGCGCCACATGACACTATCGAACGCCTTCCGTTTCCACAACACCAAGCAAGCAATAGGGGGCACCAAACAACACCATCGCGAATTCAGTACATAAGGATCATGTTCAAACGCGATCAACAGAACCTTCTCTTCACTCTCAACCGCCCAACTCGGTCAGTCATTCGCTTATAGTTTCATCTTTTTGGCTCTGCCATTTCACGCTCACTATGCGCTCTTTCATCACCTTTGCGGCTCTCGCCCTTTCCGCTTCGGATCTGGTTTCTGCCGGTCCCTGTAAGCCTCGTCCCACCACCACCGCCGGTGCTGAGACTTCTGCCACTGGCATCGAGACCTCTGCTACTCTTGGTCTCGAGACTTCCGCCACTGCTGGTGTCGATACCACTGCTACTGTTGGCACTGAGACCTCCGCTACTGCCGGTGTCGATACCACTGCTACCGTTGGCACTGAGACCACTGATGTTGCTTCTCAGCCTATCCTCTCCCCTGAGGATGGTCCCGTTACCAACGCCTGCGCTGGTGGTGGCATGACCAGCCTTGAGCCCTTCACCGTTGAGGGTGATGTCTCTATCAACGGAGATGATGGTTACACTGGCGATGACAGCGCTGATACTTCTTGTGCTGACTTGAAGGCTGAGTCTACTGGTCCCACTCGCAAGCGTGCTGCTGGCACGGTTGCTGCCATCGGACAGCCTCTCACCGGTCTCGACACCAAGAAGAAGTACACCGTCCAGTTCTACTACCGCGTCACCACCCCTCCCTCTGAGAACACCGCCTGTACCATCGAGGCTTCCATCGGTGACATCAGCTTCTACAGCGCTGGCATCTTGTCCACCGGTGCTACCGTCAGCTACAACCACGTTCTCGTTTCCACCTCTGTCAACGCTGCTGAGGCTGAGCTGAGCATCAAGACCACTTGTGCTAACGGTGGTTCTGCCTCGGTCCTGATTGACTCTATCTTCTTGTCCAACCAGGTTACTCCTGAGAACATCGACCAGTTCGCTCTTAGCTTTGATGGTCAGGTTCGTGAGCCTGCTAATAAGCCCACTAGTGCTGTCGCTCAGCCTACCTCCGCTGCTGGTGGCAACAACGGTGGTAACAACGGTGGTGACAAGACTACCTCTGCTGTTGAGGGTGGAGCTACTTCAAACCCCACTGATGGTTCTTCCAACACTGATGGTTCTTCCAACCCTACCCAGGGTGGCTCTGACTCTACTGAGGGCAGCTCCAAGCCTACCTCTGTTGCTGGCGGTGACTCTTCCGAGACTACCGCTCCTGCTGGCTCTGTTTCTTCTGCTTCCGTTCCCGCCGGTTCTGACAACACCTCCGTCCCTGCCGGCTCTGACTCTACTCAGACCCAGGGTTCCGGATCTCAGCCTACCACCGCTCCTGGTTCCGACTCCGAGACCACTGCCCCTGCCGGATCCGATGAGACTACCGTCCCGGCTGGCTCCAACCCCACCACTGTCGCCTCTGAGGGCTCTGTCTCTTCTGCTACTGCCCCCGCTGGATCTGACGAGACCTCCGCTCCGGCCGGCTCTGACTCCACCCAGACTTCCGCTGCTGGTTCCAACCCTACCTCCGTCGCTTCCGAGGCCTCTACCGAGACCACCTCCGCCCCCGTCGAGAACAACGCCTCCACCCAGACCCAGGGCTCCGACTCTCAGTCCACTGCCGTCTCTGAGGGCTCTGACTCCGCTACCAGCGCTGCTTCCGAGGTCGACTCTGCCACCACTGTCAGCGAGGCTGCTTCTCAGCAGACCACCACTGCTCCCGTCGACAACGAGTCCAGCCAGACCACCTCCGCTGCTGTTGATGACTCTGTCTCTTCCGCTACCGCCCCTGCTGGTTCTGACTCTACCTCCGTTGCTTCTGAGGGCTCCGTCTCTTCTGCTACTGCCCCTGCTGACAGCGAGTCCACCTCCGTTGCCTCCGTCGATGACTCTGTCTCTTCTGCTTCTGTCCCTGCTGGCTCTGACTCTACTTCCGTCCCTGCTGTCGACGCTGCTACCACCACTACTGCTCCTGCCGACAGCGAGTCTACTTCCGTTGCCTCCGTCGCCTCTGTTGAGTCTACCTCCGCTGCCATCAGCGAGTCTAGCTCTGTCGCCGTCACTGAGTCCTCTTCCGCTGCTGTGACCGAGTCTTCGTCCGCCGCTGTCTCTGAGTCCAGCTCTGCTGCTATCACCGAGTCTGCCTCCTCCACTGAGACCTTCGCTACCACCACCATGACTGCCAGCGAGACTGAGACCACCACCGCTGCTGCCTTCGTCGCCCGCGCCGAGCCCGAGCGCACTGGCTGTCTTAGCGTCGCCAACTCTGTCTCCAACGCCGGTTTCGAAGACGGCATCACGGACTGGACCACCACCGGCTCCGCCAACATCGTTCTCGACGAGAGCCTCGGCGCCTACACCCACACCATCGGAACCAAGGGTCTCGCCTTCTCCGGCTCCCTCACCGGCGCTGCCTTCCAGACTCTTACCAACCTCGATGAGCTCGAGAACTACATCGCTACCTACGCTTACTACGTTGCCAACGGTGAGGATCTTCCCTTCAACGAGAACAACGCGTGTCAGCTCAAGGTCACCCTTGGTGGTGAGGAGATTGAGTCGTTCAACCCCTTCGAGGATGCTCAGGGTAGCGACAACTTCCGCAACCGACGGGCCAACATCTATGCTCCCTCTGCTGCTGCTGATCTCAAGTTCGAGCTTACCTGCGACGAGAACACTGATGACTTCACTCTCATGGTTGATGACATTTGGCTGGTTCGCTGCGATGACATCTAAGCGGTGAAAACATGAAGATTTGGAATGATTTGGGGACGGGGCTATGAGGCCTGATTAAATTAATTCTTGTACCTAATTTATATCTTGATGATTATCATCAAGATAGGATCTATTTAACGTCTAGAGATATAATCCTATGTACTGTTTCACTCAATTGACTGATGTCTTTCTTACCAATACTTTGCTGTGCCTTTTTTAAATACATGCTCGGGGATATGTCTTCTTGTATCAATCATGGTCACATGGTATTAGTAAGAAGAATTTTTAAAATAGTTTGAATAACTAAGATATTATGTCTATACTGTGATAATATTATGATAGACCTGTTAACGAGTGGATATTGTTTCAAATTCGCCGCCCACAACTCCTTTTCTTTTCTTTTTGTTTCCTCTGTAGCACCTATTGGCACCACATCTGAACAGGAACACCAGAGACCTTGTCCAAAACATCGAAGTCCATACCCCATTGTCGGAAGCTCACAACAATCTGATCAAATGTCTCGAGCTCCTCAGTAGTCCAGTTGGCGTCATCAAGACGAGGGATATCAGGCACAGCAGCCTGCTTGACAAGAGAGTCGGCAAAGTGGACATCAATGTCAAGCTTCTTAAGCTCCTTGGCAAGCTGGAGACCAGGGGAGTTGACAAGGTGGTCCTGTCCAGCCTTGAAGCCCATGCCGACAACAAGAACCTTCTTCTTCATGTCGATACCAGAGTCGCGACGCTGGAGCTTGCCACCGCCCATGAGATCGCTGACAATGCGCTTGGCCATGGTGGCAGGACGCTTGTTCATCTTATCGGCGCAGGCTTCAAGAAGGGGGAACTCGCAGTTGGAGAGGAGGTAGTAGGGGTTGACGGGGATGCAGTGGCCACCGACACCGAGACTGGGAGTGTAGGGCATGTATCCGAAGGGCTTGGTAGCAGCTGCGTTGGAAACCTCGAAGGGGTCGATACCGAGACCCTGGCATGCATCGGCCATCTCGTTGGCGTAGGCGATGCACATCATGCGTTGGCAGTTCTCGTAGAGCTTGCACATCTCGGCGACTTCAGGCTTGGAGACAGGGACGATGCTGTCGAAGACGCGGCCGTAGAGACGGACGATGGCGTCGAGAGAGCCGGGGATGACATCATCGAGACCGGAGACGACCTTTGGGATGGATCGCATGGGAGGTTCAACACGGCCGGGGTCAATGCGCTGTTATATGTTAGTATGTGTTGAAAGTGAGACATTGTTCAGAGAAGCTTACCTCAGGAGACATTCCAGCAAAGAGTCCCTTAGCCTGAGCAATAGGTCCAAGAAGTTGTCTCGTAAGACCAACAGAGACAGAGCTCTCGATGACAACAGTGCAACCAGGTCGAGCCCACTGCTCAACCCTCTTTAGCGCACTGTTCAGGTAAGAGAGATCAATAGTCCTATCCGCTCTAAGAAGCGTAGGAACAGAGATCAAAAAGTGAGTAGCCTTTGCGAGATCTGACTCATCAGAGGTGAAAGAAACATTAGGACGAGCCTGGAACTCGCCGCGAAGAAAGTCAAGTCTGTTCTCGCTAATGTCAAAACCCATGATCTCATACTTGGATGAGAAGGAGTCGACAAGACCAGTACCTACGAAGCCAACGCCAATCACTGCGACTAGGGGAGTGGCTTCAGTGGGTGTGACGGTGGGCTTGGCAGGTGATGTCTTGGTTGAGGGACGGGTGGGGAGAACTCTGCGAGGAGCAGGTCTAGTGATGAGGTTGGCGTTGATAGGCATTGTGAAGGTGTGAAGGATGAGAAGATGTCTCAAGAGATGATTGTGATGATGATGAGATGAGATGAGATGAGTGAGTGATGAGATTGTTTCTCGTAGTCTCAACCCGTTCTTCTTATAGCTTGAATCTCGATACTGAAAACGAAGAAAAAAGTCTTCTTCTTCGAAAATGTCAATCATCTTTGATACTAAGCAAAAGCGTAAAGTTTGCATCTGTCGATTTGCCTACTGGTAGTTACTCGGAACAAGTCTAGACTCAGTAGTATGAACTATCCACAGGATGTCACCATCAAGACTTGACAGACACAGCACCCCAGTAGCTTGTTCGTCTCCATCGAGCTTGCTTGTCTCAATCAAATCCCTAATCGGGTAAGCTTATTTTGTTAGAATTGGCACATACCTGCGGTGCCTCCCGCAGCCACTGTCTCGGTGGCAATTGTGGGTTCTCGGGCAGGCAAAAACGGACAGGAATGTAAATGGAGACCTGGCCAATCCTATTACATGCCATTCTCGGGTGGCACCAAGCACACGGGAGATTATTCTGATATAGGGTAATGTATGGGGATTTGTGTTTTTGACATTTACAATGTGCGGACAAAGACGGGAGGCTGTATAGTTTGATACTGATGTCCGATAGAGATCTGAACTAGAGAGTGCTTATCTCAAATCATCCCGATCTGCAAGTAATCATAAAGAGATTTTCATCACAATTCTACCTGCATAGATATGCATGAAGATCAAGAAGATCATATTGACATGTCAATTGATAGTACGCCTACTGCGTAACAAGCATAACAGGCCTGTTAGACTACCATAAACAGTCACACTAAAATAAGCGAGGACGGCATATGGCATGATCTGCGGAACCAGACCCTGACATGAGGCCCATGTTAGACAGCCTGCCAAGTTTACTATCTCCAACTACCAAGCTGTTGCCAAGATCCATAGCTCTTCCATCGACCGTTCTCATCGTCCCCCACCCAGTGAAAGGCGGGCGCGACGCAACGCATGCTCTTTCCGGGGAGGGGTTAGCCACTTATCACATACCTATCTAAGTGATATGTCACTTTATGATTCTCGCGTGCGTAAAGGATAAACGGGGATCGGCGGGGTGTTTTTTCTGCCATGCGAGATCAACAGGCACAAGTTGGGTCCAGGTTATGTGATCAGCAGGGTATGTCGTATGATTTCGTTTTGCCATGTGGTCAAGAACGGTTCTAGAGCCATCAACAGGACAATGCCAAGAATGAGGGCATACACAAACCTGGATTTGGGAAATCTACAGTCACAACAATTACCTATGTATGATGGTAGTTGAGTAAGTGTTGTCGAGTCAGAAGACGAATTTGTAAATACTCCGTCCGATCTATGAGGCTCTTCGGATATATGATGATCATTATTCATAACTCTCCGAGAACTACGGAGGTAGTCACACAGACCTTGTCCGAGCGCCGGAGGCTAGAGATTAAGCATACACGGCATGGACATTACAAAGCTTAGACAACATCTGGACTCATGCTCGAGTAGACAAGGACCTGGAGCTTGGGTCAGAATCAAGAATAGCGACAGCCTAAACTGGTCTGCCTTGGCAAATAATTAACTGTGTCTTTCGTCTCTGACTCTGGTAGAAGCAAGCTCTACTACCCAGAGTGCCAGAGACGACACAATAACAATAGAGAACCGGCCAGACCCACGACAAAGAAGTAAACTTACCAATCAAACTCCATATGTTCCTAACCGAGGCATCTAGTGGAACAAAATGACGATGTGGCACACGGATCGAAAAAACTCATTCCGGAAGTGTGAGGAATGTTACTACCTCCACTCTCACCACCACACCAAATACTTCACGCGCAACAAGAAGTGATCGGCAATTCTCAGTTTGTCCAGACGTTAAATCGAACTGTTCCTGAAAATTACTATTCGAGGCAAAAGATCATCTCGTGTGAGCGGGTAGCCATGCAAGGGCAGCCAGTATTGTCGGCCAACTTGGAAGAGAGTGGGCAGAAAGAGAAAGTGACTGGAATTCTGCAGAATGTATTTGATAGATCAATTGCCATCGTGGGATTTGTTTAAGCAAAGTTCCTCTGCCTCATGTCTTGAATTTGACCTCCCTCTCATCTCTTTTGTCTTACACTCATTTATCCTTCCCGAGACAGTCTTTCCCAGACAGTTTCTCACTCCTCAGTCATGGCTACTCTAAGTACAAGGCCCATGAGCACCTTGGAAACATTCGACGAGAAGAAAGCCTACTTTGACAATGACTTTACTCAATTAAAAAAGCACATCAATTCTCCTACGATCCCCGAACGTCCACACTTCGATCGTTCCAATACCTGGCAAAATGCCTCCTTCTCATCAACGGCTGATACAGTCGTTGGTGAAGATGAACATCATGGGCATAGGAAGGGGAGTTTCTTTACACTCAATGTCATCCCCAATCCCAAGATTCCCAAGATTATCGAGGAACCTACCTCGGAAGGTCTTTTCGCACCCAACTTCTCCCGTCCTTTTGGCCCCAAGGTTACACCTGAACGACCACCCCTATATACAGCCACAGTTGAAGATGACGAGGTTTGTCCTCTTGAACAAGACCCCAAGAAGGTTGAGCCTACTGTTACGGTTGAGGAGAAGCCTGTTCCTGTCCAGCCTGCCCCTACACATGCCGATGACACTGTCGAGACGTGTGGCTACCCCAAGATCGAAGACCCTGTTGATCCTGCTCGTGTCCTCTCGCCAAGAGACCTTCGCAATCAAAGGGTGACTTTCATGGGCATCATCGTTCTCATCAACATCTGCATGGCCATGGCAGCTTTCTTTGGCAAGAAGAGCAAGCTTGTCTTTGTCGTTGTCCTGTTCGTCAAGAGCAAGGACTTTCTCTCCGCCATTCTTTCTCCTACGGGGATGATGTATCGCTCCGTCTACGAGTGGTTCTACCCTCCTGCCCCTGTCAGCCGTCGCTGGATCTTATCTCTCATCCCCGCCTACTCAGAAAGTGAGGAGCAGATCGTCAAGACCATCTTCTCTCTTCGCGACAATGGCGTTGATCCTCATCGTCAAGTCATGGTCGTTATTCTAGATGGCAAGCCCCGCGATGTTCGATCACACATGACACGCATGGTTCGCGAGTTCCAACGTCCCTACGTCTCCCTCAAGTGGAAGAAGGGTGTGTTGAACATCCTCGCCGGCTTCATGGAAGATGTCCCCGTCATCGTCATCGAGAAGGTCAAGAACTCTGGTAAGAAGGACTCTCTTGTCCTCTGCCACGACCTCTTCAACTACCCTCGTGAGAACTCTCCTCTTTACACCAAGCTTCTACGGAAGGAGATGTGGGATGAGATCCTTCCTGAGCTAACTAAGGGCGAGGAGTTTTCTGGCTTTGACATGGTGTTTTGCACGGATGCCGATTCTACTATCTACAAGGGTGCTGTTGCTCTTCTAGCAAATGATCTCGCAAGAGACAAGGATGCTATTGCTGCTTGTGGCTTGGTACTGGTTGAGCTGGAACCAGGCTACGAATGGTCCTTTTGGAACTTGTATCAACAGTTTCAGTACACCTTTGGACAATACGTCAGACGGCGCGCAGAAGGGTTCGTGGGCAAAGTCACCTGTCTACCCGGGTGTATCACTATGATCGCCTGCCGACCAGAAATGGCTGGTGCGATCCGCAAATACTCCGAGCCCGTCACCGGTGAACTAGTCATCAACCACCAAGTCCAATACCTCGTAAGTCCGTCTTATTCTCTAGCGCATATCCACTCACTAACTCAATCAGGGCACCGATCGAAGACTCACTTACTCCATGCTCTCTCAGGGCAAACATCTCCGGACCCTCTTTGTCCCTAACGCCGTCAGCGAAACGGTAGCCCCTCAATCCCTTTTCCACTACCTTTCCCAACGGCGCCGATGGGGCTCCAACGCTTACTTCAACAATTACTTCTACCTCGCTGGCGAGAAGATGATTCCTATCACCCGCATCGCTGCCTCAATCGAGGTTATTCGCTTGAGTCTTGTCTACTACCGCATTCTCAACACTGCTTTGTTCATCGCTAGCTGTGTTCGTCACGTCTCTGCACTAAAATTGGTTCCCATGCTGGTCGTCGGTCAATTACCCTCGCTATGGTTCTTTTGTTCAATTCTTCTCGAACCCGAGCTGCGCAAGCGAGGCCACAAACTTGCCATCGGGTACTTTATTAACAAATGCGTTTCGCCATTTATGAGCGTTATTATCTTTACAAAAGTTGCCACCAATCTGGGTAGTCAGGTTTGGGGTGTTTCTGGAGTGACGGCGTCTTCAGCACCTGTTGCTGCTGCGCCGACGGAGGAGGAGGATGTGGAAAAGAAGTTTATTACCGATTCTCTTGATGCTGCTGAGTGCGGAGAGGTTTCTCCTGCTATGAAGCAAGATTCTGATGGGCTTACTAAGCCTGAGCGTGCTCGTCTTAGGGATGAGCGGGCTGATGTTGATATCTAGATGATAGAATGGTAGATTAGAAGATACCCTAGTAATATTAATTACTTACACTACCATATAAAACGTCTTACCATTATGTGCCCATTACTTTGTGAGAATGTGAGTAGCAGGTCACACGTTAGGGCTAATCTGCACTTTGGTGTGGAAGCTAAAATCAGGCCCTGGATAAACTCTGGACCCCTTCACCACTACCAGACAGAAGCCTCCAAGGCTGTCTCTAGGGATCTGGACCACTGTGACTGTGATTCAGGCTGCAGCGTAAAACATCAAGAGCCTAGTCCAAAACCGTGTACACAGACAAGACAGATTCACTCTGATGTCCTATGGTGCATTCAACTGCCAAGTGCGTTCCCCGACGACCAGAACCCTATAGAACATTACCATCAGGCACAAATCCCAAGTTCCAAGTATTTGGATCTCTTGTCATGGGCAGTTTACTTGGCACTGATCGTCTTGGTATGCTGACATCTTTCGCAAACGGTATATCATACCCTTGCCAAGTAGACTACGATGGCCAAGCATCGATGGCTCATCAACGATCAGAAAGCACCGTAAGTTATAAAGACACAGTCTAGACCTTCGAGATATGCAATGACGTTTCGCTGGACGGCGCCTTCCTAGCGGTGCCACCCCCGGACCGATAATTCTAAATACGCCATATCCGGACGCCTCACATTCCAGAGACGTGTATCTTGGGTGTGACTTGTGAAATGGACCCCCCTGCAAAGGAACCTTACCAATTCCAGCACCAGTGATTCACATGTGCTAAACTCTATCAAAAGGTCGAGGCCTTTGTTTAATTCCAGTCAACCATTCTTCTCCATCTGCCAAACAAGGTTAGCATCACCACATGAAGATATATAACATGTCGCACCGAGCAAACCTGCCCCTCCACCCTCCACAGCCCAAATCATTCCTTTTTTGGTCATCCTTCCGATGCCTCTCCCACGGCAGTGTTTCTCACGCTGGGCCATTTTCATCATCGTGGGCTGCTTTGTCGTTGTCGTTGTCACATGCGGTACGTATTTCGGTTTGACGAAACGAAAGCATCACTCGTTTGACTGGACGGCTATCGTGAGCCATCGCGGTGATGTCCTTCCTGATTTTAGCTTTGCTGGGTACCATGCGTCAGCGATAATATTGCCCAGTGGATCTGGCGCTAATGTTACGCTGGCTTTCAATGGGAGTGTTGATGATGTTGGGCCTTTGATACAGGAGGCTGTTGATAAGATGGCTGCGTTGGGTGGTGGAGCTGTGTTATTGCCTGAGGGGAGATGGCCGATGAGTGCTGGCGTGAACATTACTAGTAATGTTGTTGTTGCTGGGGCGGGAAGTGAGAAGACTGTTTTGGTGTTGCAAGAGCCTCCTTCTCAGGCGGTGTTCACTCTTGGCACACCTAACAATGGTACAAAGCCTCAGTATGGCTTCAGGTCAAACATCACCAATGACTACGCTCCCATCGGGTCATCTTCCCTGGACGTTGTTGACAGTGCTGGTTTCGCTGCTGATCAACTAGTCTATGTCTCTCGCAGTGTGACAGAGTCATGGATCAGAGAGAACGGCATGAGTGGTCTTGTCCGCGATGACGCTGAACAAACGTGGATACCAGTAAGTTATACCCCTCCGCTTACAGAAAGTCACTTACTAACATTCAGCAGGTGGGCAAGAGGATTATGGCACCAAACCAAATCAGCAGTGTCTACGGCACAAACGTCACTCTCAAGATCCCTTTGACGGATAATCTTGACTCAGAGTATACCCAGCCTGAACTCATAGTCTACACACCACCTTATATGAATGAGGAGATGGGTATACGAGATATGAGTATTGAAGTCCCTGATACCTGTTCCGGTGCACCCATGAGCGACAAGACTTGCAATTCTCCAGCTATCCACTTCCCATCCTGGACAGTTGACAGTTGGGCCAGTGGTCTTAGTCTCAAAGGCTTCAACAAGTTCTTCCAGATTGATACAGATGCCTCCCGCATCACTATTCAGAACTGCACCATGAACCGCGACAAGGATATCGAAGGTGCTGCACTGCCCTTCGACATCTTGATTCAGGGTTCTCAAGTTCTGGTTCAAGACTGTGCACAAGTTGGCAGCCCAGATGCAAAATGTTTCACTGTCGGCACAGGATCTTTGACGCCAGGTCCCAACGCCGTCCTCCGTCACAAGGCAAAGTCTGATGTTCAGACGATATATCCTCATCAGAGATGGGCTCATGGACTGTTAGTAGAAGACAGTTCTGTCAAGACGCTTTTCGTAGATCGGGGTATCAAGGGTTCGGGACATGGGTGGTCTATCAATGGTGGTGTAGGTTGGAATCTTGATGGAAGTGTTGACTTTGAGTCGCCTCCGCTTGGTATCAATTGGTGTGTTGGTTGCAACGATCCCCAAGGGAATGCTACGTTTATCGAATCTGGTAAAAGGGTGGATCCAGAAAGTCTTTTTATGGCGCAGCTTGAAGGGAGAAACATTTATAGACATAACCAGGAGGACGAGATGTATAACGAGTAGACTAGAAAATGTTCAATATTGAATATTAGTTCCTGAATTCTGTTCTCGCAGGGCAAAGCATCTCAGCCTAGCTTACCTGTCTTTGTCCCAACCCTTTCGGGCATCTGTATTAGCTCCTCCAGTGTCTTCCGAGGCAAGAGGTGGTCGCTAGCGCAAAGAGACGTGATACGACATAGAGCGTCATTGCGGGCGCTAGAAAGACTTAACCATTGTCTCAGCATATGATCTTGCGACATGCAGCGATAAATCTAAAAGTCCCTCCTTATATTAGAAGGTGTTAATAAAGGCTAGATATAAAAGGAATGTCAATCTTGACCGTTAATTAATCTGAACTCTATTTCAGGTCGACGTCGACCTTTGAGACAGAGCTATAGACGATATCAAGAAACTGATCATCCTGTTGTCGGAAAAGATAAATTTCAAGCTTCGTCGCTGACTACGCCGTTGATGTACGTCAAACCCAGATCCTTGAGATTTACAAGGTCAATAAGAGCCGGATTTCCGGGGAAGACATCCGCTGTCGATTGGCCTTCGGTTGAGGAGCCGAGTAGGGTTACAATGAAAAAAGTCCTTCGGCCCTTTTGAGTGATGCCGATATGAAGCTATGGATGGAGGATGCAAATAGTCGGTACACTTTGCGAGCGAAGGCAATTGATTCCAAAGCTATCTTGACAGTTTTGAAACGACAAGAATAAACACTTGAAGGTCCAACTTAAGTTTACCGCAACCGTTTCACCTCTTATACCATCGCCGTTTGATCTTGGCCGATCACTCCTATCTGAGGCGTTGTAACCGCTTCGCGCTAGATGTCACTAATCCCGGACTTCCTCGGCTTACGATCCGTATTCCTAGCCCTACTACGCAGTTTCTGGAAGGTAAAACATGGGATGGCCGAATTCTTATCGATCAACATTAGCTTGCTGCAGGAAACTTTAATACGCGGCGCGGAATAAACGCGATGGCTGAAACAGAAGCTGGCGTTTTTTTGTCGTAGCGTTATCCGACCTCACTAGTTGGCCGATGGTTCGTGGATAATTGATTCCCGGACGATCTCGTATAAGCATATTTGATTACCATTCTAATCACCAGCCACGAACGGCAGCTAATATTAAAATACTAGCCTTATCAAGACATTCATTAATTCAACTCCTGTCAAACCGACGCATAACATGTGATGCAACAACTAAAAAGCAAATTCCCAGGAACCGTCTCGATTTGATATCAACGTCAGCCTCGGCGCCCGTGATGAAACATGATCCAAGCTTGCGTCAAACCTCGCATTAATGGACAATTCGGGCAAGGCATCGGCAAATGATTTCATCGTGCACCGCTCGGACGCGCATGTTTCCTGTTTCCCACCGCGCACTCAATCCGAAACACCGTCGGGACCATGTGACGATCAGTGATTGACGAGTGTGACGTTGACGATCGTCATGTATATTAGTCTCTGTTCTTTTTATATCTACTGACATGTCTGCATTTTCTTTTTTTCTTATTGTTTATTGTTATGTCAAAATGTCTACCACAAGTACTACACACGGAACTTTCCATATTGAAGAGTTGGTCGATTCTAAAAGAGGACCAAGAACGACATGGCGTGTTCAACAAGATATTTCTGATCTCTTCGCCGCTCTTGATGAACTAAGATTCGACCTTGATCCTTTCGGTCAGAACGAAATTCCAAAGGAAAACACATACGATTATAACTACGATTTTACCTACCATCAAAAACCTCTACCACCCCTACCAGCCCTTCCAAGTTCAACATGCATAGACTCAACACAAAGCGACACATCATCAGTATCTTTCATCTTTGCACGACGATTCGAGCAAGAAAAAGCCTATAACGACAGTATCCGACCAAAAGACGTTATTCGAGATACTGTACAACAAAAAGTCGAGAATTGGCTTGGACAATTACCGGAACGACATGATGTCGCGCATATCCTACGAAAAGACGCAATGCAAAGTTTTAAACGACAAGTCACGAAACGAAATCGACGACAAGCATCAGAACCCATCAACTCTATTCCCAGTCCACAAATCTCAGACGACACTACCATTGCGGTCTCGGATGATTGCAAATTGCCGTTTAACAAGACGGACAGTTTCCAGTTGGTCGGAAAGCCTGTTGTTGATCGGGGCAATGAACTAGATGGATACCACTCAGCATTATTACATATTCACAGACCGTCAAAAAGTCTTGGGCACAACAACTTCCGTCCGTCATTAAGACGACAATATCCAAGGGGTTTGGAAGATGAGGCTCGGTTAGGGATAGGTGTTCCTGTTCCTGGGGCGGAAAAATGGATCTAAAACCATCACTACATAGATGACATAGAATAAGCGAATACACATTTTTTACAACAAACTAACATGATCCAAGTGTCGCGAAACAAATTGCCCTATAAAAAGACTACTGTTTCCAGTATATTAAAGCCAGCCTTGTCGTGTCTTGTCATCCCAAACCCTGCTGCCAAGCCCATCATCAACATGATACGCGACTCACGTCACCGCATGAAAAATCCTTCTACCGCGTTTCTTCCTTCCAAAAACTCGGAAATAACATGGATTAGATAGCTGGTCGATCACGATGCAAGAATTGGGTCCCTGGCTCGACCCCTGACAAGAAACGGTGAGCACGACCTTTGATCATGCATTTTGGCAAATATCATGAACTTCATGATATCACTTACGTGAAGTCAACAAAACGTCCAATAAAATCCACCAAATATCATAAACCCTGTGGAACTTTCGGTCTTGGCGGACAAACATGATTTTTTGTATTGGAAGAAAAGAAATAGCTGATGTGCGGTTTAAAAGGCTTGTCTTGTCGCTGGTTGCTTTTTACAGTACAGATCGACCTTTCTCATTCAAGTACGTACTTGATGATTTTCGTTACTGAAGAACTTCACATGGAATCTAGAGTTGCTCGTGTATCTATTCCTCGTCAGGCATCCCTACCTCCAGAAGAAATCTGATAAAATGCACGTTTACGTCCACAGCGCCAATCCCTGGCTTGACGATCACATCAAAGCCTGCATCAAACAACACGTCAATGATGCAATCTTCTACGACGACTTCCACCAGATCCCCGAAAACGCTGAAACAGTCTTCCAACTTCTCAATGGCTGGGAATTGAATCATCACTTCGCGGTCCTGAACAGGGCGAAGCACGGTCTTCTCAACGCGTATCCCAACAGCGACGCTCTCGCGCGAAAGGATCATATGGCCAAGGTAGTGGATTATTGGGTTACGAAACGGCCTGATAGTATCCTCAAGGGTCATAGTCCAGCGACAGTGCAGCTGTCGCTGGATTATGCCGAGTATGTGGAGGACGCGCTAGCTGCGGCTGATGATCTAACGTTGCTTTACTCATTGGAGGATAACGAGAGTAAAGACCCTTCTGAACGAGATTGGTGGATTCTGAAACCGGCTATGATTGACTGTGGTCATGGAATTCGAATCTTCAGTACCATTGATGAGTTGGCTGATAATCTTGAACTCGCCGCCGATATCTCAGAAGAAGAAGAGGAAGAGGAGGAAGAAGTCGTGAAGGCGAAAGACGAAAGCGATACAGACTCAGATGGTTTTCACCCAAGTCTCTCAGCACCAGGTCTCAACTCCCTAGACGCCCTCATCACAGCAACCGGCAAACTTTCCATGAAGCAAGACATAAGCGACGCCGAAAAGATCCAAAATCTCACCATTGGCGAAAACGAACGTATTCCGTCCGCTCTGCTAAGAGAATTCGTCGCTCAACAATACATTGTTTCTATCCCACCCATTGACGGAAGAAAATGGCACGTTCGCGCTTACGTTCTTTCTGTCGGGCGTCTAAAGGTTCATGTCTTTAACGAGATGCTCGCCTTGCTAGCGTTGGATGATTATGAGCCACCATGGAAGAACCCAAGTTTGAAATCTTCTTTGACGAACACCGCTCTCCAAGACGAAGAAGAGTTCACAAGCAAAGAATCAATGCGGGATTTCTGGAAGATCGACGATACTTTACTACCCGGGGATTGGAAGACAAACGTGTTCAACCAAGCCTGCCAAATCTCCTCCGAACTTCTCCTAGCCGCCGCATCAACAATGGCCGACAAATTCACACCCCTAGATAAATGCTACGAGCTCTTTGCAATTGATTGTCTGGTTGATACGAAAGGGACGGCGTGGTTGTTAGAGGTTAATGAGACGCCTGCTTTTTATGAGCAGGGGTATGCGGGGGAGTTGGCGGAGAGGCTTATGGAGAGTGTTGTTGCTGTTACGTTGGAGCATTTGGGGGTTGGTGAGGGTATTCAAAATGGGGAAGCGAGGGGGAGGATGGTGGAGGTTTTGGATGCGGGTGAGTTGTTGGGGAAGAGTAATATTACGGAGATTCTACCGGGTGCCTTATAGAAGGATGGTAGAGAAGATAGATTTAGATTAGAGAAAAGTAATGCATTTATGATTTTAGTTCAACTTGGGGTATAAGAACCTGTGAAGGTGACAAAATCTTCAAATTCCAAGATGGAAGGGCTAACTCGGCTACGTGATGAAATTATTTAAATTTCCATATACCAGAGACGTATCACAAAGAAACGCCGAATACCTATACACCAGTTTGTAAAGAATAACTTCCTAGATGGTTTAAACATTCAAGGAATTGACTGGGTATTTTTCATTGGAGTTTATGTCTTTTTCGTATAACATTTCTGTGGTAGCGAAATATGCTCTAGGTTACGTCAACAACTGCCGACAGCCGCATAGAGATTGTCAACATCTCACAAAACGTTACCTTTATCACCGACGGCTGTAACCTGACCATTGTCAACCATCAAAGCGTACTCTTTGTCCATCGTCGCAAACATTCTCTCGTCATCTTGGCGCATCCCTCAATGATGAACGTCAATAATATCCCAATTATCAATATCCCCCCACATCTCGGATATCCGACCCTCTCCGAAAATTACCCTTTCGGGTAAAAGTCATCAAGGGCGCGCTGACATTATCACCCTATGTAACTCAAGCCCCAGTTGACCAACCTATCAAGACTCAGAAGGCTAGTTTTGTTCGAAAGGCGTACTGATGACATGCCGTTTCACTCTCCACAAATGCGGGTGTCGTCGCAATTACAGTTACACTATTGGCGAGATACATCATTGGTGATTCTGAGACACTATGAAGGGAGATGAGATATAAAGTTTAAGTTGCCCTGCTTCATAACATCGATATTCAATCACAAGATTAAGCATATCACGGCAATCATCATGGACTCTTTCAACCATCAAGATGACCTCGAAGCAGTCACATCCTCCCTCCAATCCATCCTCACCCTTCTCGCCACAACAACCCAAGACGTAAAAAACGACCCCATCATCAAAGTCGCACAACCAAAAGACGTCCCCTACCTCCAAAAAATAGGAACACCAGGTGAAGCCCACTCAATCGAGCACGTCCTCAACGAAGCATTCGCAGCCTTCGACCACCGCATGCGCGTCAACCATCCTCGCTTCATGGGCTTCATCCCCTCGCCCACATCACCTGTTGCGTGGCTAGGCGATATCGTAGCTAGCGCTTTCAACGCGCTGGGTGCGAGTAAGCTGCAGGCTAGTGGCCCGGTGGTTATTGAGAAGACGTTGATTGAGTGGCTTGGTAGACAGGTTGGTTTTGGGGAGGGGAGTGGTGGGATTTGTGTTTCTGGTGGGAGTATGGCGAATTTGATGGGGATTGTACTCGCGAGAGATCGATTTGTGTCGCAAGAAACACAGAAGGGTGTTGTTTATCTTTCTGATCAGACGCATTACTCTGTTGCAAAGGCATTGCGATTACTCGGTTTCAACAAGGACCAAATTCGACGCCTACCAGCTGATGAGTCGTTCAGACTTGACGCGACTCTTTTGGAGGAGACGATCAAACAAGATAAGGAATCAGGCCTTGTTCCGTTCCTGGTAGTCGGCACTTGCGGAACAACAAACACAGGCGCAATCGATCCGCTCAAGCGCATCTCCAAGATCTGCAAAACCCACAACCTCTGGCTTCACGTCGATGGCGCATACGGCGCGTCAGCCACACTATCCGCCACGAGGCATTCGACGGTCGAAGACGTCAAGTACGCAGACAGCATGTCCTGGGACGCGCACAAATGGCTTTTCCAAACCTACAGCTGCGGTTTGCTGTTAGTCAAAGACAAGACCAATCTTGTAAGGAGTTTTGCCAATGAAGGTGATTATCTGAGAGATGGCGCGGCGATTGAAGATGAGGATATACCCAATTTCTGGAATTACAGCATGGAACTTACGCGTCCTGCGTCACGCGCTATGAAATTGTGGTTCACATTGCGGGTTATTGGTGTTGAGAAGCTAGGAAAAATGATTGATCACGGGTTTGATCTTGCGGAGCGCGCAGAAGAGGAATTGCGTAAGCTTGACAATTGGGAAATTGTCAGTTCTGCCAGTTTGGGAGTCATCACATTTCGCTACGCGCCCGAGGGGGTTGCAGAAGATGAATTGGAGATCATCAACACTGGTGTCTCGAAAAGTCTGATTTCGAGTAATTTAGCGGGCGTTTTGACGACTAAAGTGCGCGGCAAGGTGGCGTTGAGGATTTGTGCATTGAGTCCGCAGTTGGGCCTTGATGATATGTCGGAGATAATCAGGGAAGCTGATAAATTGGCTAGAAGGGGGATTCAAAATGGAAATGGAGTGCATTAGAAGATACACTAGATGAGTTATCAATCAGAGAATTCTTATCAATCTTGTATTGCATCATATGATGGAATCAATTATTGCTCGGTGCTCCGAACCGAAAGACTCCGAAGCCGGAATGGAGATTTTGACTTTTACAATTTGGAATCAATTCCAGGGATCAGGGATTTCAGCACGTGTTTTCTGCCTTTAGCGGTATGTACCTGCTGTAGGTGCCATTTTTTTAGTGGGCGGCGAAAGCGGCATTGAACATGACATGACAGTCCACATTTGCGTCACCGCCAGTCCAGAATCAATTGTCCTGACTAGAGGTGCACTCGATCATGCATAGAATTATGCACTAATTACCTAAAATGTTCAAACAGGTAACTTACAGCAGCACAATTGAACAACTGTACACACTGATACAGGAACCAAGTGGATACCCCCCAGCAGCTCTTATCTCTTATCGTTATCTCTTGTCGCGCTAAAGATAAAAATGAATTTCCACCGCGTTCCACAGGAAAGAGCAAAGACCCCTGACGCTCCACTGGTCCTTGCTTTTTCTTCCTCTCCTTCCATTCTTAATCACAGCGTTTCCCTTTCCCTTGCTCTCCCTTCTCTTCTCTCCATACTCAACCATCACAAACAACCATCATCATGTCTCAAGCTTTCGTTCAACGCCCTGCTCCCGAGTTCTCGGCTACTACCCTCTTCCCTGGAGGCGAGTTCCGTGACATCAAGCTCTCTGACTTTAAGGGTCAATGGTAAGAACCCGGATGTCCACTGTTTACGTGTCTTGATTACTGACTTACTGTTCAGGGTCGTCCTTCTCTTCTACCCCATGGACTTCACCTTTGTCTGCCCTACCGAAATCATCCAGTACAACAACGCCCTCGACCGCTTCAAGGAGATCAACACCACCGTCCTCGGCGTCTCCACCGACTCCCACTTCACCCACCTCGCCTGGGTCGAGAAGCCCCGCAAGCAGGGCGGTCTCGGTCCCGACCTGGAGCTCCCCCTCATCGCCGACAAGTCCACCAAGATCTCCCGCAACTACGGCGTCCTGATCGAGGACGAGGGCATCGCTCTCCGCGGTCTCTTCATCATTGACCCCAAGGGTGTTCTCCGCCAGATCACCGTCAACGACCTCCCCGTCGGCCGCGACGTCGAGGAGACCATCCGTCTCGTCAAGGCTTTCCAGTTCACCGACGAGTACGGCGAGGTTTGCCCTGCTGGGTGGCAGGAGGGTGGCAAGACCATGAAGGCTGATCCCAAGGGCAGCTTGGAGTACTTTTCTGCTGAGGGTGAGTCTGAGTCTCGCAAGCGACCCAGGACTGATTAGGGGAACTGTGTGAAAACTAAGATTTGTATTGTTACAGGAGCTAAGGCATAGATGTTAGATTCCAATGAGACTTCGATTCCCATCAACACTCGCCAGTAAATACGACTACCACTTTATGACGGACGAGCGATGACGAACTGTACGACGAAAAAAGATATGCATCGGGGAATTGGTCATGGAGGATATGCGATAAAATAAAATTAGACATAGATTATAGACTTCCTTGACGACCGATTGACTACTTCAACGTGAATACCTCCCCTTCTTCACTCCCATCAATAATCCCAGTCATCGCTTCCCCATTCATAACACCATGGCAATAAGCATCCCTGCAAAAGTTAGTACGCGTCGCGACAACGTTGCAGTTTACTCACCCAATAAACCGATGTCCCCCATCATCCCTCCCCCTCAAAACAACAGGCCACTGCATCCCCATCACCACAGCAATAACATCCCCCTCCAAAACCTCATGATGCGCCAACCCCATATACCCACTATCAGTAACAACAAACCTCCGTTCACAATACGTCGCTAGAACAGCTTGTAACCATGACATGTCCAGTCCGACTTTGTACGTTTCTTCAAGCGCCTTTTCGCGCACTGCGTTTGCTTCGGGTGGTGTTTGGGGCATTTGGGTGGTGTCGTAGAATTGCATGTATGTTGCTGAATACGTTTCGACGCTCGTGTTTTTCTTTTCGAGACCTGAGGGGAAGGGGAGGCCGCCGATTAGAGTTAGGCCAAAGGCGGTTTCGACGGATTCGTCGGTTGGGTAGGTGGTTAGACGCTCCATGCAAGCGGAGTAGACTTCGCGGAGATGGTTCTTGGTAAAGAGTTCGCCAAAGTGTCGATATTCGTTCACATAGTTGACTCGTCCGATGATCTTCCCTCTCACAGCCAAACACCCGGGCTCCGTAGGGATATAAACATGTCTCCCCGGCTGCGCTCCCTTCAACGGCTCACCAATCCCATAAGCACAGCCCGTGCCAGTCTCAAGTCTCCAATCAGGAACCCAACTCGGCCACTCATCATCGTCATTCCTCTGTCTCGCAGACCAAATAACGCTCAAATCCGACGTATCATTCTTGATGATCGCGTCAGTCGCTTCTGTGAAGACATCTTTGACAGATTTGGAGTAATCAACGCTCATTTTCGTATCATCCATCCCAATCTCGCTGATCCCTAATAACGCAAAGACTTTATCTCTAGGATCAGTAGCAAGACGCGGTCGTAACGCTTCCAAAAGATCGCGCATGGCCCATTTACACGTCGGACGTGTCTTTTGCCCCAACAGGTCAGGAAGATATTCACTTCCCAATCTTGCGCGCCATGGAATAGTGCTCATCTGCGTAACAAGACACGCACCATTAACGTCCCTAGGATGCTCCTTATGCAGACCCTTTGCTTTGAAACAATACCATCTAGCCGCGGCAGAGATATATTCCCAGTCAAGACTGAACTCGCCACAGAGAACGAGAGCTTTTCGGGCTTGAATGATTTCTTGGACTGTCCACATTCGCTGAAACCAGGGTCGGTTGAAGAAGTTTGTGAATGCAGACCATGAAGCTTGGTCGTCGAAGGGAATGCCCAATTCGCGGGATTGATCCAGAGTCAATTCTTCTTTGCGCTCGAGTTTTGTTTCTTCGTGAGTTTGGTCGTAGTTGTCCCAGCGGAACCAGTCTGTCGCTGTTGGGAGGGCTACTTCACCTACTTTCTTGACAAAGTTTATGCCGAGTTGGGTGGTGGTGTCGGAGGGACCTAGCCATGCGAGGACGGTTTCTGCTTCTATGACCAGTAAGCTTCACAATCCACCAGCATTGAAGGTAGCTTACTATCGTAAATGAGATTCATCTTGGTAACCTGCTCAGACTTCTCCTTAAGATCATCCTGATTAATACAAATTTGGTCAATCCAGAGATTCTGGCCCGGGATGAACTTGTCTATCGCAACTATCGCCTCGTGAAGAGATGATGTTATGCTGAGGATTTTGCCATCGCACGGCACTTCGACGCGATCTGTCGCGTTTCCCCAACAGTATGACAATGCTGTGTATTTTATAGGGTCTTCTGGATTAAGTTGCACGTTTCTGATGCTTGCTTCGAGATGGTCGGTGATTCTGAAACTGACAAGACGGATCTCGGATTTAGAGACTGGGTTATAAGTGTAGGAGCTCATCTTGGAACAGGACTGACTGAATGACGCCGAGAAATATTAGCAAGCGGAAGTTAGAATATTTTGTTAGGTTATATAATCTTGCTTGAGGCCGCTCGCAGGATTGTGGCAGTGAGGAGCATAGCCCCTCAGTAAGCCGTGATGCCTAACCGACCCGCTGTGGATTAAGCGTAGACACTATTCAGACAGAATAGTAACGACCCGGGCAGGTGGGTCGAAGAAAAAGCGAGACTTAGCTCAGGGTATCATAAAAGTTAGGATGGTTTAACCTAAGCTTAGTGCCTAAGCAGATCTAAGTTATTTTGTCAATAGACTTCTGCGTCCTGGTTATTTTCCGGGCCGCCTGCCGGGTTCAATCACTCTTCTTTGATGGTAGTCAAATCCACCTCATCTGGCTCCTCCCAATCATCCGAAAAAGTATAACTCTCAAAACACGTCCCAACAGCCCCCTCAGTATCATAAAACACAAACTCACAAGTGCCTTTCTTCCCATGCCAAACCCCATCCTGCACAACCCCGTACCCTCTCCTCGCAAACTCCTCCCTCCGTTTCTCTTGAGGTACATGATTACAATCAAACGCGACGTGATGAATACCCCCCTCAGGCTGTCTATCCAGAAACTCCCTCATGAGCGAAGGGCCGGAGACAGGCTGCATGAGTTCCCATACCATATCGCCCGTATCTGCGAATGCGACTAATAGTTCGAAGTTGGAGTGTAAGCCGCGGAAGGTGCGGTTGGAGACGGTTGCGGCGTTGAAGGAGAAGATTTTGAAGGGGGGAAGACCGAGGTTTGTTAGGGATTCGATTGTTTTGCGGATGTTGGGGGTGACGATGCAGATTTCTACAACTTTGCCTAGGAACGGACTCGGCTGTGATGATGTGATGGACTCCATCGTGGTAGATAGATGGAAATTTTACGATGTTGTAGTGGAAGAATAGGACGACTTTAAGGTCTTGTATTAACCCTCACCTCACCGCGGGAGAGGTCGAGGGCGTCATATTATGCTACGTCATAGGCGCCGTTTTGCTTACCGAATCTTGATTTAAATTGCAGCTATCAAATGATCACGTATTCAGAAAGAAATGGATTTATCACAATTATTAAGAACCTACCAGTCATTGATAACTTGTCGTCATTAATCCTCCGAGCACTCCTCTCTAAAATGCCATCCGACATAATCTGGCCCCAGAAGTACCTCCCTGGCACAACCGACAACTTTGTGTCCAACGAGGTCATTGTCAAAGATCTCACCTCTGCAGAGGTCTGGCCATTCCTTGTCGACATCACCAAATGGGAAAAGTACTACAACAACGTTTCTCAAATCACCCCACCGCCTTCCGGATCCTTCCTCAAAGAAGGTGATAAATTCAAGTTTTCCACTTTCGGCTTCCCGCCTCTTCCGGCTGAAGTTCTAGAGTCTGTGACTCCGACAGACAAGTCGCCCGGACGTATCGCCTGGCGAGCTGGAGATGAAGAGTCGGCAATAGATGTTTATCATGCTTGGATAGTGGAGGACTTGGAATGGGGTGTTGTACGTGTTCTGACTCAGGAGTCGCAAATTGGCAAGCCGGCACAGGAACTGGCTGCCAAAAAGCCGAATCCTATGTTGCTTGGACATCAGGACTGGTTGGACGGTTTGATCAAGTATGCCAGGGAAAATAAGTAACGAGGCCAAGTGGACTATTGTTTTAGGAGACTGGCCAAACGGAGACGCATGGCTTGTCTAGCTACAAAGAAGTTAAAGTCAAGCCTTTTACCATCCACAATAACAATCTGATCTTTTATTTCTGAGAACTCCCTGCCATACTCATCTAATCTATCACTTATCTCGTCTATGCCCTAACATCGGACTTGTCCGAGGGAATGATCCGCTGTTCGAACGCTAACGCTAACGCGAACCCACTTCCCCGCGTCTCCCCGACATTTGCTGATTAAAAATCCAACCGACGCGACTGGTTGTGAGATTGCAGATATCGTCGGCGTCAAACATTATAGTGACAGCTGATCCTTTTGACCCCGACCAGTCAGACTCTCTACCTTGTCCACCCTCACTACAGACGCAATGTTGAGAGCTAGCCGCACAATACGCACAGGCTCTGCCGTCCGATCCATGGCCACGGTGGCTGGAGTCAGGGGACAAGCACCGTTAAGTCGATTCGAGCCGGATCATAGCGTCGATTATGTTGGCTTCTTGGACAAACTCCCCCGCTTGCGAAAAATGTAAGACAATGTTCTACCTCTACAGTTTACCAATTACTGACCTAGCTGTATCTAGCCTTGACCGCCCTCTCACCTATGCTGAGAAGGTTCTCCTTGCACACCTTGATGGAGAACAAGGCGACAAAGTGATTCGAGGTTCAACACAGTTGAAGTTGAAACCCCGGCGAATTGCCTGTCAAGATGCCACTGCCCAAATGGCGATCATCCAATTTATGACAGCCGGACTTGACAAAACTGCAGTTCCCACTACAGTTCACTGTGATCATCTCATCGTAGGGCGAGATGGTAGCCAGGAAGACCTTGCTGGAGCTCTTACAAGCCATAGCGAGGTGTATGAGTTCATGTCAAGTGCTTGCCAACGCTACAACATGGGCTTCTGGAAACCTAATGCAGGTATTATCCATCAGATTGTACTTGAGAACTATGCTTTCCCTGGCGGCATGTTGATTGGCACTGACTCACATACGCCAAACGCTGGAGGCATGGGCATGATTGCTGTAGGCGTCGGCGGTGCAGACGCGGTTGATGTCATGTCGGGCCTTCCTTTCGAGATTACTGCCCCTAGAATCATTGGTGCCAAATTGACAGGCCAGTTGAGCGGCTGGGCTAGCCCAAAAGGTACGTTATGTATGAACCATTGTCAAACAGTTACTAACACACCAAGATGTTATCAATGCAGTTGCAGGAATTCTTGGTGTCAAGGGTGGCACTGGAAACATTATCGAGTACTTTGGCCCTGGTGCCGAAACAATATCGGCAACCGGAATGGCTTCCATCACCAACATGGGCGCTGAGACAGGAGCAACAACGTCAATCTTCCCTTACTCCGAGGCTATGTCTGCCTACTTACGCGCGACTCGCCGGCCTGAGCTGGCCGAAGCTCTCCACGTTGCCAAGCATGAGCTTCAAGCGGACGAGGGTGCAGAGTATGACCATGTCATCGAGATTGACCTGTCCACACTAGAACCTCGCATCAACGGCCCATTCACACCCGATTTGTCGACACCAATCTCTAAATTGGGCGATGCCGTTCGGGAGAATAAGTGGCCGGAAAAGCTCACCGCCGGACTGATCGGATCATGCACAAATTCGTCTTTTGAAGATCTCTCCCGTGCTGCCAGCTTGGCACGCCAAGCTCTCGATGCAGGCCTAAAGCCCAAGATGCCACTGCTCCTATCTCCCGGAAGTGAGCAGACAAATCAGACACTTAAGCGCGAGGGCGTTACTGAGGTTTTTGAACGCCTGGGTAGTAAGATCCTGTCTAACGCTTGCGGACCCTGCTGTGGTGCGTGGGACAGAACCGAGATGGAAAAGGTATATTGAGATTCCTGACAAATCACCTGCACAAACTGCTCACATTTGACCAGGGCACGCCGAATTCGATCTTGGCATCATACAACAGAAATTTCACTGGACGACTTGATGGAAATCCTGCTACCCATGCATTCCTTTCTTCCCCTGACATGGTCATGGCCAAGGTCTTCTCTGAAGATCTTGGCTTCAACCCGCTGAAGGATAGTCTCGTCACGGAGACTGGCGAGAAATTCCACTTCCAACCCCCTAGTGGTGACGCACTTCCATCAGGGGAGTACGAGAACACAGACCACGTCTACGATGCGCCTTCGACAGATCCTCAGGTCCGACAAACCGTGACCGTCCAAATATCACCGGACTCTCAACGCTTGCAAAGACTGGCTCCGTTTAAGCCTTGGTCCGGGCAAGATTTTGTCGACTGTCCTATACTCATCAAGACTATGGGTAAATGCACGACAGACCACATCACTACAGCTGGCCCATGGATGCGTTTCCGTGGTCATCTCGAAAACATTTCCAACAACACCCTCATCGGCGCTGTCAACGCAGACAACCAAGAGGTCAACAAAGTGGTAAACCAAATCACTGGAGAGCATGGGGGTGTTCCAGACACAGCCAGAGACTACCAACAGCGCGGTCTTCCTTGGGTCGTTGTAGCAGACCACAATTATGGCGAGGGATCCTCGCGTGAACATGCTGCTCTTCAGCCCCGATACCTTGGCGGTGCCGCTATCATTGCAAGATCGTTTGCGCGTATCCACGAGGCCAACCTCAAGAAGCAGGGCATGCTGGCGTTGACATTCGCTGATGATACCGCGTATGATAAGATCAAGGCTTCTGATCGTATCAGCATTATTGGACTCACGGAATTGGCCCCTGGAAAGAATGTGCAGCTCAAAGTAACTTCAAAGGACGGTACAAGTTGGGTGACTGAAGTCAAGCACACCTTCACTCGCGAGCAAGTCGAGTATTTCAAGGCTGGAAGTGCTCTGAATGTGATGGCCAGCCGGCTCTCGGGCAAGTCGTCTCCGTCAGCCTCGGGGTCGACTTAGATTATTCATGTAATTACATGTACGATTACTACTATGCAGGATATGATCCATCCTTGGTCTCTATTATTAATTTTGTATTCTATTGATCGTAGGCCTTTAACATGAGAAACCTAGCTTTAGGTTTCTTGTTACTACTTATGGACTTTGGTTGGAAACACTGTAGAACAGAGTAATAGTATAGCAAACGAAGAGCGAAGATATCTTTGCGAACTTCATTCAGCTGATCTATGCAAACAGTTTTGGATGCTATCGCTACACGGCTAGAGCTCTCGTAAACTTGTGTCAAAGGTCAAGGATAGACCAGACCTAGACCCAAGTACTTCCAATCTCTCTCGACATTCCTTAGACCATCCCCCTCGCCAGTAGAACGATTGAGGCAAACAGATACCCTTTAAGGATCTCGCGTTCAAGGGGGCACCATTCTCAAACTCCCGTTCCAGGGCCGAAACCATTGCTTTATCCGGATTCTCTCGCCGCCGGGCCCCCATGAGATCACGGGTCAGGATCAAGTGTTGAAGGGTGGTTGGAAACGTATGGCCAATGTTCTTGGCTTTGGAAAGAATATTCCACCCAATGAGGAATGACCATGGAACGTGCAATGTCTTGAGCTTTTTCATTCTTGAAATTTGTGCCAAAGTATTTCGGAACGTGATATCTGGGGGCTCGTACTCGCCTTGTGACATCGCAGGTGCTACCCAAGCTGTGACATGTAATTCCTCAAGCGTGTCACTGACCTCCAAGAATGCTTCTGCCATGGTGTCAAGCATAACAGTGTCTATGTTGACATGTTCGTCAAGATCGGGGCGATGATGCCAGTCATACCGCAGTCGCTTGAGGCCTTTTGCCACAGATAAGATGGGAGCAAGGTAACATTCTCGTAGCCTGTAGATGTCCAACGACGTTAAGAAAGCAGGGTCGGGAGACGAAGGTCCTGGCCAGGCGAACTGGATGGGGTTGCCGATTGAAACTGAAAGACTCCGGAGCTTGGGTAGGTAGAATGCCGAAAGTGCCTCTGCAGTGTTTTTTGGATCGAGGTTTGGATCGGTTTCGATGGTAGATGCGATTGATACATCTTCCAAAGACTGAAGATCTGGAAAGGGCCGATCTTCAGTTGTAGGACAGACATACAATAAAAATATCGCCTCCAATGTCCGCGAATCCTCAGTCCAATTTATAGATGCAGAGAATTTGGCGAGATTTGGAAGAAGACATAGAAGCAGAGCCATAGTACCATCAGCCCATTTTTCGTGGACTTTACGGATAGTGTACAGGTCGCGGCTCTCCGGCACGTCCAAGTACGCATATGCATCGCAGTACAGAACGTTATTGATCCAACTGACCGCAGTAGTCTCTTCAACGCCCGTCGCCTCAATAGTTGTAGCAAGACGATCAAGAGGAGGCACGGGAACGCGGGGTGGCTCCGGGGTTTCACCTGGCCATGGAGGGTCGTCACGGTCAATGTGGTCTTCACCAACGAATTCCAGGCTTCGGACGTAGTTGCAAAGCTCTGGTCTTGCGAGTAGTGTTCGAATCAAACCGAGGGATTGCAGGACGGGTGCGTGGTATACTCGATACCATGATATCTGGATCGTGGAATAAAGCAGAGGTTCTACAAGACTGTTCAGCGACCGACACGTCGTGGAAAGCCTTCCTAGGAGATTTTGTGGAAGGCACTCCGCAACTTGGAGCTGAATCTCTTGAGGGAAGTCGAGGAATGAAGCTTTCTGCATCATTGTGTGTGATGCGATGTTAGGTAATGTGCAGAAGCGAAGTTTATCTCGCAATGTCAATGCTTGAGAGGAGCTGACGAATGCTTGGCCCATATTTACAGTGACCAACAGCCTTACAGTGGTGGTCTGAAACATGGACCACCCCTGTGTTGATCCAAGCGCTGGGTGCAACCACATAATTCACACAAACATCGTGACGGATTGATGCTACCTGTAATGATCAGTTTAGAGAAAATATATATGCTGCTACCGTCCTATAATTCGACCTTTCAGTTACGCGTGCTGCCAAGCGAAGTAAGAGCCATAGCTGCCAATGATAAAATCCCATTCCCACAGACACCATATCTGCCACTAGGTTGCAACAAAAAGAGCAGCTAAACTAAAGATGCACATTCTGCAACTCTCTCCGCAATATACTTCCTTCCCTTTGGCCTCTCCTGGAGTTACCAACAATGATGACCTCTTAGTAGCGAAGATCAGTCCTGACAATCTCATAGTTTATACGCGAATTAATGACGCAAGTCTCTCCTCCCTTCGAAGAAGCCCGCCACCCACGACCACTGAACTCACGCGCCCTGTTCTGGGTCCAGTCCGCATCGTTGCGCACATCCATGGTACCAATTCTTGCACCACCCAGACCACTAACGCGCCTGGCCTTGTAAACAGCGTTGGCGCCCTTGTTGGAGCCGGCAATAACTAGGTTCTCCCAGCTCTTTCCCAAAGGCCAGCTACCACCTCTGTGGCCGCGAGCCCAGCGATACATAGCCTGCACACCACCTGAGTAAGGCCCGTTTGGCCCTGCGTGGTTCTGCCTCTTGTGGTCGCGGCAGTAGTCAGAGGCACTGTCGGTTCCAAAGCCGCTCTCTCTGCCAGGACGGGCACCCTGACGTTTGGTCAAGCTAGGTTCTTCCTCAGTGAAGCTTCGAGCGACCCAGACGACGACGTGGTCACCGTCGTCGCGCTTGAACATGGAGTGCTTGTACACTGGTAATCATCAGCATTGGTGTTCATGAAGAGGCACTTGAGGAAGACTTACTCTCGGTCAGATTGACACCATGGATGTCTGCGAGCTCGAGATCGCGAGCTTCGAGGACGTCGTCGCGTTTGAAAAGCACAAGATCTTGATCATTGTCTGCAACTGGAATAGCTACAGCCTTAGAGGCCAGCAGGGTGGGAAGAATGTATTTGAAGAGCATAGTGAGTTTTGAAGATAGCTTAGAGTGTGTATGAAAGTGAGGAGTGATAGCGTTCAAGTCGGCTTGTTTTGTAGAAAGAATATTTAGTCAACTGGCGTGGGCAAGTGGCCTTCTTATAGTCATTTGTTCCTCTTGTCATTACCCTTAGCTCAATGTTCCTGTTACTTACGACTTTCCCACGAGACCACATGTTTCTCCATTTATCTTCTTGGTCCTGCGGAAGTGTGGCACTTCTCCCACATCGAATCTCCCAACTGTAGATACACGGCTTGAACTCCCACTTGTCGCAGCTGTGAGAAGTGGGCTATGGCAATTCCCCACGCCAGAGCGGAAGATTTGTCTTTTTCTGGTTGCCAAGTTCCCCACGTCTGCTTACGCCAAGTTGCTAACTGCAGATTTCGACCTGCGCCAAGTTCATACGCCGTGAATTTGCGCATCGGTTTACGAATATCCTGACGGCCCCCAAAAGCAAGAAAGCAATACTCGGCCGATTCATCACAGCATATCGGTGGTAGAACGATTGATCATTTGCCTTGCAATCAGGGTGATTAAATAATCGTTGTTGTTTTGCATATCCCTATCCAGTCTGTCCAAAGTGAGGGCACTTAGTAAATAGTGATGTTTTTCAGCTCAGCTACCCCTCTCAGGACGGTGGTCATGCATGCAAAAACTGACGCCAAGGCGCACGGCCCGCTCCATCGTATGTGCCGCGGCTTGGTATATGCAGCTCTTTTCGCTACGATAGGCCAGGGGCATCAGGGACGGTGACTAGTTTATACTGATAATTGGAGACCTTGAACGTATTTAGACAAATATCCACGGCCCCCAAAGCAAAGGCCAGCTTATCAACCCAGCTCGCAATGCATGGCCACGTCGCGTAATATACTTGCTCAATATTAGAAGGTAAGAGTCTGATTCAGACCAGCATGTAACTTCAGTTTTAATCCCCACGCCTTCAACTCTCCACTATTACCATCTACCCTCCCTCGCTATTATCCTTTCGATCCCATAAGCGCCCTCAGTACTCCGTCCGTCCGATTCAACCCGAAGAAAGAATGTAGCGTCATGACGTTGCTTCGAATCAACCAATGCGGTTTCTTGACGATGAGATGGCGGTATGTTTCTCACGGAAGTCCTCTTGTCCCGAGTACTGATTATCCGAAGGTCGCGTAGTGGTTGAGCAGAGACTTGATCAGGGCCACGGTGCCAAACACTCAAAACTAATATTCGCATCACAGGTATTGATGCAGCCATAATGGTAACGGCACACTCAACATTACTCCAAATCACAATGTTCACTCGAGCATCTAGGAGCTAGGTTAGAATTCGTCGCGGGCTGTAGAATGGACGAAACTTACAAGTGCGGTTCTTGCTGCCAAGCCCGAGCATACCGTAGCATTTAACTGCAGCTGCAGCGGCGGCACTGGAAATTCGTCAGTCAAAGAACGAATAGTGTTACAACAGGACTTACAATATACCAAAAGTCAATGCAATCCCAACGCCAACTTTCTCGCGTGTTCGCATCGAAAGTTTCCAAATAATCATCCACGCAAGGATACACAGCACAAGGTCGACTACTCCGGAGTAGGCTGCCCCAAGAGTTAGAGAAGTTGAATCTGGAGAGAACAATGACTTGCCTCCTGCGAAGATGTTGTAATATGTTGCGACCAGTGGATTCCAACAACTTCCTGGAACGCTTGCCCGCCAGCCCTTTTCGACAGGGGTGCACTTGATGAAAGAAAACACGATGACCAGGTTCATGATGATGTTCATAGAGACAATAAGGAACCAAAGGAACCAGTTCATCCATCCATCCACCAGCCTTATTAGTGTCAAAGCAAATGATGTCTTGCTCCATGTTGCAGACAACACGGCGAAGAGGCCATAGATCGTTCCAGTAAGGCCAATTTTTGGTATGATAGCAGGGTCAACCTCGTTGATGTCCTTGCCAAAACCCAGTTGGACTTCGTAAATCATCAAAGATGTCGAGATGACAAAGGAAACCTGGTCCCATATTAATTTACAAATTCAAACTTCATGGGTGTGGATGGAGAGACGAATTAGCTGTGAAAACTCACCCATGACGCAATCAGGACATGATCGTCCCACCAGAAGCCTCTCCTGCGAATGACCTTGCAATATAGGCGGAGGCCCAGGAAGATGCCAGAGAGAATAAGGAGTGACAAGGATTGTACAACGATTGTTCTGCCGTAGTCCTTAGATTGTGGCATCAGAGAGGCTGATCGATCGTCGCTGCAGGTCTCACCAACCGGGGAATGCGGATGTGTCGATCATATAAAAGCAATTAAAGAAAATGGACATAAGAGACAGACTGAAACAAGACTTGAAGACCATGCGATTGACGTGTCGATGATGATGGTATGTTGGTTCAGTCGTCGAATTGAGAGTGGAGGAAAGTGGATGAAGATGGGGAAATAAAAAGGGAGATAAGAAGCAGCGGGACTTGCGAGATCCTTTGCCCCTTGAAAACTGCACTGACGTTACGCTTTGGCCCAGGGGCTTATGGCGTTGACTAGTGTAGACACCATCGTCAGCCACGCGACGTGTAATTGGACCGCAACTTGTCGCTTTCCTCGGCACGTTCCGATACCATCATCGACGCGACGACAACGTCGAAGAATATATCGCATTTCCATGATGATGAGGTGCCAAGAGAGGCATATGTCCAGTGTAATGTTTTCGTGACTTTATTCCCATTTAAACTGAAGATTGGGGTTATGATCTGTAGGCAGGGAGGGTGTGGTAGAAGCCACACTGTCTCGAGCTCGAGTCATGCGAATGCTATTTGAATGGCTAAGCTTTTTCAAGATGCAGATCTTCAGACAGGTACAGACCAGTGTATGCAATTCGTAATTAATGATCCTTAGTTCAGATGCTACTCAATTATCGATAAGTTAGCGGCAAGGTTAAATATAAATATGCCTTTGTGCCTTTCCATTCAGTATGCCCAACGCTCGGTCACTACACTGATAGATTAATAACTTGGGATCGGGATATATCACCTTGGGCTATATTCCTGATAATAAGGTTTCCATCTTGAATTACACTTTTCAAGCACCATGACTCCGATGCTCACACGGGACTTGGGCTATATTCAAAGAGGTCGACGTGATGGTCTGAGATTTTAACCTAGTGTTTAAGCAAGTCAATTGCAAAGAGAGAGTTGCAGCAAGTTGACTCAGCTTACTGATATATCTTTTAAGCAGGAAGCCAACAGCAGACTTGGTGACCCATCAGGAAGGGAAGAGTAATTTTTAGGAGAGACAAGGTAGCTCCTGGCAGATGCTCCTACGTGTCTGGTCATCCACCAAGGCGAAGGAATGTGTTGCAGGTCTATGAGACAGACTGGACTTGATGAATCATTACAATTCATGCAGTGAATTCCTTCAGATGTGATGATTGTTTGACATCCAGGTAGATGACTTTGGAGATCGGGAAATGGAGTGAATCGTTTGAAAATCAAAGGAGCTTTGTGAAGCATGGCTTGTCCTTCAGTGCGTGAGTCGTTTTTCGTCCAGAAGAAAGCTCACCTCGTCCAAGTCAGAACCCAGAAGAAGACAGACTGTAGGAAGGACCTTTGCGAAGGGAAGGTGATACGAGAGTCTCGGCTCGGTCAAATTCAATTCCATCGTGTTCGCTCTTTTTCTTCTTTGTCTAGGATGCATCATGATGCAGGTTTCTTTAAGGAAGGATTTAAATGGTTAACCAAGTTCCCGTGTCTTGTACCTCAGACACTTCGGAATTTTTATCGTAGTGCCGATGGCTGTTTCACTCTCACCGCCCCAAGCTTTTTCGATACAGCCAGTCGCAATCTGCTTTTTCCTTACCGTGTTTCATCTTCCTGCAGACGGTGTGTATGCACTGATCCACTTGACGACGCAAGAAACAGAATCTGTATATTATTGTTAGCATCTAGATTCGCGATGTGAGATCTGAGACCAAATGAATAGTCTAGAGGCGACCCGAGCCGTCCGCCTGTCGTCACATGGCGCGGCCTTTTCCCAAGACGAGTGAAACCAGCATGAAGTGACGCAACGATCAGTAATCTGACTTCATGTCCAGGATCTATTGAAGGAGGTAGGGTTATCTCAATCGGCTACTTAACCAGCCTCTGGTCCTTCACGGATAAGTATCATCATCATCAAATCTTCTTCGTCAATCAATTCACTGCAGAACGTTACATCGCCCGAACCATCAAACCCAATTACAATTACAATGTCAGCAACTACAGATAAGGTATACGACCGCTGGCTCAAGGATGCCGAGCCCTGGCTCCAAGAAGACGACTGGAATTCGGACGAATACTTCAAATGGGTCGAAAGACTAGCCCAAGCAAAGGCCACCCTTGACGAGAGGTATATCGAAGTTGATAAAAACGTCCTTCAAAAGGTGTACAGCAAAGCTGCATCGCATGAGAAGACCGTCCTTCAGAACCGACCCAACGGTGACTTTGGTAGAGTCAAATCCTGGGATGTAGCCTACCTTATCATGCGTCAGATTATCGCCTACCACTTCTTCAATCGTGCAACGTTTGAAGAAATCCCTGAGAAGAGTCTTGTGAAGCGCGTGCAGGTTCATTTGGTAAAGATGAACATCCCCATGCTGGACACGGATATCGCACAAATGCTTCAGGCTGCTGCAGACAAGGTATGGACACCAGTTGCTTCCCAACGTGTTGCTCCTTTGACGTGTCCATTTACTAACAAATATTGCGATAGGTCCCACTCCAGCAAGCCATCGAGAGGGCACTTCGCAACTACATACAGAAAATCAGAAAGAGCGAGCCTGTCTCTACTGCCTACAACAGAAAGAGCCTCGGTTGGGATAACCCTCTTTTTATCAAGAAGCTTCAGCAGACCAGGGTGAACGGGGGCCCTGCCGATCGTTCTAAGATCCCGCAATTCTTCAAGGAAGTCAACGAGGACAGAGTTGCAAGGGAATATAAGCCATTCGAAGACGATGTACTGAAGAATATTGAGGCTGCTTTCAACACAGATGAGAAGATGGCGTTATTTATGGAGAGATGTGCGGAGCCGTTTGTTGAGAACGAAAGTTCAGATAGACATGCTGCAACGGCCATTGAGTACGTTCTTGACTCTCCGGACTTCAAATGGTTGATGGACTACGCGGCAGCGGCAGAAAAGGAGAATCTGTCTTGGGAGGCTACTATTGGACCAGCTGTCAAGGCCCTGAAGAGACTTGGAAGGACCAGTGCTGGCAAGGATTTTGACAAGCTGGCTGCCTATGCTAAGGCACACCAGAAGCCTCAGACGGTTTAATGAGTATAACTGAGACAAAGAGGGGTTTTCACCGCTTTGAGGTTTTCCCCAGTCAAATAGATAGTTTCGATGGATTATGTTGCGCCTTCATCCTCACTTCTATCTCTTCCACTTTGTGGAAACGTATTATTATTGACATGCGAAGATGACATGTACGGCAATATCGGTCAGCAACCTACCAATCCAGCACGTGTATCAGCTGATTTCGATACGAGATCGCTTTGCCGGGTCCACTGGTTACAAGCGTCCTCTACAACCGTCTCTCAATGGTGCCGATTGGTTCGGACCCTCCGAGACATGAGGTGTCATCAGCGCCACAGTTGGAAATGGATGTCATCAATAGCGTCGTTCCTCTCTTTGAAGGTTTCCTGAGCTTGTTGCGAGTATTCGTTAGTTCAATCTTGACCAACGAAATCACAGGTTTCATGGTGTTGTACTAGCAATGGGTTCAACCTTTTTGCGGGCAAGGGGTCTCACACAGGGATTCCAGCTGATAAGTGCTGAGGTACTTGCATTTCTAGTGTATGTTGCACTACGAGAGAAGTATTTTGCTTATCGCCAGAGGTACTTCTAGTCCCATACTAATCTCAGCGTGCAAGATGTAGCTTATCGACTATCTTATCAGCATATGATAAGATAGAGAAGTGGAGACAAGCCCTCCTTGATGCCCTGACTGTTTATTACCCGCACCTCTATCTCGCGATACTCTCTATCTGTAACTCTTATTTGACCCAAGAGAAAAGATTTACGTCATTTCCAAACAAAGTAGATAGACAATGTAGAGGAGGTACGGATAACACACTGACGGCCGGCTGAAGCAACGCACTGAAAACCACAAAGAAATTGCTGCTATAAATTTTCCTAGCTGCACATGAACGTTGATATTTGTAAAATCATTTTCTCCATGCTTATGACTGCCGACTACTTCGTCTTACAGGTGAAAATAGTGATAAAATACCTCATACTATTCCATTTTACTACGCACCGCTCTGTATACCGATTTCATCTTCTTCATTAGACTAAATCGCAACAAAACCCTTTGCAAGCTGAACCTACCCTATCGAAACCGAAGATCTCAAAGAACCTTTCCAATCCTAAGCACCCAATTGGCCAATCCCTGCTAACGAAAACTTTACAGTGGGGTTGTTTCATCTTTTCTCCAACTCTTTGACCCCAGTTCTTACAGACTCGCGATAAGATACAGCTCAGTCGCGCATGAATATTCATCTTGGCAATTAAGTTATAATACTACGTGATCACGGCAGTGCAATTCGTCCTAACTTGGAGTAGACCTTGCGAATTACGTAACCTTCTGGGACCAGGCAAGATGGGTTGCCTCTTACTACACTACAATGCTCGGATTGACGCGTGCTGACTTACCGTGGTCCTGGTTGTCGCGCCGATAAAGTCCGTCGGGCTTGAGTCAATGAGTGAAGCCATCGCAACACTGACTCAACCACAGAAAAAAGGGAAAAAGCAAGGCGGGTCAAAGCCCTTTTTAACAGCAATCAATCTCAAACCTGTCCCGTCCTTTTCACACACATGTCAAGCTCATCTTGGCGGGAGGAACTCATTCCAGTTAGAAGCTGAAACTCTGACAGCTGTTCCAAAACGCTGGTGAAAAACGTGGGACTTGGAGCAGGAGATATCAGGTATTTATTTTCCCCAAGAAAAAAAAAAAGGCTGAAACATCGAAACGGGTCGCCATGGCCGGGACCAGAGGCTTCCGCTGCGGCCAGGGGTTCGCCAAGATGATGCGGGGGTGTCGAGTTTCATAGGTTAATGTTAACGATCATAAGCTTAAAGGTACGATAAGGAACGATAAGCTATTATCAACAGGGGTTTCATCTCTCCGCCTGGGATTCAGGCAAGGGTTCTACGCTTGGGTGCAGACTGAGATCCCAATCGCCAAGAACCTCCTCCAAACACATCTGTCTGAACCCCTTGGGGCCTCGAACTCTTTGGTGACGGCACGAGCACTTTCCGAGCTGGTCGTCATCACTACACAATGCCTGAAAGAAAAGCTGGGATGAGACTGGATGAATCCCCATCGTACCATGTTGCTATACGACACGGGCAGAAACACTGCACGGATTACACTTGCCGAACCGCAGCCACGTCTCATAGTCAAAACACTTCCACCAAGAGGGCCCATGCAACAAAACATCATGACCCCAAAGTGGAAAGAATAAACCTCTTCTTATCCCTCCTCTTTAGCCTCTTTTCCTTTTTCTCTCTCTTTCTCTTTATCCGCCTGGTGTGTGTATCAACAATTTTTCTATTCTTTAATTACAGTCGTTAATTAATCTTTCATTCTTTTTTTTTTGTCCGTCCGCGCGAGCTGGTATCGCAAGTTTATTTCACATTCCCTTACCTAATCAGTCAACGATGCGCTCTTCAACACTCCTTTCCGTGTCGACCCTGGCTGGCCTCGCGACCGCCTCGCCACCCTTTTGGCGCCGAAACCCAAACCCACCACCCGCTGAGGCTGTTTGCGAACCTGTTACCGAGACGGTACACCTCCCCGCTGAGACGGTCCACGAGACGGTCCATGTCACCGTGACAGAACATCAAGTCGTTACTGAAGTGCAACATGCTACTATCACAGAGCACGTCGAGGTTCCTGTGACGGAGCATGTTGAAGTCCCTGTCACGTCCATCGTGCACGTCGAAGTCGAGAAGCCTGTTACCGTGATTGAGACGGTGCAACACGAGGTGGAAGTCGAAAAGCCGGTTACTGTTATCGAGACTGTTCACCAGACTATCGAGCAGCCTGTGACGGTGGTTCATACTTCTGTGCATGAGGTAGAGATTGAGAAGCCCGTTACTGTTGTTGAGACTTCGGTGGTGCACCAGACTATTGAACAGCCCGTTACAGTTGTTCACACGTCTATTCAAGAGGTGGAAGTTGAGAAGCCGGTTACTGTCGTCGAGACCGTCCACCAAACCATCGAACAACCCGTGACATTGGTCCACACTTCAGTCGTCGAGGTCGAGAAGGAGGTCAAGGTCACCGAGACTTCAGTCGTCCACCAAACCGTCGAGCAGCCCGTTACTCTCGTCCATACTGCCGTTGTGGAGGTCGACAGACCCGTCACAGTCATTGAGACTTCCGTCCACGAAGTCGCCGTCGAGAAGCCTGTCACTGTTGTTGAGACTATCCACCAGACTGTCGAACAGCCTGTGACATTGGTTCACACTGCCGTCGTTGAGGTCGAGAAGCCTGTCGAGGTCCCCGTCACTCAAGTCGTTGAGGTTCCTGTTCAACACACCGTTGAAGTCCCTGTCGTGCACACTCAGATCGTTGAGAAGCCAGTCGAGGTTCCAGTCCAGGTCGTCCACACCGTCACTGAGGAACTGGTTCATACCGTCGAAGTTGAGAAGCCTGTTCACGTCACTGTTATCCACACTGTTACCGAGCAAGCTCCTGCACACGCTGCGCCAGCGCCTACGCATGTCGCGCCTCCTGCTGAGCATCCTGTCGTCGAGACTCCTCCTGAGCATGTCGTTGAACCACCCGCTGAACATCCTGTGGTCGTCATCACCGAGGGCCATGAGCCAGCTACCGTCACAACAGCCATTACACCTATGCCACCTGCTCATGAGACGGCTGTCGTGGAAGAACCCGCAGCTCCCGAGCACCCAGTCGTTGAAGCACCACCTGCCGAGCACCCAGTTGAGGCACCCGCTGAACCTGCTGAGCCCGCCGCACCTGAACACCCAGCTCCCGAAGCACCCCCTGCCGAACACCCTGCTACCGAAGCACCTCCCGCAGAGCACCCAGTTGAGGCGCCCGTCGCCGAGGCCCCAGCAGCTGAACACCCAGTCGCCGAAGCTCCAGCAGAAGAAGCAGCCCCAGAACACATCCCCACAATGATGGAGCACCCAACCCCTTCCAAACCCGAGCACACCGTCATGGAAGAGCACGGCGGCGAGATGCCCATCGAAGAAGCATTGAAGCATCCCCCAAGCGCCAAGGACATCCCCGTCCTTCTACCCAACGGCGGAGTGACAAACACGACAGTCGCACCAACATATCCTGGACGACGGGCGGTTGTGAGAAGGTTCTAGATGAGATGAGCGTTTAATGGATTGGGATGGGATGGGTATAGAGGTTAAAAGACAGTACAGCCACATTAATATGATCTGGACTTGGTTGGCGATAGTCTTAATTAGGATGAATAAACTACAAATTGACGCCATTTACTTTGTTACAGTGATGTCTCGCTTGATCATTAATAAATTGTATTGTTCTCTCTATGTGGGTATATCAACTCCAAGAAAAGAGGGCTAAACTATCATTTTTCATTACTCCCAGCAATCTTCTTAGCTTGCTCAATGATATCCTCCCAAACAGATGGTCTACATCTTTTCTCGCCCAACACAGCCTCTGCCTCCACACCAAACTCCAGCAGCGCCTTCTCAGTACACCATTCACCAGTAACCATCAACCCCACAGGTACCTCTTCAACAGTACTCTCATGAGCCTCTTCACCCGCCCGATCCTGTCCTTCAGGTATGACATATCCCGCAGGAACAGACAGAGAAGGCATGCCGCAGAAATTGGCCAGCCAAACATAAGTCATGCTCTCTATCGTCCTATCCCCATCACTCAATCCATACTTGAGTTCATTTGCGCCGCCTTTTATCGGTGCCCCCGGGCAAGCTGTCGTTGGTGTAATTATCATCATACCAGGGTGCATCTGCCACAAATGCGCAAGATGCTGCATTAATAAATTTCGGAGCTTTTGAGCTAGGACGTAATCTCCTGCTGGTGTTGTGCGGCCCATTGCGAGGAGGAGTTTATTTGCGGCTGTTGTGTTTGATGATTCTGGTAGTAGAGAAGCGGCGTCTGCCAAAACAGTCATTGCATGTGCAATTTGTCCTTCTTCTGTAAACGGTATTGTGATGGGCACGATCTCATAGTTGAACTCGGTGCAAAGTTTGCTGATCATCCGTCTTGTAATAGCCTGCACACCCGGCGCTGCAAGATCAAACCACGGCTCATAAATACCGAGAATCTTCCTGCCCCGCGACGGCTCCCTGTAAAGTCTAGGAAAACGAGACGTGGGATGCGGATCAGCGACGATATCGTACACTGTTGCGAGGGAGTGCATGTCTGCTGCCATAGGGCCTTGTACACAGCATGTCGGCGCAGGGTTCGGTGTTGGGAACGACGAGAGACGGCCATGGGTTGGTTTGAGGCCAAAGACGGAGCAGTAAGATGCTGGGATGCGAATACTACCTCCTGCATCGCCAGCTAGGGCTATCGGGATTAAACCTGCGGCTACGGCGTAGGCAGCGCCTGATGAGCTCCCTCCTGTATAGTACTTTGGATTGAAAGGGTTGAGGGGTGTGCCGTGGATGGGATTGTTGCCTGTGGTATCTTTATAACGTCAGCACACGTCAATCCCGCTTAGTGGTAAGAGTACATACCCATTCCGAACTCATGCATATTTAGCTTGCCCAGCATAATTACGCCCGCATCCTGGAGCTTACGGGCAGACCAATTTGTGATAGATCCCGTGCTGACGCCTTTACCTGTATAATTATTCTTCGAACCCATCGTCATTTCATAACCATCCATATCGAAGTCATCTTTGATAGCGGCAGGAACACCATCTAGCGGTCCAAGCGGCCGCCCCTCGCGATATCGAATTGTTGATTCCTCGGCTGCTTTCAAAACAAGATCTACTCTTGTGCTGATAAAGGATGTCGAGTGTTTCCCGTTGATATCCCGACGAATAAGCGGTAATAAGGCATTTGCCACGTCTGTTGGTGTGGCTTTGCCAGAGAGATATAGTTTTCGGTAATCGGCGATGGAGTAATATGGTGTTTCGGGTACCGCCTCCTCGATGACGGATTCTGGAGGTGTGATTGTTTGTCGGGTATCAATATCGACCTGTGTGGTTGTATCACCAGATGTCTCGCTAGCAGATCCCGAGTAGCCGGGTAGTGGGATTACTGCTGGGTCGTATCGTGCTTCATAGACTTCGAGAGATTCACGAATGTTTCTCAATGAGGCGAAACCGGCGTTGTGCCAGACTATTTCTCGGATGAAGCGGATGCAGTTGATACTGTTGGGAACTTAGGTTAGTTTAGTCTATCGACATGCAATAGAGTGGTGGACTTACAAGAATACAACAAGGACTAATACCGGACCCCTCAAGACTGGATTATCGAGCTTCCTTGGTTTTATCGTCGTCTCTGGTCTGTCACATGTCAATACGCGCTCCAACAATCTTGACAATGACCACGAACCCTTGTTGTGCTTTTGGGTAGTCGATAAAACATTGCTGGCGCTCCAGCTCTTTCATACAGGTCGTAACAGTCATTTTCGTAAAGGTATACCGATAACTCCAAAGCCCAAGATAATAAGGAAATAGATGATGACTGAAAGGAGAAAGGATCATCCAACATAAATCCCAGGGGAATGGCTCACTAGTATATAAACAACAGAAACGCCACAAAAGCAAGGATATAAATAATGTCTTCTAGGAGAATAACAAGCGAAAGCATCTTAACCAAACAAGCGAGATCAAAAGCCACGATATTTCAAAATAGAACGGTCAGGCTTTTCGCTAAACTACATTCTAACGTCCAGCTTGCATCCTGACCCAACGTGTCGGATTGAGTTGGCTAGCCCTACGGAATACAGTCAATTGGGGAATAGCTGCATGCAGAGCCTCAGCGCATCATCGTTCAACCTTAACCATCACCCTCTCGTTAAGCTTGGTTGACTCAGCCATGGTCTGATGCACGCTGAGTTATTCCCTTTAGTGTCATCGGAGTGCCCGAAATATCACTAAGCGAGCGAGGCGGGCGAGATAAAGATTGCGCTTGATTGAAGCTAGAAATTCAGCTGCGCCGGATGCATGAATATTGGGCCCGCTTTGGGGGGATACTTCTGGGGAGGCCTGTTATTCTGGCTGGTCAATTGCTTACTACAGAGATACGGTGACATCTTGGGCGCGGATGACAGATCGGGCGTTGATAGATCTTGTTAAGCCAAGATCTGTAATATGAATTATGTACAATAATCCTGTCATTTACTACCTCGATAGCTCGATCCCTTCAAACAACCCCCCGTACTTCATGCCAGCGGTCAAGCTTTCACAGTGGGTTAGTGCCCCAGGTCCTCCCTCAATAGTGTCGCACTATCACCTTGGCAGGGTCAATGATGCGCTGGACAAAGGTCTGGACCCTTGGCTGCCTCACATGCAATCGTGATCGTGGAAAGAAAACAGTCTGACAGCCAACAGCTAAGACTCCATAATCAATGATCCGCCCTGTAACGAATCAGAGACGTTACCAACAAATGTCGAATTGAAGCGATACTTGAATGGGATTTTTGATCCTAGATGTGGCTGGCGTTGGAATCGATAGCTTCTTTGGGCGCGGGATTAGCTAGCCTTATTGGGAAAGAATGGTCCGAAATATCGGATCGTGTTTGTTTTTGATGTTTTTTGTCAAGACAACAGAAGAGAAGAATTGAATTGATCTGGTCAGTGCTGCTTGTTTGCTTTGACCGCCTTGAACTTGAGCGCATCAATGCGTTGGAGGAACATCAGGGTCTCATTCAGGGTCTAGGGTCGATTGATTGCGACGCGGGGAATTGGCCATTCTCATGTGACAACAAGCCATCCTCTTCATTCGACTGATATGAGAAGACTCTCTCATGATTGATATCAGGCCATCTCAATCAAAATCAGATAAGATTGTGCATTCGCTTGGCTGAGTATGACTTCAACTTCACGTGATAGTGTATGACGTAGAGGTGATGATGCTGTATGACGATCAAGAGGCACAAAACAGCCGAGCTTCATACTCAAACATTGACATCTGAGCATCTCATCAATAATCCAACAATCTTATATATAATACTTTAGATATGTCTGGAACAGCGCCCAATGATCCCGCGCCCGGCGGTCACTCCAAGACCTTTGAGCAAACCCCATTGGACTCGAATCAACATGGCCAAGCACAGTAGGTTCAAGCACTGTCCTTAAGCCATTAAAGACAATTAACTGATCTCAACCAGGAACATCATCGATGAAACAAAAGAGACAAGTGGAAGAGTTGTAGATGCCAACCTAGGAGAAAGCATCGACGCAGCAAATAGCAAGGGAACATCTCACAGAGTGGATGACATCCTCAACCAACCCGGCTCGGGAAGTGGAAGCACGGGCGCACAAAAGAAGGCTTCAGTGGTAGATGAGAAGGGATTCAAGGTCGGTGAAGAGGGAGATATGCATAACTTGGCGGGTAGCAAGCAGCCTTAAAGGGTTGTAGGGAGAATTATAGGTACAAAATGCAAAAAAAGAATCGCCACGATGTTAGAAATCGTTTTATAGGAACAGCCCGATGCGGGGGTCGAACCCGCAACCTTGAGATCGCGTACTCGTAAGAGTCTCACGCTCTACCGATTGAGCTAACCGGGCGTGGCTCTTATTGTTGAAAAATACCTCCAATTTGAACACTATGTTCCTAGATACCTGCTCGAATCTTCTTTCTCTTCTCTCATGTCGTGGTCGCAGGGTAGGTTTCGCGGTCGTAACGTTCATCCTCTCACTTGTGGCTTCAGCGACAAGGACTTCGCGAATCAATCGGTTGATGTATGTAGAGATTTGAGAGCCGCATTGATGCTTGAGGGATATTCTCGCAGATGGGTCATTGATGCATCAGGTTCGAAGATAAGATGCTGTGAGTTAAAGCCCACGTGGCTCATTCGCCTCATCATCCTGGCTTCTCAATTGGGTAAGTCATCAATGACGCAACCGACTTCAACGCGCTGTTTACTTCAATTCACCACCCAACACCCATGTAATGACAGTTTCCCAAAGAAACGACCAATATGGTCATTTTAACCTCAGTTCGTAAATCACCTGCTTATCTCTACGCCAAAACGTACTGTCTCTGTGCATTGGTCTCCCTCGTACAGGCGACGCCCGTATCATCGCGGTTTCAAACAACCAAGCCAACGCGCTTTCGCAATGGAAGAATCTTGACATCAAGCCCAAGCCCACACGGAATTCAACACACTACTAGTGAGGAAAAATATTCATTGTCCGAGAAAGCGACGCGTATCGTGCAGAGATGGTACGCCAGAGCAGAAGACCTCGCTTCTGTCAGGAAGCTTCTCAAACGCGATGAATCAGACAGCAAAACATACCCCGAACTGAAATGGGACGCAAAAGTCCGCCAAAGCTCATCTCTACACCCAGAAGAGCAGAAATTTATAAATCTTCGCCAACTTCGGATGTCATCAGAAGGTGAAGACTCACTACGCAAATTTCTTGACCTACCACCAAACGAAAAGGTCGACCCACGAGATGTCCCGCTCATATCCCTCGGTGGCTCTGGCGGCGGGTATAGAGTCATGTACGGTTTTGCAGGCTTCATACACGCCGCTAAACAAGCTGGTCTGTGGGATTGTATCACTTGGACGGCTGGTGTAAGCGGTAGTTGCTGGACTTTGGCAGGATACTACACCATCGCTCGTAACGACATTTCAAAACTGATCGATCACTATTTAACTGTCGCGAGTGAAAAGGCGCATCCCATGAGTATTTATGCTCTTAACAAAGTCGCGCGAAGTAAGAAGGGTGTTTACTTTCTCATCGGTCCGTTGGTAAGTAAAGCGCAGAAAAGTATTATTGGATTGAGTGTTATGGATCTATATTCTACGCTTACGGCGACGTATATGCTTTTATCAAGGGAGGGGAAGGGAAGTTTGGGAAGAGCTATGTTCCAGTGGTCGAGGATCTGGGAGAGAAGTGGCATTGCGGAAGGGAGGGAGCCGATGCCGATCCTTGCTGCTGTTAGGAGGGTTCCGAAGTATTCTTATGTGAGGAAGAGTCCTGCGAGAAAGGTGACTGATGTTCTGGATGGGATTACAGTTCAAGACAAGGCGGCTTCAAGAAGTGTGTCAGGGAGTCGACCGAGGAAGCTCTTCCAGTACTTCGAGATCTCACCTCTCGAAATCGGAAGTCCGGATCTCAATCGCTACGTCCCATCGTGGTCATGGGGCCGCACCTTTGTCTCTGGCCACTCAGTCGACCGTCGTCCGGAACAATCCTTCTCACTTCTCCTCGGCCAGTGCACAAGCGCACCTGCAGGACCGTTGACGGAGTGTATTAAAGCTTTTCTGGTGTCGATACCCAAGGATACAATCATGGCGCGCTTGGTTGGGGCGTTCAACAGACTACTCCAATCCAAGCAGCTTGAGGGTCTGTGGGGAAATCCAATTCGAGCGGGCCATGATCCGAATCCTTTTTATGGACTTGAGAAGCCACTTATGGCGAGGGAACATACGTCTGAGCACGCCGAACTTCGATCACATGCAGCCGACACGGAAGTTCAGAGACCCAGCGCCGTGACAGACGCTTCAACGGGACACCATACGCCATGGGAAGCCCAAGGACGTACAGGATTAATGGACTGCGGCATGGCGAATAATCTCCCCAACCATGTCCTCGCAAGAGCAGAACGAGGTGTCGGTATTTTTATATCCTTCGATTCATCATCGGATGTTCAGACTGGAGCCGCCGTCCAGCGCTTACACCACTGGGCTGCGGACTTTGACTTTGAGCTTCAAGAGGACACCAATATCTTCCACAGACCCCAGAAAAACCCTGATCTAGACTCGAGTCTTGGTTCGGAGATCGAAGTTCGGCATCTAGATCAGTATGCAAGAGTGTTTCGGGCTAAAAGGCAGAATGGCCATGAGGTTTATGTCATCTACTGTCCACTTCTACCGAATGGCATCAACCCTGACTATAACCCAGCAGTAAGTTCTGACACTTCTCATAATGATCCAACTGACCTGTCAGACATCTCCATTTTCGACCTCAACAAACCTAATGTGGACACCCGCCCAAGTTCAAACAGTCCTCACAACATCCTCAGCAAACTTCACAAACTACGCTCTAGACACTATAAAACGCGTCGTTAAAAAGGTATACGAAGATGAAAAAGAACATAGAATTAGATACTCTAGATAGGTCCATTCTGAGCATTGGCACCAGGCGTCTCACCAACAATAGTCAAAAACTTCTGCGCCTTGATACTTCCATCCCTCAAACCTTTCAAGCCCTCCTCAAGACCCTCTAGTCCCTTCTTACCAACAATATAAGGATGGGGTGTGAACCAACCCTCGCGCAGTCCGCGTGAAAAGGCAGCGGCCCATGTAAGTCCTAGCATCTTATCCTTCTCATCGTCCTTGTGCACTTGTCCGACCATGGACCAGACGATTTCGACGCTAGGGTCGGCGCCTTCGACGTTCTCTTTCATGAGGATGTTTGTCATGCGGGGTTTGCGTCCGGAAGCATCGGGTGGTCCGGCAATAGCTTTTGTTACAGTTCGAATGGTGGAGTCTTCGGAGACACTGTCGAAGGCCTTAAAGCAGCGTGCGCCGCTCTTCTTGATCGCTTCTTGGATAGCAGCGACAAGCTTATCCTCTGTGTCGTGAACGGTGTAGTCTACCAGCACATCACCCTTCTTCTCATCGAGGAAAGGCTTGACGAATTCACTTCTTTGACTTCCAACAGCAATGATAGGATGCACATTTGCGGCCGCAGCAAGTTTGATGGCAAAAGCACCGGTGGCAGTACTAGCACCATATACAAGCAAAGGCCTCTTCTCCTCGGTCTTGGCAAGTGGTGACCAAGGTTCCGGAATCTGGAGCTCCTGGAACAAGGCACATACAGAAGTATACGCGGCAAGAGGAATGGTAGCAGCCTCCTCAAAAGAGACAGACTCGGGGATGTGGAAGGTGGTGTAGTAGTGAGCGATGGCGTACTCTGCAAAGGCGCCGTGGGGAGTGGTCATCTCGTGGAAGGCAGCCACACGGTCACCTTTGTGAAAGCCAACTACGTTTTCGCCCATGGCTTCGACTGTGCCAGCTATGTCGTCGCCTGTGTTGCCATCTTTGCCCATGTAAACTGGGAGCTTCCAGTCTTTAGGGTTTGTGCCTAAAATTGTCAGTTGTGACTAAGATACTCTGGTTATGGGATGTATGTACCTGCGACAACCACCTTGATGAGGAGTTGGCCGGGTCCTGGCTTGGGAATGGGAGAGTCGACGATCTCGACGGAGACATCCTTATTGACAAGTGCTTCCTTCATGATGAATATGTTTTTGAATGTTATCAAAATTGAGTCTTGTGAGTAAGATCGAGTATTCGAGGTGAAGCTATTAGAGTTTAAAGATTCGGATATACAGATCCCAAGTCCATATATATATCCTTCCATGTCGCATTATACATGACCTCATTGCCACGGCAATATGGTGGATCTCGGGTTTCGTCAAGATTCCGGACCCATCCAGCATTCTAGCGTTAGCGGAGTGGCAATGCAATTCCGCAATCGTGGAGCTTGGCAGACCCAGCAGATTGGCTCACAATGTTCTCTGAAGTGATTTCTGATTTATAATACACGTATAGCCCACATGGTTTCTCGATTGCCGCCATTTCGCATGTATGTATACTCCGCTATATCAAGACCTTCTCATTGGCCTCTATCCTACGAATTGGTAAGATAATACAGATGTAGTAAATAGCCATTTTTTATTTAGCTTCAGTATACAAATTAGTAAAATAAATCTTTTTGGGCTGTATATGGAATTAAAGTCGTCATCCTTTTTTCTGCTCGGTACTTAGACGATTGACTTGTGGGGTATCGGGACTTGATCGTCGAAGGTTCAACCTAAGAGATTGAACAATTTCTTATACTTACTTACACCACCTATCTCTGATACTTGAGTTTATTACTCCAGGTCATACCCAATATCTTCCATCTTCTGTTGCTTCCCAACACCATAATACCTTGCATTCGGCGATATTTTTCACGTTCGGTGAGACTTTATAAAATCCTGTTGCGAAGTTGTGAATCCCGTCTCGGAAATTGAAAGAAAACATTGAGCACGAAAGTCACCGAGGCTTATGTGAGTTTCGAATCCCGTCTTGTAGTTTAAAGGACATCCAGTCAGACGTCGTCAATTCCGAGCTTGGCTTAGGTGAGCCTCACACGTGATATCAATATTGATCACACTACCAACACATCTATCCAGAAAGAATCTCCTTCTCGACAGCCTCGCCCAAAGTCTTCGTATTTCCCTTCCCTCCAACATCAGCTGTCATAACATCACTCTCCGCCCGTCCGAGCACACGTTCAATAGCCCCCATCATCCCATCAGCTGCCTCCTTGTATCCAAAGTGCTCCAGCATCATTTGACCAGCCCAAATCATTCCCACGGGATTCGCAATTCCCTTGCCGTAAATATCAGGCGCGCTTCCATGTACTGGTTCAAATAAACTTGGGAAGGTAGCTGTTGGGTTGATGTTTGCTGATGGTGCGACGCCGATTGTGCCGGTGCAGGCGGGACCCAGGTCTGAGAGGATGTCGCCGAAGAGGTTGGAGCCTACGACTACGTCGAAGATCTGAGGTCGTTGAACAAAGTGTGCTGTCAGGATATCGATGTGATATTTTTCGACAGCGACGTCGCTGTAGTTCTTGCTCATTTCTGCGACACGGGTATCCCACCATGGCATAGTGATGCTGATGCCATTGCTCTTTGTAGCACTGGTCAACTTCTTCCTCGGTCGACTCTGCGCAAGGTCGAAGGCATATTTCAGAACACGATCGACGCCCACACGCGTCATAACTGTATCCTGAATAACAGTCTCTCGTTCCGTGCCTTCAAACATAATACCCCCAACACTAGAGTACTCCCCCTCCGTATTCTCTCTCACGATCCAAAAGTCAATCTCACCCGGCTTCCTACCCGCCAAAGGCGAAGGAATACCAGGTAGTAGACGACATGGTCTAAGATTGATATACTGATCGAACTCGCGCCGAAACTTAAGAAGACTTCCCCAGAGGGAAACGTTATCGGGGACTTGGTCCGGCATGCCGACTGCGCCAAAATAAATAGCGTCAAAAGGCTTGAGAATGTCTTTCCAGTCATCTGGCATCATTTTGCCGTGTTTTTCGTAGTAATCGCAGCTGGCAAAGTCGAATTCTTGGAAAGATAGGGAGATGTTGTGTTTTTGGGCTGCGGCTTCGAGACACTTGACGCCCCAGGGCATGACTTCTTTGCCGATGCCATCACCTGGGATGACGGCGATTTTGAGAGGTTTGGACATTTTGTCTGTGATCTGGATAAGATGAGAATTGTTTGGTGAGATTGATGAGGTTAATAGGGGGGAAGGTGTTCATATAAATGGCATTCCAGGGTTCACGATATCGGATCAATGAGGAGAAGCGGACATCGCAAGCCCGGCGCGACCCCACTTTATCCACCGTACGGCGGACATTTCTTTGTCCGCCGCATCTTACTACCTTGGCCGACGGTGACACCACGTCTGTCGCCGAACGTGATAGTGTATATTAGTCAAACAACTAATACGGATCATATGAGACTCTCAAAGATTGTCCCTGGTGGTCGTTTTACTTGACCGCGGTTACTCGTGTCGCAATTCGATCGGCACAAGAAAAGACCGAGGTTACAGCGACCGGTTTGCCTAAGACGATGACGGCATAGTCGCTCTCCGCAAAGCAACACCATGCAAACATATTACTCAGACAACTTGTCTAACAAAGGGCGTTGTGATATATAACTCGTTCATCCACGTCAAGCTCACACGCTCATAATTTATCCAGTATTCCAAGCATTAACATCCAACATGTTCGACAACCTTCAACCCTTCCAGATCAAGACAAAGTCTGATCAAAACGTCATCATCAACGGCCTCAGCTCCACCAAAGACTCCTCTAAACCTGCCCTTCTTCTCATCCATGGCTTTCCCCAAACACTGCATATCTGGCATCGCGTCGTTCCTCAAGTCGTTGACAAATACAATGTCGTCTTAATTGACATTCGCGGCTATGGACAGTCTTCCAAACCAGCTGACGTCGCATCATATGCGAAAAGCGCCATGGCACGCGACTGTATCGATGTAATGGATGCGTTGGGTTATACGGACTCTTTCTTCGTCTGCGCACACGATCGCGGCGCGAGAGTAGCTCATAAACTCGCTGTCGATTATCCGGATCGTATTCGAAAGTTCATCCTACTGGATATTTGTCCTACGCTGGCGATGTACAGCAAGACAGACATGGACTTTGCAAAAGCCTACTTCCACTGGTTCTTCCTCATCCAAGCATCCCCCATGCCAGAAATGCTCATCACTGCAAAACCACGCGAACTAGCAGAAATGTTCATGGGCGGCCGCCAAGGCGACGGAATCTCAATCTTCGAACCTGAGTGTTTCGAAACCTATGCAAAGTCTCTAGCAGATTATGATACCGTGCATGCCATGTGTAATGATTACCGGGCTAGCGCGACCCTGGATCTTGATGAGGCGAAGGAGGATTTGAAGGCTGGACGCAAGATTAAGAGTCCCTTGCTTGTCCTTTGGGGGAAGCATGGGGTTATTGAGAAGGGTTTTGATGCCGTGCAGGAGTGGAGGGATGTTGCCGATGAAGGGGTGGAAGTTAGAGGACGGAGTGTTGAGTCGGGACATTATATTCCTGAGCAGGCGCCTGATGAGGTTTTGACTGCTATCAAGGAGTTTTTGGTGTAATTAGTTATCCTGGATGAAAGCCAAATAGCATCAGGAAAGGGCATGATGGCAAATGATAATTGATTGAAATGTCAATAATAGCTTGGAATCCCTGCCTGATGGGAGTGTAGCATCGGGGTTGGAGACTTTTGAGCAGTAAGTAGGCAATCACCATGTTCAACATGAAGGCTGCTCCACCACAAGATAAGCTCCATTCGTTGAGCCTGCATAAAGCCGTGTTCAATCTGTCAATTACTAACTTTAGGTTCTTGCGGTGACAGATCCGCAAAAACGTGTGTTACCCCAGCCAGCTGATGGAATGGAAAGCTTATCGTGATCGACTGATAAGAGAGCACTAGTCCAAATGCGGGATGGGCATAGCTTCATGCTTTTCACTATAGGGTAATTTTCGATCACGATGTTAACACGTACTTATTGAAGCTATGAATTGTTGGATGGCGATAGATCAGCCGTTATGGCTTGAACTTCAACTTGAGAATGAATTTTGCCTCAACGTCACAAACTGGCAGGCAAACCGATCTTCACCACATCATGATAGCATATGTATATCATCGCATCTCTCGATGATTTTCCCGTGGCAATACCTGACAATCGAGACCATAGCACAGCTATGCCATCACTATGCTCTAGCATGTTGATCTTCACGATGCGGCAACAAGCACCCGGATATGATCGGTCGCACCACGGTCACAAGCTGACAGCCAATTTAACAAGGGTGCCTCCCAATCTCACGGAACCACCAAACAAAAGAATGCTTCTTGACACCTGCATGACCCAAAGGTGGACACTGAACGATCCCCACGGCCACGCCGCTAGATAAAACAAGCTTCTTTTCAAGGTCCCATTGGTAAGGAACATCATCAATCATTAAAAGCAAAGGGTCCGCATCCAATCCAGGGCCCCCGTGGGTGCAGCCACAGCCAAGATAGCTGACGGGGAAGGCGTTCTCGACGGATTCTTCGGCACGATCCTTCTTGGCACTTGGCGATGGTTATCAGACTGTGGCAAGAGGGAAGTCTAGATGTGAGTTCATGGTGATGATCATCCAATAGCTTGATCGTCGTTTCTTTTTCTAAGCTTAATTATTGGATGATTGAAGCTCTTTCCAGACACCGAGATCTTCAAGTCGGTTTACAAACAAGGTCTAGCGAGACAGGAATTGCTTCTTCAATGCAGTCAATCAAAGGGCAATGACATGCGTGCCCAACTCGGAACCGTCCGATAAAAAACCGTCGGTCGAGATCAGAGGTTTTAGTTCTTAGTGTCTGGGGTCAATGGGCCAGTTAAATAGCTCCATTTCCCCATGTGGCCGTTTCACACGCTGACGCGGGGAGATGGGAAAAACCACCCTTGGAAACGATCTAACGGGAGCAAAGTCTAGATTCGGAATTGTGGACTAACCAGGATGAGATACCGAACGGTGGAGTTTTGGAATTTTTGGGATTGGGATTTGGTGGTTTTTGTAGAGGGCGTTGGAGGGAGCTTGAAACGGGTGATATTTTGTATGGAACGGCTGAGGGAAATATCGGGCGCATGTGCACTGGGCAGTAGAGGGCATGTAATTTGTCTCCAGATGATTTGTTTCCCGGAGATGAAAGGGGACCTGGACAGGGAATTGATTGAAGATCATGCACGTGTTACCCATCACGAATTAAGCATACAGTCTTGCTTCAAAATAACTCTAAGCTTTATCAAAAGTTTAAAAACCTTCTGCAGTAGTCAAAAGAGCACGCGAGCTTCACCTTCGCCGAGAAATCAGCTCAAGCAAAGATCGGACGCCGCTGACTTGGCGATTTCTTGTCCCGCCGTGGCGTTCCACCCCTGCACGTATCCGACTCACATCCAAACTGACCAATCAGACACTCAGAACGTGTACGCACGTGGGGTAGAGAATGAAGCTCACTGGGCAAATATGCTTAATTGCTAGTCTCCCCGTACTAACGCCGTCTCGTATGCGGGTGTAGACACCATGTTCTGTATTGGATCACCGAAGAGCAACAGCAGAGCTTCGAGACTTTACAGTGGGGGTGATGGCGTAGTCTAGTTTCTTCTCGGCAGGTACCTTTTGCATGGGGATCCATCCTAACCTGGCGACGTGAACCCGTTTCTCTGCCATCGAGACTGTAGCAGAATTTCCTTTAAAGCCCCCGAACTCAAACACCCTTCCCCTCTTTCTTTGCTCATCGACTTCCAACCCTTTCTCCTTCGTCTACAAAGGCAGATTACTCTTGCCTCTTCCTTCGTTACACCAAGTCCTTCAAAATGGTTCTCGAGGCTTATACCTACGTCTTTGCCATTGGCAGTTGCTTTGCTCTGCTTGAGGCCTACAACAATGGTGCCAGTACGTCATCTCCCTCCCTACCTACCTGATGATGCGATTGATACTGACCGATTCTGTGCAGACGATGTCGCCAACGCTTGGGCTACCTCCGTCTCCTCCCGCTCCGTAACATACCGCGGAGCAATGGTCCTCTGCTGCATCTTCGAAATGCTCGGCGCCCTCGCAGTCGGCGCTCGAACAGCCTCCACCATCAAGAACGGCATCATTCCCATGGAAGCCTTCCGCGACAACGCAGGCGTCCAGCTCCTCGCCTTCGCCTGTGCCTCCGCCGGTGCCTCTACATGGGTTATGTGGTGCACCAAGCACAACGCCCACGTCTCGTCTACATACTCTCTCATTTCATCGCTCGCTGGTGTCGGTATCGCTACTGTCGGTGCTAGCAAGGTTGAGTGGGGATGGAACGGTGGTCAGGGTCTTGGTGCTATCTTTGCTGGTCTTGCTATGGCGCCCACTATCGCTGGTTGCTTTGCCGCGATCATCTTCCTGTTGGTCAAGTATGTTGTTCATGTGCGCAAGAACCCTGTTCCTTGGGCTGTTTGGACTTCACCTTTCTTCTTCCTCATCGCTGGTACTATTTGCACCCTGTCGATCGTCTACAAGGGATCTCCCCGTCTTGGTCTCGCTGAGAAGCCTGCTTGGTACATTGCCTCAGTGACTCTCGGTGTCGGCTTCGGTCTCTTCGTCCTCTCTGCCATCTTCTTTGTCCCCTTCGTCCACGCTGTCGTCATCAAGAAGGACTACACCCTCCGCTGGTGGGACGCCTGGAGGGGCCCTCTCCTGTTCAGTCGCCCTGCTCCTCCTGATGCCGAGCACGCCCGTGTTCCCGACTACGCTGTCGTCCAGCACACCTCCGAGCTTCAAATCGGCCCTGTTGAGTCTGAGGAGCACAACCCCAAGAAGATCAGCGACGATGAGATCACCCCCGCTACTGCCGCCAGCTCCGAGAACAACGAGAAGCGACACCTCAACCTCGCTGAGTCTAGCCAGGAGGACTACCAGCGCATGCTCAAGGAGGCCGAGGAGCTTCACCACTCTAACCTCCGCAAGGGCAAGGGACCTCTCGGCTGGGCCATGCGAACTCTCCACGCCAACCCCATCGGTGCCGGTTCCATCCACGAGACTCACAACCTGATCGCTGTCGTCAAGCGTATCCCCGCTCAAATCGTTGTCGCTCTCCTCTACGGTGCTCACTACGACATCCACACTGCCCAGATGGGTATCGAGGCTACGCCTGAAGGTCGTCGTATGCAGCGCGTCTACGAGCATGCTCCCAAGTACCCCAACGAGGTTGAGTACCTGTACTCTTTCGTCCAAGTCATTACTGCCTGCACTGCTTCTTTCGCCCACGGTGCCAACGATGTTGGTAACGCTGTTGGTGTCTGGGCTGGTATGTACGCTGCTTGGTCCACTAGCCGCCCTGCCGAGAAGAAGGCCGAGGTTCCTCTGTGGCAGATTGGTGTTGTCGCTGCTATGATCTGCATTGGTTTCATCACCTACGGATACAACATCATGAAGGGTAAGTCTCACTTTAGATTCCTATCACTGAAACAACACTAACTCGCAATAGTTATGGGTAACAAGATCACCTACCACTCTCCTTCTCGTGGGTCTTCCATGGAGATGGGCGCTGCTATTACTGTCCTTGTCTTCTCCCAGTACAAGCTCCCCGTCTCTACCTCCATGTGTATCACCGGTGCCACTGTCGGTGTCGGTCTTTGCAACGGCAGCATCAAGGCTGTTAACTGGAAGCGAGTTTTCCTCCTCGTCTTCTCTTGGATCATGACCATTCCCATTGCCGGTCTTATCGGTGGATGTCTTATGGGTCTTGCTCTCAACACACCTCACTTCTAAAAGCACTCTTTTGATACCATGCTGTCGTTTAATGTGGGAGTTGGAATGGGTTGGGTATAGATGGGGCATGACTGCATAGATACCGAAGTCAAAACTGTTTACCGTACTATTTAATTGATTGAAATACTCTCTTTACTCATACATCTCAAACTACTGTGCATCCTAAACTCATCATTTCAGACTTGTTTTAAATTAACCTGCATTCATCGCAGCCCTCACATTCTCGATCCTTATTGGTTTTGTCGCTTAGGCATATTTAGGGCATGACGTCGAATTTAGCGTATGCCTTTCGTCTGATATGCCATCTGACACAAATTGCCACTGCGCCAATACATCTTGCAACTTCGTAGAAACCCCTGGACTTAGCCTTTCTTGGCGAGAGCCGTCAATCAAGCTGAGATCTTGGCAGGTATGTACTGTCTTGGCGTGCTTACGGTGCTCCATCCCGTTCGCCACGCTTGACGGCTTGGCGGTTTCTTGGTGTATCACAGCCAACTTGGGCAATTGCTCGCGTGCTCAGTGGAAGTCACATGAGAAGGTCTATATAGAGCAAGCCGACCCAACCCGAATTCGGCGTTGACAAAACAGGATTCCGTCCGGTGTTACGATATACACGACTGGATGCTTGAGGTACTGTTCTTTCCTGACCCTCAGTAACGTATCGAGGAATTGACAGGATTTTACGATGCATATACGAGCAGTTATGTAAGAGCTTCCCATGAATCGTGGGAAAAGGGTCAGGCCACGCGACATCGCTTCCATGACAGGTTGTAGAAACACCAGATATCACGGAGCAGATTAGGATGAGAGCGGAATAAAAAGGATGCTCGGCTGCGTTTGAGAGGGGCGTGGTTGCTGATACAAGGTCGTGTAAGGCATATTGCTAGTGTCCATACTTGAAGTGGTAGCTGACGTCTATCAGGTTATTGGAGAAGAAGCTTACAAAACTTACGCAATCTGAATGGCATCGGCCTGACATGCCTTACGGTGAGGCCCTCAATCGGAGAGCAATAACACGACGATCCCGATTGCTTCCAACATTGTAGCCCAACCACCGTATTAGAATCCAAAATTCGGTAGTTCCTTGACTGGGCCCGTTTCCGAAGGCTAATTTAAGTAGGGTACTAAAAGTAGAGCTATTGCTGATACATCTATCTACTGCTTATGTCTAGCCAAGTCAATCAAATAACTGCTATGCAAAGGCTTTATCGGCTTCCAATCTGCGGGCGCTACCGAGTTTAATGAGTTGGTACAGTTTGGCATGTCTATCAGCTTAGGATCACCGCATATATGGGAATAACTTATGACCGCATATCTGCAACACATCGGGAAAATAAGATACCATTATCGATTACAACTAATACGTGATAAGAGCTGTTGATGCTAACTTGGGCTGAATCGTGTTAGCCCGTGTAGTCTTGACTTAATCCTCCTCTTCCACATCATAACTCGATGCTTCAACCGCTGCCGCCTTGTCCTCCTTGGAGGTTCTATGCTATTATTCGCATTCTCTACCCTGCTGACGTTCTCAGGATTCCCTTCATTCGTCCCCAACTGTGGTATCTCCAGTCTCCGTCTGTCATAACTTGACCGGTCTCGTACAGATGGTTGTCTAGTCGTAGCTGGTGTCACATAGTCAACGCTTTCTCGTGGTAACATAGAGGAGCCTGTTATAAAGCTGTTTGATGGTCTTCCAACGGATGAATCGTCTCTTGCAGGTACTTCGAGCCACCCCTCGGCAGTCAGAGCCTCCTCTCGATCAGGCGTCAAAAACGCATCCTCAAGCGCAACATAATCGGGGTTCTGAGGTACAGTTGTAGGTACGGACTCTGGCTGTGGCAAAGTAACAAGTGGCCAATAGTCTTTTGGGGGGCGTGGTTCCAACAGGTTGGGAAAACTGTGTGAATGTAGAAGATTCAGCCGTCGAAGCGGCTGACACCTATCTGGGCTTGACTTCGCGGCGGAAAGAATTCCTGCTGTGGTAGTCATGACTTGTAGCATGGAGTGTCGCCTTTCTGGTGTCACGACCAACATTTCATCCTCGATGAGATCCAGAAATTGGCATAAAGCTTTGGAGGAGCATTTGTGACCACGTAAGTATTTGATCCACTGTTCGAGGTTAGCCAATGCTCGCGTTAAGAGGAGACACCGGTACTTACGTCGACTACTGATTCCTTGAGAATGGGGGTGGGAAGACCGACTGAGTTGAAGAACTTATCATCTCGGTAGTTATCGTCATCCCGTTGCCTCGACGTCCCAAAATCCTCGCGTTCCTTTCCATCAGGAGCCATGAACCCTCGTCCTTTGTCCGGAGGACGAACAGCATCAGAGCCAAGAAGAAACCACGTTACGAACTCCAAGAATACACAACCCAGAGTCCAGATATCGTACTTTTGACTGACTTGGGTGCCCCCACCCACAGCTTTCTCGGGAGGACGGTACGTCTCTGAGAACCCCACATTTTCCATCTGTGTGTAGTCGGCACTGGACGAGTGGAAGCGCATCAGCGTGAAATCGGCGACTACCAGACGGCCAGGTGGGTTCTCTTCATCTTTAAAGAAAAGAATATTCTTCGGTTTGATATCACCATGACGACCTCTGCTTCGGCTTCCACCTATGTCTCCTTTTCGAAAAGAAGGGTTGCTATGGACCCTCTCCAGACCACATGCGATTCCATGACATTGCTCAAGCATCCAGATCAGGGAATTGCTCGATGTTGGATCAGCTTTATGGTTCATCCAATGATGTTCCAGATCACCCTCGGCACAGGGGAAGATAAAATACTTTGTTGACCTTAGTTCATAAGAATAGAGTAGCTCGATAAGACTTTCATGTCCTTTTTTTGGATGACTGAATCGAAGTAATGCTTCTCTCTCCTGATCGAACTCATGGTCTTTACCAGTAAAGCGCTTGACGGCATAACAGCGGTCATCACATCTCTGCTCGAAAGTCAGCTTCTGTGGTTTCGTCTATCGTTGTTTAGGTACATACAGTACGTTCTCCCCATTTCTGATAGTCCTGATGTATCCTCACTTTAGAGACCTGGCCATGTGCGCCTTTGTCCGGACCATTTAAAAGATCCAAGAACGGCATTGGTATCGGACCCTCAAACACCTTATGTTTCATACATTCGAAGTCGATGATTGGCGCTAGAAATAAATACTGCCTCGCAACGAAACCATCGCAGAATAACTCTGGCCAGTCCTTAAAAACTCTGTTCGAGTCTGTGACTGGTAGATCACTATCCCATATATTGGAGTCAATGAAATCGTAGAGACGATTTGCCTGCACATGGTATACGAGTGTAGCAAGTATCTTCAAGCGACCGGCATCTCTCGACGTGTTAAAAATATCGTCCAATGTGATATTGGGTTTTTCAGGATGTTGGTCATGGATTTCGTCGAGTACTTGTTGAACACGTTTTTGGCTGAGAATCTCCCTAAGAGAGCTTTCCAGTACGAATGCCTCGGGGTCTCTGCGAGAACTAGGGGAAGGTTTTATTGCTTTGCGAATCTGATTGGCGATGATCTGGCTTACGGGTGTCTTATGCGATGTGTTGTTCGGTGGGCTATTGTTGTTCACGTTGGTGAGCCCAACTTGATGATTACTAGGCTCATCCATGTTGCCGGGCCTAGCTTAGATAATGAGTCCGTTGAGGCCCAAACGACGTGGCTATGCGTAAATGGATAAAAGGTAAGAATGAAGATCAAACCTTGACGTTGGAATTAACAACAACAGTGGGTAGAATGTCGGAGGCAGCTTTGCGCATTTACTTTAAGAAAGACTGCGTTTTTGTAACAATGGCCAGCCCCAGAGCCTCGTCTGAGAAGGCCACCATTACGATAATTCCCTCCCTGACCCATTACTAAAATTGTGTGTGACAAGCGGCTGAAAATACAGGGCTAGATAATATTGGAAAAACCCCCAAATTCTACGGACAATGTCATTGTTCACATGGAGAGGAGAGGGCTGCAGAATGTGCAAGATTGATGAAAACCCGGGCGGCTAACTAGCTTCCTGAAGCACCCCAGGGCTTTGTCGCTTGGCCAGCTGCCCTGTGCGAGTGCGAGTGGTGGTTTCTGACAGGGGTCAGGAACAGCCTGGAAGCCTCAGCAAGGCCGATTATTGAGTCTTCAAGCCACCACATGCAAGTTACAGTCACAGGGACTTCCAGTATGTCTGCTGACGGACCCTTGTGGGAGTGGTTTATCCAGTTTCTGCCTACAGATGAAGAGGCGATGTTTCTAAAACAGGGTAAATGACGGAGGCTGTGACATGCATGGAGTCCTGCGATTGGACAGCATAGCCTTGATCCCGAGACATGCAGGTCGAAATAGATGAGTCCTACAGCCCAGACTAGGCCAGCGAGAGTAGTGCTTATGACAAATTGAAATGACCTGTCAATGATCGCTCTCGCCAATCAAATCCCGCACTTTACCGCATTGAGGCCATGAGGCAAACACTTTCTTCTCTTTCCTCGGGGGGATATAAGCGACCTTACCCTTCGCTATTCTCCGCAATCTTTATCTTTTCTCTTGTATCAATTGTTCAAATTTCTTTTATCTTTTCTTTTGCAATGGAGCCAATTCGACGGGAGATTCCTTCATACTCTATTAAGAGCCCCCAATCACTGATGCAAAATCTTCAAATATTCTGTAGCAAGAACAACCTCTCGGTTCAGAGTTTGGAGATGCGCAACGATGTCTACATAATATCTCTCCAGCAATCAATCCAACATGCAGTCGCTCCAACAATATGTTAACGTGAGTATTCTCATTATCCACTTTACGACCATTCTAACGAGGACACGGATAGCTCTATTAAGATTTTGGGCTTAGTAAATCGAATTACTGGACTTGTAACATTGTATTCTCGGTGCACTTTCTCGTTGCAGCCCGATCTATATCTCATCACTGAGAGCCTTTATATACGTTGTTTTTGGAAGAGACTGGCTTGGGGGTTGGTTAAGGACTTTCTGTCTCTAGATTTGACTATGTAAATTGTCATAATTACCATCTTTCCACAACAAAACCTGATTGCTTACTTCCGACCTTTCGGTGCGTGAGATAATGTAACACGGAAAACGGAATCCGAAAGTCGTGCGTCAGCAGAGACTCATTGGCTGACAACGCAGATGCGAGAACCGGTTTGAGGCCTGCTGAGAGGGGCGTAATGGCCTGACAGGCTCTCTCACCATATCCAATCATCTGCATGACTTCTGTTGATCCGCTTACGGAGTGGCTGAGGAAGGCTTATCGGTGAAGCATGCACTGCGAAAGGTAGAATTGCAGTGCTTGAAAATGAACCTATCAGGGCCTTGCAAAAATGGTACAGTTTCAGCCCTTGACCTTCCTGGACGGGGTTCTGGCACCCTTGGCGGATATCCTCGGCATCTTGAAGAACGCCTATTAAGGCTCTGCGCAGTAAGGCTCTCAGTCGACAGACATAAAATCCCTTCCGTAATACTGTCAGGAAAAGGGTTAGAGAGGTCTTTACTCGAACTAAAGCGATCGACTTTCGAACGCACAAGCCCAAACGCAAAGATGCCACCGAAGAGAAAGAAACCAGGAACGCCTCCTCTTAAGGATCGGCTGTACTCGAAAATCAAGAACGAATTGATTAACCAACCTATCTCCGGATCTGTTATTACGAAGGAAGAGAAGCAACAGCGGAAGGAGGCCCATTGCGAACCCTTCATGCCAAGACGGGTCCTCGAATCATTCGTCCAACATGAAAAAGTCAAAGCAGATTTGAATGGACTACTGGGCAACAGAGGTGATAACGAGGAACTGGCAAGATATGCTGTCGACAGAGCTTCCAGGGCCTTTTTGACCGCCATCTATGCCCAGGCTATATGCGTCGAAGATGGTGAACCCTGCATCAAGCTTCTTTATGATGGAGATTTCAGAGACATAAATCTTCCGGTCCATCTTGTTAAGGATGAGGATGAGGATGAGTTTGATCCTTATGCAGTCTGCGCCAATGAATCCGATACTGCCTTGGAATGTTTCTCGGACTGGGGAATGGTGTTAAAGGAGCGGTATGAGGAGAAACAATGGGTTTTCCTCGCTCCGAGATTGGACGAAGACGATTTCAACTATGTGTTTCACGAAAAACAGCCGATACCATTCGTCTACATGTTCAACCCCCAGCCAGCCCGAGGGTTCTTTAGTAGAGTTTTCAAACTTGGCCTACGTACCGACCACCTCCGTGTTAATCAGCGAAGCTTTCAACTGGTAAGGACAGCCTTCCCTGTGCCTGAGACGACCTCTGACTCTTCTTTTAGAAGACAGTGCCTAACGAGGAACATGTTGAAGTTGCCGTCAAGTTCATAACTACCGACAGTAACGTGCCTAACTCAAAGGTAGACGTGTTTTACGAAAGGGAAAAGCAAACGCTCAAGTTCATGAGAGATCTAAAGCACGACCATCTTATAAGAGCAATTGCAACCTGTGTGAAAGGCACAACTAGATGTTTCATCTTCCCTTGGGCCGAAGGTGGCAACCTTGCTGACTTCTGGAAAAACGATCGAAACCGTCTTGACAAGTATCTAGTTCGGTGGGCTATCGACCAGATGGCGGGCATTTCCAGTGGGATTATGGAACTTCACAAGAAGAATACTCGGCATGGCGACATCAAACCTCAAAACATCCTCCATTTTCTGGACAGAGCCCTCGACAAACGCGGCCTTGGGATCTTGAAGGTAGCGGACGTTGGCCTCGCTAAGGTCCATCCTGAATACACAAAATACCGCGATTCCACCACAACAAGACAGAGTACAGAACGTTATGAGCCGCCTGAGATGATGAGTTACATCAGAAAGGAGGCTGCTATACCACGCAGATACGACAGCTGGAGTCTCGGATGTGTGTTCCTCGAGTTCCTAGTTTGGCTTGTTCATGGTCAGGTGGGACTTGTCAAGTTTCACGAAGACCTTAAACCCTCACATCAGGAGAGGTTCTATGAAGTGGAGGGGAATTCCAATGTTCGCCATCATGTTGTGAACAAGGTGATCGATGGCTTGGAGAAGAAGTTGCCGGATAATACGGCACTCGGAAGGATTCTGGAATTGATCTCGAAGAACCTCCTGGTACCTGCAGACAAGCGGATGTACACCGAGACACTGCATATAAAGCTCACCGAGATCATAAGAGAGTGTAACAACAGGAGTTCTTACTACTTCGGCTCTGATCTGGCGAGGCTAGCAGAGGTCAGACCTGTTCCGGGCGGTATATCAGACGACAACCGCGCACCCCCGGATGATGTAAGTTCACTGATCTTTAAAATTTTCACTTCACTAATCTCAATTCCAGTATGTGAGTAGATCACCACTCAGAAGCCTCTGCTGCTTCCAGTTTCGCTAATCAGAGATTGGCTACCTAGAACGTTAGTTAGTCCTCTCCTGCCTTGGTTCTAAGACTGACATGTCTAGTCGGTAAGTATCCTTTACCTATCGAAGTATCTATAATTCTAACAAGGGAGTAGCACACGAGCAAGATTGACAATAAGTGGCGGGACTTCAAGGATAGCGAATGGGCTCGGTTTCTAATATCGCGTGTCGACTTTCATTCTTTTCGTCCTAATATCGAAACAGGGTTCTGTGATGCGTGTAGTTCGATTGACTTTCTTGCAAATGGGTTTGACCTAGGTCGGACCCTACAAGATCTACAGGAGGGATCGGAAGACTGCACGATGTGTGCCTTCTTGTTCCGATGCTTCTCGACAGTCTCTTCTGAAACAGTTGTTCAAGGACAACAAAACCTGTCATTATTGCATAACAACACTCCCGCAATCTCGTTCTATGTCGACCCAGGTTTGTTATCCACTGATTCAGACAGCCACGCCCTAACGATGATTAGATTATCAAGGTCCGACTCCACATCAATTCCAATTGGGCTTACCCGTTCTTCCATCACCTGGCAGCGCTCAAGAATTTGCTCTTCTGAACGCTTGGATCACTCTTTGCGACAGAAACCACGACTGCATTCCAGAACAGTCGGGACCACAGGAAATGCCAACCAGGCTCATACAGGTTGGTACAACAGACGCTCCTGTTCTTCGTCTTGTCGAGACAAAGCAGAGCAATATCACGGGGAAGTATATAGCACTAAGCCACTGCTGGGGCAAGCTCTCGAGGAAAGAGAAATTCTGCACCTACAGGGATACCATCGGAAGATTGAAACAACAGATCCCATTCGACAGACTTCCCCAAACATTTAAGGATGCTGTGACGACAACACGAGCGCTCAATGTGGAGTACCTCTGGATTGACTCCCTTTGCATTATCCAAGAAGACGCAGATGACTGGAAGATTGAAGCTGCCAGGATGGAGGATGTCTTCAACTCAGCGTACTGTACCATCGCAGCCAGTTCCTCCACTTCGTCCTTGGGAGGCTTCCTAGGATCCAGAAAGGAGAGGGCCGTTATTGGTATAAACACCACAAAAGGGCCTCTGTACCTGGCACAGGCTATCGATGATTTCCACGAGAATGTAGAAGAAGGGATTCTGAACACCCGCGGTTGGGTGTTTCAAGAGCGGGCCTTGTCCCGTCGCACCATCCATTTCACCTCTACTCAAGTTTACTGGGAGTGTGGTCACGGAGTACATTGCGAGACCTTGGCTCACTTGCGAAAGTAAGTTGTATGAGACTTGCAATTACTTCAAGTAGCTAACCCATCCTAGTCGCGAGTCCGAACTTCTCGGTGACTCCAGATTCCCCAATTATGGCCTCCAGAAGTACAAGGATGACAGTATAAGACTCGTCCAGTACCTCTTCAAGACCTACAGTGGGCTGAACCTGACAAACCCGACAGATCGTTCCCAGGCTCTTCTTGGATTGGAAAAGCGTCTGGGTCGCACTTTCCAAACAGAGGCCCAATACGGCATTCTTTCGGCTTACTTCGAGAGATTGCTGCTTTGGCAACGCGATCAGCCTCTTCCACTGGATAATATACCGTATCCCGAATATGAGGGTACCCCTTCGTGGTCATGGATGTCGCTTATGGGAAGGATCAGCTATCTGGATGTTCCATTCGGCAAAATCAATTGGACGGGGCATGTAGCGAACCCCTTCGATACTGATTACAGTCATGAAGATCTTCCCTGGGATGGAGGGCTTCAGGCTAAAGCCCACAAACTAAATATTGGAGAGGACACTTTGAAGAGTAGGGTACGGACCGACCTTACCCACTCCAAGATGAAACCCAAGGATTTCATATGTGTGGTGGTTGGGACGAGCAAATTGACCAATGATGACGGGACAACAGACCAGTACGTTCTGCTGTTACGACGCATGTCACTGCCTGCTATTTACGAAAGAAGTGGTGTCGGTATACTTCTGGATATCCATATCCACCCGGAAAGCTTTCCAGTTTACATTATCTAGCTAGCTTAATAATACATATCTCTCCTTTCTTCTATGATTTACACCCTTCCCAACCACTCTTGAACAACCCTCTGCGCAACCTCCATCCCCTCTCTAACAACCTTCGCCGACTCTTCTGCAACCTGATAAGCAGCCTCACTGGCAGCGACGGCCTTCTTCGCCTCCTCAATCTCGCCATTAGTAGCCATGGTCACCGCTTCTTCGGCTCTTCGCGCAGCAGCACCACCAGCCCACGATGCTTTTCGCTCTGCATCTTGAACACCAGCAACAGTGTCACTGAGAGATTTGGCGGTGCTGCAGGCTGTTTCGGCGGTTACGTCAGCCTTGTGACGGCCTGCTGCGTCTTCTTTGGCTGCAGACTCGGAGTCGCGGACTGAAGCTTGGGCAGAGCGGATGAGAGCGACCATTTCGCGCGCCCGGTCGTGTGCGTTTTCTGCGGATTGTCTAAGGAAAGTGGCTAGACGCTCATTCTCTTCCTTTTTCTTGTCATCAGGTTTTGTAGCATCTTCGCAAGCGACCGCTGCATCTATGACTCTTCGGGCCTTGATAATCGCATCTTCCGCTGGGGCGGTAGCTTGTCCAACAGCAGCCCAAACACGAGCAGCACAGTCGTAAAAGTCGGAGATCCTGATAGAATTTGCCTTAATAGCATCGCGCCTTGCTTCAGCAGCGATATGAGTCATCTGCTCCTCGTACTTGCGTGCCGCGGCACCATAATCACGGGCCTCATCAGCTGCTGCTTTCGCTCTAGCTGCATTCTCGGCTACGTTCCACGTGATAGTGCGAACTTGTTCACGGTAAGAAGTGTAGATATGGACCCAAGTGCCGATGCTGACGCCAATAAGGGTGAATATAACGACGGGAAGGAGTTGAAGTGAGAAGAATGGGAGGACGGCTGTGAAGGACCACCAGTTGAGAACAAGCCAGTATGTCTCTGCATGCTCAAGGTAGCAGAAGCGAAGAGGTCCGTAGACTTTGCTGATGGGGGCGAATAGATAGGCAAAAATGGATACGACGGTGGTAACGGTCACAAAGAGAATCTGTGCCCAAGGTTCAAATGGCAGAGAGAAGTCGTAGTAAACAGACAAATGGTACGCCAAAGCAAGCAAAGAACCAACTACATATCAAGCGTCAGCTAAACCCACTACCTATCGCGGTGATTATTTTACCTTTTAAGTAAGTCCCAACATTATTAGCCACAGTCTTCAAGGCATAGAAAGGCCCTAAGAATGCAGCAGTCCAAGTAGTCTCATCTTTCGGCTGGCCATTTGGCAATGACCAGATACCACCAAAGTACAGCGCGATAATAAGAACGAGGGGATTTGATAGTTGGGACAGGACTAATGATTTGACATCAGGAAAGATCGGGGTCTGGTTAAGAACAAGTGCGACGAAAACAACAGTCTTTAAGTGAGGTGCAATTGACCTTGACAAGGATTCCAGAGCGGAGAACAAGTCCTCGCTGCCGTTTTCTGAAGACATGGCTGAAGTACCTAGAAGTTGAAAAAGTCTTTGGGGTCTGGAGTGGAATGTTGAAGAGTTCAATTGTTATTATACACAACATGAGTCGAAAAGTGAGGCTTGCAAAGCCCAATATGCATGTATATGTAATGCACAGCTACGTGTATACCCCAGATCCCCATATCACTGGCCCAACAATCTCCGTGCAGTATCCCTAAGCGGGCCTCCGAGAAACAATTCCTGCCTGTAGATTTGTCTTTCGCGTTCGATCTGTTTCGATTGGCGACCGACTTGCTTTTGTTTTGATGTTATTCCAGGTTTGGTCCGCATCGGGCTCTGACGCGGCCTGACCGAGTGGGGATGGCCTCATTGCCACGTCGCAGGCCTCAGCATTGACCTTTAGTAAATGGAGGATATTTCACAACATTTTCTTTGGTTAATAAGAGTAAATCTTTTCCGATTTTGTGCTAGTCATTACTCGCACTAATCGACTTTGGTTGGGTTATTCTGGCTTGTAAAGTTCTGTATTTATCGTTTAATATTTACTAACCCATCCTATGATGTCCGCACAGTGGTTGCACAATCCACTGATAGTAATGTAGGTTGAACATAGAGAAATACTGGGTACTTAGCGATCCGATCCGGACTAGCTAAAGAGTTAGGTAGATATCGTAGGAAAGATAGGGCTATTCTAGTAATTAGTTACTTAATACATCTATATAGATGAAGATAGCTCCTAACTTATATACTTTTGTCCGTGTCCCATCATTTGATGTCCCCTAAAGTCCTCATGTAAGTTATGTATCAGTGAGTACCTAACTACATATTATCAAGATCCGGTGACGGCAGAAGCTGTTGAATGGAAGTGTCAGGAAATTGTGGGGCAGCTATGACACTACCGCAAGGCCGCAGGATGATATGCTAAAATGCAATGTAAGATTCCGGTACCTTGAAAGCGGGGTAAGTAAGACGGCATAATTCTTGAATCATCATCAACTAAGTGATTCGATAACTTACCTTTGGCTACGGGTTCAAGATCTTCTTCCTCGTGGAACTAGCGGCCCTTGTTGCGTGACGGCGATAGGGAAAATTTTCGCTCTTTAATTCATGTCGTTAAATCTTACATTTCAACTAGAATTCAATGGCGGACTCAACGCCATTAGTTATCAGTGTGTTGGGAGCCGTCCAACATCTCGAATTGACGTTGAAATTGTCTGCGGAGCTATTTGGCACCTGGTTCGCATCCCTTAATAGACTTACTCAAGATCTTCAAAGGATGGGAAGGTTAGTTATGAACGACGTCGCTACTTACCAACCTACATTGCAGAGAATTCGGAGTGAACAAGTAGATGGATTATGCTCTGCGCTGAGACAAAGCTCGATCAATGTCTCGTCTGAACTCGAACAGGTAAGGGTCCCGCTCAAGTTCACCCTTGGGTGCTTACCTTTATTAGATATCTGGAAAGCACAAGGGTCGGGGCGGACTGTTGCGCTTGGAACTCACAATCAAGCAGAGATACCTGGAGGATCAGCTACTAGATATCAGACGAGTTCTTGAACAGCTACAAGCACTTGTGCAAGAGGTCTTGTCACCTTCATTAGAGAGAGATATTCCTAAAGAGCTTATCCCCAGGGAGACATCGAAAGCTTCAGGGATATTCCAGGACCACAAAGATTTCTTATACTACATGTCGTCTGAAAGCAATGTTCCAGAGCAAGTTTCCCTTCCCCCTGAGGTAAAGCACTCACTGACAGGATTCAGGCCGGATCGAACAGGTATGTCCTCTGGTACTTATTCTTTAGGTGCCGAATCAATCTTTGGAAGGTACTCTTCCACCATGGGCTCGGGACCCTCTGATCTAAGCTTTCCTGAAGAGTCTGTCATGCCGAGTATACAAAAAAGATACCAGCGACCCTCGTTTGCAGATCATGATCCATATCTAGACTCAAGAGGTTTGGCGACAGAAATTATTCGTCACTTACGATTTGAGCTCATCTCAATGCCAATCCGTCGAAACGGCTTGACGATTAACGACGATGACCTTTCTTCAAACCTGCGGCAAATCCTTGAACGCTTTTGTGCAGAGATCCAAGGCACCGACCAACAAGATACCCGGCCTCCGCGGTCGATCCAGAACCATCTGCATCAGAAAGTACATTCCATGATCCTGGAAGAAATACCATTCCTTATCGAGTCGTTAGTCTCTATTCTCCATGGGAAATTTGATTCATTCACTGTTGAGACTCTTCATGTAAGTAGAGCAAGTGCTGGAGATAAAGGAAAAACGAAGGTCTCACTCTTTGCTGCTTGGGACTTCTTGAGCGGTGGAAAGGCTTTCGGGCGACTGAAATTCCGTACACGTAGGGTTTTGAAGCGCGATATCATGGAGATCATCAGCCACGAGGTGTTACTCAGTCTATCATCGAGACTTTCGAGGCGAGAAACTGCGACTTTCCACGTGCGCTGGGAACTCTTTGACCATATCTCGTATGAGCAAGATGGGTCAACAGACATCAGCCAGATTTTGACTGTAACCGGAGATGGTCGAAATGCTTATGCTTCGCGCTGCGCGGACTATCTAAAATGGCTATGGGGGGATTCGAAGTACGACATCTGTAGCCATATTCAGCAATTTTTGGAGGAGAAGAGTTACAGTAAGTCACTATTCTTTCGTGATTGTCTCATGCTCATCATCTATCAGAACATCCTGACGCAACCCTCAAGATTAATCACTATACGGAAGGCGACAGCCATATCACGGTCATTGTTCACGGTGAGAAGGAAACAATCACTGAAGTTGCCCAACAACTTACGTGGGTTACTGCCGCATTCCGCTCTCATCCAGAAGGTGTAAATTTGTCGGATGTCGATTTCATCATCACCAATGGAATGCAATTTTACATCGAGGCAGGGACTCTTACGGGAGTGTCGAATGTCACCCCCACATCAGATACTTGTTGGCATCGACTTGTTCGAGATGCTGCCATTGCCCATGGATTTCCAATTCCGCCCAGGTGTGGTCAAGTTGGGCTTGAACTACCCTATGCCGCGATGCTAAAATTCAGTCAGGTGTCGACTCTGCTAGTTGCAAACAAGCGTCTTGCATTCTATGGCTTTTCTTCCTTCCTGTTTCCAATGGACCAATGTTCCGAAAATGATGATTCTATCCAACGTTTGACTCAATGGCACTTTGAAAGGAGCGATGATACGGAGCAATGCTTTGACTGCGCGGACTATCTCGCTGAGTCGAAATGTATCTGGACGAATGATGTGCATGAGTCCACCTTGGCAACATCGCGACATTTTGTTGGGTATTGCAGAATTTCCGAATTCCGTCTAGCCACGTCGACCTCCAACTTTCTAAACCTCCAGGAGACACCTATGCCCGATGCTTCTACCACAGTAGGGGCAAGGATTGAGAACGTGACGGCGGGTACAGGGGGCCTGGGCTTTGGCACCCTCGAGCTTGAAAGCAACATCAGATATGCCCACAGCATCGTCAATGCCGTCGCGGCAGACGAGTATCTTGGTACTATGGATACATTAGAGAGGATGTCTATGATCCTATGGGATTGTGGGGACGAATGCGGATGGCTGGTACCCGCTCAAGCGCTCCTGCTCCACATGGCTCACGTGTGGGTCAGCTCGAAGGGAATAACTGCCACCTTCCGGCATGCAAGCCAGGGCCCTGGCTATCTACAGGAGGTTGACAAGATTCTCAGAGAAGATCGCAAGAAGGTCCTTCGGAAGGAGGGTCGAGACGACGACTCTGATTTCGAGTTGAGACACTTGATCATGAGAATTTGGAACGACATCAGGGGCTGTATGTTGGCACAACAAAGCGCACTACGTGATGATAAAGGCGTTATAGGTTACCAAGCTGGGGGGATATCTGGATGGGAAGTCACGGATTTCCTAACGCGTCCTCCACTCGAATTCTCTATGAAGCAAGATAAGCGCGGTCCATCAGACAAAGGCTGGAAGGGTCTAGCTGTGGAGAAAAACATACCAGTGCTGTTTTGCAAAGATGCAGGAGAGGTGATTAAAACAACGCCTCGAGGTTATTTATGCACCAACTGCAGACTTTCTCTCAAACACCAGAGCTACCTGATAGCTAGCTTAACATGCTTGGGGAACATGGCTCAAAGATACGGTGGTTTTAAGCCGAAGACGAGGCTGACACCAGAGTGGGGATGGCAACCGACCGCTGAGTCGGCCCTGTTTCAAGAGCACTGTCAACTCAACGCGGGATCTAGGTGCAATGAACGATTGCAGAAGCTGATCGCTTTCAAAGAAGAGGAAGAGGGCACAAACTTGAATCTTCCAGCAAACGGGGTTGTTGTGTTTGGTAGAGCGGGTTCGAAAGCACCAGATTTAGCTACAACAGCTACTCCTACAACACCTACCACTGTCCCGGTTGGAAAGGGAAAAATAACAAAGTGGCTGGCTAAGTTGAAAAAGAAATAGAATACAAGCCTTTACATAGTTTATAATCATGTAATTTTCGGAAGCTTATTATTTGAGTTTCTAAAATAGTATCTTCTATTCCGGGTCTGCTAGTAGTACTCGGGGTAGGCTTGTGACACATCTGGTGATAAAGATGCCCGCAATGCGTACTTAATAAGATAACGTGTTATTAATCATCGTTTGAACAACCGTGGGGCTTCAGCCTTTACAATAAGTTTGAAGCTATTTAAAGGTATTTCAGGTGAGCTGCCTGAGTTGTGTTTCGGGTGGTTGCGTATTGATCCCTGAAGTGGTCACGGCTAAGTCTACAGTTTCCCATAAGGGAAGCCGCCAGTCCCGATTGATGTATAGCGTTGGCATCTTGCAGGGCTGTTTGGATCTGGTACCTGTTAACGGCATATTTCGAGTCTTATCTTATCAGCCCCCTGTCCCTGTCTCAACTTAACCCCTCAAAGCGTCAGCTGACGTTTTGATATCTTTGCACTCTTCAGATTCAAGGTTGAACAGGCTCCGCCACAATTGAGAATCAGTGTCACTACTTTTATTATACCTCTCTATCTTTCATACTCAACAGATAACTCAGGAGGCTTGAGACTTCGTATCATGAATCTTTGCACAATTTGTCAACTATTATGGGAAGGTCACAAATGGGAGGTCGAAGACCCTGAACGTTCTTGGACACAGGGAGATTTCCCCATGATGCTATATGATAGTAGGGAGGATGACAAAGAAAAGATCATGCATGATTCTTGGGAAATGTTTCTTGTATCACTGAGCGAGAATTGCCCCATTTGCTGGTCGATGTGGCGCAAGATACGATCATCACCACTTGCCGATGCAAGAGAAGAGGCTCGACATGATTTTCAAACTCTAGTCTTGTCGGTCAGCTACTACTTAGAAGATTCAAGCTATCGGACGCAGTTCCGCATAATGGAGAAAGGGGAGTCCCTCGGTCTTCCCTATTTCAATATATGGAAGACCACTGAGCAGTACTTCTTGGGTACGTGCTTCTTCACCACTTCCCTGTCTGCACGCTGTAGCGTAAGATGCTCATCGCCTAATAACAGAAAGTTGCAATACAATTCGGAATTTACATACCCCTGAAACAGTGGCCCAGCTCGCCAAAGGATGGGTTGCCGATTGTTTAAACACTCATAGCGCATGTCATCAACGAAGTATCTCCAGCACGACTCATCCCACTCGTTTATTGGATATAGGCAACAGTCGTGTAAAGCAATGGACAATTGTGAACACCGATGGCGACAACCAAAAATATGGGAAATACGTTGCGCTCACACATCGATGGGTAGACACCATGCCAAAGCTATTGCATAAGGGTGGCTTCCGGATTGGGAGCACCTACCAAGATCGAGAACTACCACAACACTTTCAAGACGTCATCTCGATCTGTCGTGAAATAACTATTCGGTATCTTTGGATTGACTCATTATGTATCTTTCAAGATTCAGATGAAGACTTTCAACATGAAGCAGCCATAATGGCGGATATCTACGAAAATGCCTTCCTTACTTTGAGTATATGCTGGGATTACTCTTCTGCCAGTCTGTTTCAAGAAGTCAGACCTCAAACTATCCCACGTAATCCACCCGCGAACTTTCTAGCTTCGACGAAAGGAAAAGACATGAAAGTCTCGACGACTATCGCCGATCATGCCTTTGTCGAATTTACGGAAGGCTTCTCAGTAGATGTCGTCAAATCTCTGATTAACAGAAGAGGATGGGTTGTGCAGGAACGCTTCCTTTCACCTAGAATTGTCTACCTAGGAAACGAGCAGATATATTGGGAGTGTGATGTCCATATCGCTAGCGAGGTTGTCCCTCAGAATCTCAGAGACTGGGGCAAACGAACGGAGCTCGATGCTGGGATAGGCCACTTATCATGGCCATCCGTTATGAGAGCCTATTCGAAATGCAGTCTAACTCGGCAAGAGGACAAGTTAATTGCCATCTCAGGTCTTGCCCGATCTCTTTCTAAACGGTCCGGACATACTTATTTCTCAGGAATATGGATTGAATACTGGATTCACGACCTGATGTGGTTGCCGAACACAAAGATAGTCATGACTGTGGATGGTATAACACGATGGAATGAGTTAACTGACACTCTTGAAGCACCTTCCTGGCTGTGGCTCGGTTGTTCGAAGGATATCATCCCAAGTTCAATCCCGCGAGACCAAGAGTTCACTTGCTCGAACTTGTGCTCTTTCAAAGGGTAAACTGCATTTGCCATGGCGCTGCTAGTCAACCGGAAGTTGAAGCAACCAGGGACAAACGACGGGGCCTTTGTATCTTTTGCAGGCGCCTGTCTGGAGATAATGTGTCTTGCCATACCGATAGGTTTCGATAAAATGGATATGATGAAGGAAATCTCTTGTCGAAAGCTCGGTGTATACCTATACTGGCAAGAAGATGTAAAATGGAAAGAGGGACAAATCTCTTGCCTGCTACTGCGATTTATGAACAGCTTCGACCCGGAAACGAAGATTTCGCAGGAGGTGTATAAGTTGCATATTAGGTTCAGCCAGCGTTATGAGCCGTCACTACCCTGTTTCCTGATCCCGCTGTACGCGTGGACGGGACATGGAGGTGAAGCTCCTGATCGCTATCAAGAGCCGAGTATGGGAGGGCTGGTTATACAGAAAACAAGTAATGGTCAGTTCAGAAGGATCGCATGTTTCAGGCAGGCTAAGCGCTACAACTATGGAATCCAATCTCTGGTACTTAATACTGTATCAAAGCAAGAGGTGGGAGCACATGGAACTTCAGAGACGGATGGAGAGCAAGCTTACAAGACAGCATTTCTTGAGTACGCGACTACACAAACGTCTTTGTCAATGTTTGCGGATAGCACTGATGATGCAAAACTAAACTGGTCGCAAGTACCACAGATTAAGGACATGAGCTGGACGAAGATTGAGCTTGTCTAAGTAGCTAGGGGAATCTATACTCAAACCACACACCGTAGGTGCAATGCCTGAACCTCATACTATACAACCAATACGCTAGCCAATAGGAGTCCAATGAACATTTGCAAGTAAGCAGTGGGTCCCTGTTCACAACTTGCGTTGGTCTCTGTTGGCTGAGCATCACCTGTGCCACTATTCTGTCTCCCACTAGAATCTGTAGTAGTGCTGGTATCCGAACTTGATCCCGAGGCCTATGTACTAAAGATTACTATTAATAATACTTTAAAGAGAAAACTTATCCTAACTTTTCTATTTAGAGACACCCTTGTTATGCACGAATTCTTATTTTCTGTAGCTGGAAAGGTCCTTTAAAGACGACTTTTACTGCTCGATCAGATAAGGTTTTTGAAGGTATTTACAGTTTTCAAAGGGCATTATGACTCCTTTGCCCAAACATGACCTTGCTTTGTCTTGCTCTATACATAGGGCTTAGGCACAGCATAAATTCCCTGACCTTTACTGCTCAATAGAGGACGGCGTACGTACCTGGAGGTGTCTGCCGGTTTGAAAAGCTGCCTCTGGGGGGTGAGCCAAACGAGCTTATGGATGTAATACGGAAACGGAAATTTGAGCTGGGCATGCCGGTGAGGTCTACAGAGATAGGCAGGCGATTGTAACCACGGTCTCCTTTTATGTTTACATGTACAGACGGTCAGTAGTAATGGGGCACGCAATGGGGTAATCCAGTATCTAACGCCACATGAGTCATAAGTTAATCTAAGATATCATTTTGTCAAGCTTAAGGTTTATAAATTAACTGAGAAGCCTTGACTGAATCTAGGTTCAGGCCACACGCCATCCCTGTGAGGCCACAATGCCCTTTATTCGAATACTTAAAGCTCGTTTGCCCCATTCATTCCACTGCCAATTCCTCTTCCTTTACAACCCCAAATTTCGTCATCTGTTAATTCTATTCTGATTTGAACTCCTACGCCCGTACCTTCATCGGCACCACATCCCACATAGAAAGATGGACAGCTTTTCCCGATTACCGACCTTCGTGCTAACCAACATCCTCGGTCAGATACAGTCCGATAGAGATCTGTTCAATCTCATACGAGCCTCGCCACAATCACTGGCAGTCTATGTCCAGTATCTCTGTATGGTTACTCGTCAAAGGCTCACACGCTTTCTTGATCTCGACACTGACGACAGGATGCTACAGGACGCTCTAGCCATTATCAATTTCCCACCCATTGACGAAAAGTCACCGATTTCTCTCCCTGTCATGTCAGACTGGTTGGACACATTGAATACCCGAAACTTCAATCATCGTCACAGCATCGATAGCCTCTACCCCTTCTTTAGTCGTCTTATCGTGTTTATCGAAGACTATCTCGCTAAGTCCTTGGACCCTTTCCCTGCACGCGCTTGCATGACACTTCCAACGATCGGACGCTTTGTCCTGTCCATGCATTTCAAGGGCAAAGAAACTGACATCAAGCCCGTTTCATTTGGCATATTTCCGGCACATACCCAACGCCGCCTACTACAAGCCTTTATTAGGTATGAGCTTCGCTGCAAGATCTATGACCCGCGCGTATTGGTGCACCTCGAGGAAACTCGCTATGAGGGTATTGTCGATCGACTGAACGATAGACTTACCCTCAGTGACTTCGAGGAGCTCTACTGCGTCTTTGAATATGTCAGAGGTATGTACGGCGCTGTCTTAGCCCAATGCAAGGACGATATCTGGTTCCCCGATCGGCCAGAGCCCGGCACCACGGTAGCAAAGCGCCCAAGCAATGGCGAGTATCTTGAACCACCTTCTGCCAAAGAGCTCGGTCTCTTGTTTCCTGATGATCTTTACTTTGACGGGGCGGTCTTTTCTGAGGCTCGAAAACTCGATATTATTTCTTGCCTTGGCCTAGACCATCTCAGCTCAATCATCCAGAACCTACAGTTCGATGATGAGACTCTCATGGCTATCGACCCCGTATGTTTACATTCGACTTGGTGTTTTTGTGGTAAAGGATGGATTAGGAGAGACCGCTTCACTCACAATCACAGGCTCTATACAAGTCGGTCAAGACTCCTTCGTTGGGAATCTGATATGCCTTTCTCCAGACCACCTTGGCATATATACTATCAAGGACAAGTCCAACAGAAGATAGAGGAGCTCAGGTTGCAAATCCTACAGTCAAAGATATACCGTCAACGAGGTTGGATATTCTGCAGAGATTTTCCTGGTCCTCAGCCAACTCTACCCGCTATGGAATACATCACCACAGAACATGACGCTGTGAGCGATTGGATTTGCCTCGAACAGGAGAAACACAGACGAAGATCTCAGAAGTGGCAAGACTATTGGGCCGCGCGAAGTTTGGAGGATCCGCTCGACCCCGATACTTCAGACAAAGAAAGTAACCCTACCAAGCGTCAGTCGGAACCGAGAGTATCTGTTTCTTCCAATATCCCACGATTCTTCTCGGGCAGAACGGTATGGTGAGAGGTGAAGGGTTACGCACTGATACCACAGGTGCAATGCCAATCTGTTGTTTTTATCAAGAAAAAGATTTATTCGCACAAGCTGCTCGACACTTCCCGACAGTTTGAAGATATTCTTACTCCCTATACAACACGCATCAGAACCTTCATGCGTATCCATATTAGTTAGTAAGTACGTAAAAACAAATGATTTTTTTCTGCGAGTTGGATCAAATCGGTGAGTCATCATTGCATCGCAGCATAATTTTAGCAAGGTTTTCCAGTGATAAGATTAGACGCGCGCTCAGGCTTTCCGACACAGGTCATTTTGTCCCAGGCAGCTCGATAACAGTTTCAATGCGGTCTGAAATGCCCCACTTACTTACTCTCTTCATCTCAGGTCAGTTACATCTGGGCATAACCTCTCACACAGCATACAACTGACTTTTGAACGCACCATGGCTAAGGTACCTGAATTCAGGTTATAGACTAGCAGAAGGGAGAATCTGATACATACGACCATACCCACTGGAAAATACGGGATCCCGTCCGCTCTC